ATCAAAATTTCATGCCCCCGAGACACAAACCGCTCTGATTATAGAAGTAGGATAACATCATCTAACACTGATAACCCATTCCCCATTCAACTTGCACCGTCTATCAATCTGACCGGATCAGAGTGTGTCATCTGACCTGAGTTCATGACCTCACACCCTCCGACACGCTGTCTTGGCTTTGGTAAACCTCTTTGAAGGACAGAGGAGGAAATTGATCAGACTGGTTCACTTTTTCCCCGTCAGCTCACTTTTGGGAAACACAGCAGGTGTTAAAATGCTCCTCTTATGGAAACGCCGGCTTCCCTCCTTTAGGTTTATTTTTTACTGCTGCAGTTTGTCCTTCTCTCCCTGACCACTCTGTCCTCCTTATCTCACTATCTTAATTCTCAGTGCAGCTCACTGTCGAGTCTCCTTCTCTCTTTATCTTTCCTGTCGCTCTCTCTTTTGCTTACCTGTTTTATTGCTTCTTCTGCCAACCCCCTTTTTTATTTTTATTTTTTTTTATTTGTTTTGGTGGGAACTTGCTGACTTTAAAGTTGGAATCCTTAAGACTTTCATGAAATCAAACCCCATTTTTGATACTACATATGGTTGGCTTTTTAACCAAAATAGCCATTCAATTGTATTTATATCCTGTAATAAACACTCTATATAGTAGTTTTTATTAGTCGTGGCAGTCTGCCAGCGCCGGCTGACATCCTAAGTTTCTGCTAATGCAAGTAGAACTTCCTACTGTCTCTACTTCACATCGAAAGTCCTCAAGTACAACAATTATGTGCAATAATAGACTGTGTTTACAGTCTTTATTGAACTATTTATTCTTATGTAAATTTATTCTTATTTATCTCTATTTTTATGCTACTGTAAGGAGTGGAGTGCCAAACTAAGTTTTGTTGTTTCCTGATGTGCAATAAAGTATCTGTGTATGTATCAATTAAGTGGCAAAACACAGAGTGGCTTTTATTGTGAAGCACTAACAGGAAATGCAAATGTCTTTGTCACTGTGTTCGGCACCAACAGTAATTTATCAAAAATGCTTCTGCAAAACGAAAATATTCTGCACTTTTTCAGCTGACAGGCTTGTGGACTAAATATACTTATCTGACAACGTTCAAGTAATCAATACACTTCAATACACTGATGCATTCGGGGTTCAATATCTCGCCGAAGGACTGGAGGAGCTGGGGATTGAACCGCTGACCTTCCGACTCTTGGTAGAGCGGGAAAAGGGGAAGAAAAGTAGCTTTTGGTGGGTTAAATCTGCACCACATCTTTTTGTTCAAGTGCTAAAACTGTGCACAAACACACTGTGAGGGACCAAGCAGTGAGACCATGAGAACACAGGAACTTTCACTGAAAAGAAGTGCGTTTTTATTTACCCAAAACATACAAGTTTAATAACTGGGCCTTTAAAAGAGGTCAACAAAACATAACTTTACTCAAGATAACAACTTAACAAGGTGTTAACTGAACAAGCTGACCCTGACACGATCGTCTTCTTCTTCTTCCTCTTCTTTGAAGTTTATTGGTGGTTGGCAAACAATGATTTGATCCATTACTGCCACCAACTAGAATGGAGCGTGGATCAAAATGTCTTGTACTCACATATTCCAAGAATATATAAGTAAATAGTAATGATAAAAAGAAAAGACCAGACACAATGATATGAAGGAACTGAATACTCAGCAAAACTAACTAAACCCCAAATCCCCCCCATAACAGGTGAGCACATGGTTTGGCCCAATAAGAAAGAGCTGTCCCTAAGCCTTAAGAGTAACCACGGTAACTCAAAAACAAAGAAACTGATTATTAACATAGACAGAAAATGGCCTTTGTAACTCTATGTGTTAAAATATGTTCACTGCATCTAAAACAATGTAAAGTTAAAAGCAAATAAACAGATTCTAAATCAAACAAACTGTGATATTAATTGTTTAGGTGTGTTTTACTGCAAATGAAAAGAACCTGTATTAAACTAATGAGGTGAAGAGGGTGGATTGGAACAATACACACACACACACACACACACACACACACACACACACTCCTCACTGTATCTCTTCAGCCTGCAGAGAGAAGGCGGGAAGCTCAATTACGTGTCATATATTTCAGTGTTTTACTGCCACAATGCCAATGTGGATCAATAGTGCCGGCCTCGTTCTAGCTGGAGAAATCAATTAACAGAACATTGTAGCAATTTTTGTTCAACTCAAACGATTGCGTGTAAGTCGTTAAATTAATTAAAGTCCTCATGAAGATTGATGGCGTCCACGCATCAGCTGAGAGCTTTATCATTAGTGCACACACATAAATAATTTCTGCAGCGCTGTAATGAAAACTAAAAACTAAAAAATATTAATTACTGTGGAGTCTTGTTTTTAATGCGATGCCTTCCACTGCCACCGCTCTTGATTTTTATGTATTCACTGCGCGGCCTCCTGGGATGCAGTATGGATTTTGTTACTCTCCACCATCAATTCTCCGACGCTGAATTTTATGAGCCAAACGCGATGCTGCAGGAGACGCATATTAAAATGCTTGCATACCTTTTACATCAAATGGCGCTGTCCAGCTGCTTCCGCCTCCGTAACCAACTACACTTGCTTTTTCTTGTGCCAGGACTTCCTGATTTGGAATTCTTTCTCGTGTCGCTTCCCTTTGGTCGCTGACAATGTCACAGCGTCTCCATCCTGCGAGCTGGCACCCCCGCCGCTCGCCACTAAACCAAACCTTTATTCATACTTCACAGATTGAGCCTTTGCAGTGTTACAAGCCTCCCTTTTTGTTGCCGATTTTTTTTTTTTTTTTTTACAACAAAAGCCTGAGAGAGAGGGAGAGAGAGAATGAGAGAAAGCTGGAGAATGACATCACCTTGAACTGGATATTGACAATTGGACCGATCCATCTCTGATAGTGTTTGGAGAAACAGATTTTCCTCCGTGCCTTCTTGTGTGAGTATTGGGGAAAGGGTGAAACTTTGCTATCAAATATTAAAGATGCTATCAGACCGCGTCATGACAAACAGTATCAGTGCGGCTTAAGCTACCACCCTCCACTTTCTGTCTCCCTCACCTGTGCAAGGTGTTCCTCCACTATCTTTTCCAACTCGGTTTTTACCCTCTACTCATCCCCTCTCTGGCTGTGGCCCCGTGAGCGCCACCACATTAGAAAACACATGCAAAGAGAGGCAAAATCGGCAAAACCAATTCAACAGCACATGCACACTGAAAAAGAATAACCACTGTAGCCATTTGTATAATAGCTTGTGTTTTCATTGGGTGCCAAGGTTATTCCTCAGCGTCTGGCGCAGTCATAGTCGAACACACTTTTCTATAAGTGAGGGCAATGCAGAGGAGCTTAATGATGGCTCAAAGTGCGGAGCTGAGTGAATCGATGGTGGTGTGTGTGTTGACGCGTGATGAATTGAAGAGTTAATCGGTCAGACGTCTCTAATGGCCCGACATAGGAATGAAAAATAAAAATAAATTAGTGGAAAGAAAGCCTTAGTCTGTATCCATCTGCCAAGGCCTTTTGTGGTATTGATTGGCCCGAGGCACTTAAAGCCTGATGTATTGTCAACATTGCAATCTATTGCCCGTCTGAGTGCACGGTCACAGTCTGACTTCCACTTGGCTTTGGCATAGATAACTAGAGGAGTAGTATGAGTGGGTGAAACACTCTGACTGCCACATACACACACACACACACACACACACACACATACGTCTGATGTAGTATACAGTTAGAGCTTTCATCTTACCGGCTGTTAATGCACTCAACCCTCAAGTTCAGAGTTTGTTGCGCTGCAGTAGAAAGTGAAGAGTTGCTCCGCTGACTGTAATTACTACTTGGAAACCCAGAATGACTTTGTTGCTCTCTGGGAGGCCTCCCGATTCACTTTGAGGCTCTGCATGCGCCCGGCTCATTTAGATGAGTGAGTGAATACTTAAGCTCTGTTTAAGGACTCCTGCAGCTGCCATATGGATTGATAAACGGGACAGCGGAGAGGGAGAGAGGGATTTATTCATGCATTGTGGACTGTAAAGCTTGATAAGGAACATTTACAGTGAGTCTAATCAAATAACCCCAAAACCAAATGTTTCTAGGATTTACATTTCTACTTGCAGACAAACTCGTCTATATGCATTAGGTTTCCAGGCAGGCCATTATCTCAACATCATCTTCTCTTTCTTTCCTCACATACGTCTCTTCCTTTAAACCATGTTCAGCACTGAGCACGTGACTGACAGACTCTAATCTGATTGGGTGTAGTCACTTCCTGATGTTGCCACTGCACCGGTGCCCACGCAGCCTGCGTTAGCTTTGTCAGCAGTGTGTGTTGTTGAGACCGTATCATTCAACGATGATTTGTATTGACATAACCCTGCATGCATCAGAGCTCATGAAGTTAAAGCTTCCCTCACATTATATGCAGAGACAGAAGCAGGGTAGGGTAATTATTTTAGCAGATACAGTGGGAATGGTCATTTTTGGAATTTAATTTATCCCGTATATCTAGCAGTCCAACCTGACACGCAGCCGGAGCCACTGTGTTGTGGTTGCTTTGTATTCAGGCCAGTTTTGGTGCAGAAATTTGTATCTTTGCCTCATCTGTGATAGTCCCCCCCCCCCCCGGTATAATCCCACTGACCTTTTAGTATAAAACAGTGTTTGTTTTTTTGATGCTGAGGGGCTTATACCAGATTTTGATATTTCCACATTGTTGCTTTAGAAAAGCTGAAACAAGTTTAAAACTTACCACACAATAGAATTGATTTTTTTTTTTTCAAATACAAGACACATTCGCGTTTAGCGTTTTAATGGCAATTTCAAATTTTACTCCGGAGAACAAATGTACAATGGATTTAATGAAAAATCTGCGCGTTTCCGTTCTCGACAGGTCTTTAGACCCCATCCCCCGAATTTCCTACACTGCCAATTTCCTTGCCACTCAAGATGTAATGGTCTATAGTCATTTAAATTATCCATTGTCTCCACAGGTCATCTTTGAAGCGACTGTTTCTGAGGAGCGACAGGGCTACATTGCCTTGGACGACATCGTGCTGCTCAATTACCCCTGTTGTAAGTAACCCACTCTGCAATGCTCATGGCCTTCCTGCTGACCTTTACTGAGAAAGTGTCCAGCTGAACAATGGAAGCCCGGGCCACACGGCTCAAACAGGTTCCTCAAGGTGATTGAAGACTATAAGTTAGTCCTTGCTGTCGTCCGCAGGCACATATAGCTGCTACCTGTCCTGAGTGTCAGAGCCACAATAACACAGCAGGAGGCTTCTCTTTTGTGCCGGCAGAATGGCTGACCTTTTTCCTCTGATCGCTGTGCTCCCAGCCGAGTGCTTTTAAAGCTAATGTGATGCTGCAGACAGGGAAAGGATAGCTAGTTGTTCTACTTTGATCCTCACCGGTAGTTTTTTTTTAAATCTTTTTTCTCTCTCTCTCTCTTTGTCATCACTGGGATACATAGTCTCTGTGCAGATGTTGTACCTGTCATAACGGCCCCCTTTTCTTTCACTGCTCTGCTGTTTCCAAGACGTTTAGCTCTATTTAGCCCCACACACGCAAAAGCTAAGTCGGCCTGGAAGTAGAGGCCATTACGAATATCCGCTGACCCGTGCTGACTTCCAAAAACGAGATCACACGGAGCCCCAGAAAAGGAAATAATAAAATCCACCTGACAACGGTGCCGTCATTTGGCTTTTTATTAAATATCAGGTTCATTCATTCAACAGTTTTCAGTTTGACCAATTATTGTTTCACCAACTGTGATGTGATGCAGAGAGTTGGATTACATAATTGCACTGTAATTAGTCAGTTCTACACTAGTTGTTGATGGAAAGCCATTAACCTAAATCAAGTATAATGCAAGATTTTAATTAGATTCAACACATTTATGAATGGTTTTGTTTTTGCTGCCGTTATTACTACTCGCTGTAATATATGTGTTGCTGAGTTCTAGTGTTTTTAGCGAGGAGGTGATTGCATCGGGGTGGTCGAATTTCAGTTTCAGAGGCTTTTCAACCTCTACAAGAATGAAAAAGCTGGATTCTTTTAGGTTTTAATATATTTCTTGGTATTAAATTTCTTAAGTATGTATGTTAAAGCTGAAATAATGAACTTTTTTTATATTAACAAAGAATCAGGTGACTGTGTCATGTCAAAAGTTTGCGATTAGCTCATTTTTTTGCTAAAAGAGACAGATATTTTTCTCAAAGTTTGTTAGAGACCAAAACAGAGCTAAACACGGATTTAGATTAATCACATTTCGAATAATCTTGTTCTGTGTCTGTGGGATTTAGAATCAGGCAATTGGTTGCTAACACATTAGTCCATAACAACTTTTGAACAGGTCATTTATTGTCCTTGTAGCTTGTTCTTCTGTCCCCATGTGGCCAGGAAATAAATTAATGTAGATTTTACATAAACTGTCGCACTGTTTGTCAGTTAAATGCAGCTTCTGTGCAGCTGCTGAAACTGGTATTGCTGTTCAGAAACTTTGTATTTCTGTCAAGTATCACTTTTTAGAGCCACACTGACCTTCTGTGAGAAAGGCGATATTGTTTTTAAGCTGCTAAACCCGAGAAAATGTTAATGACTGATAATGTAGGGCATTTATGAGCTCATGAAATTCAGATACCCTTTTTTGGCTCTACTGACAGAATCAGGCAGGCTGCACGTTATAAATCATCGAATCTTCACCAGGAAACAGACAGAGGAGCTGAAATAACTCCTTCATAGAACCATCTTTGATTCTTTTCTCTCCTGTAACCCGAGCTCTTCTCAAAGTTTACCACTTGCCCTCTGTCACCCTATCCTCAGTGGAGCAGGATGTGTTTCCATGGTGATTTTGGATGGGGTTTTTGGGGTAGGGACCGTTGCCAGGGCCTTTTGGTATGTGATTCAGGCCATGTTGAGCCCTCGTACAGATGGCTGTGCTTGGACCCTCACCATGCCCATTAGCTTGCGCTAGGGGACACTGTCCCTGCCAGGCGCTGCTATATTTACAGTGGCTTCAAAAGTTCTTAGACCCCTTCATTTTTTTCTTTTTTAATTGTGTTCTAGATTTAATATTTAAATGGACAAAACTGCCATTTTAACCCTTCAATCTACACTCAATAATCTATAATGACAAAGTACAAACATTTTCCATCTTCCATTTTACAATCTTTGAGGAAACAAGCAAAGCTTCAGGAATGGTTTCATAACATTGCTGTAAGCGATGCCTTGTCAGAGAGAGTTCCTCTTGAACTTCATGGCTTAGTTTTTGTCATGCAGTGTGAACTGTGGGACCTTTATAAAGACAAGTGTGTGCCTTTCCCAACTCTGCCCAGATAACACAGATCTGCCACAGATGGATTCTAGACACATTTCAAGGAAAATGAAGCTAACAGGAAGCACCTGTCCAAAGCAAAGGGTCTGAATACTGAATACTGAATACTAAATGAAAGATTTCACTTTTGGATTTTTTAATAAATTCAAAAAAATGTTTGACTAATTGTCATCATGGCTAATTGAATGTAGATTGATGGGAAATATGGCAGTTTTGTCTAATTGAGATAAAATCTAGAAACACAACAAAGTCTGCAAAAAGTGGAGGGGTCTGAATACTTTCTGAAGCCACTGTGTACATAAACATATGAGTCATAACACACAAGAGATAAACGACATGCTCCTCTTCTCATAAACAAACAAATGTCAAGGACAGATAAATGCTTACACGCACAATCACATCTCATATTGTATCAGCCGGAGTAGCTGCAAGAGCAGTCACCCTTACCAACCCTTAAAAACACACACAGTCACACAAACATGTAAGTAAACATTAGTAAGCCAGCACTGAATTTCCCCACAGGCAACAAGAATAATTGCATGCCCCCTTAGGAAAGATTCAACTGAAAGGTAACTGCTAGTCAGTTTGCATTCTCACTCATTTGACATTTGTGTTGTTTTCCTCTTGGGTCCACGTCTTTATTCTAAACACGTCAAGACCAATCTCTCCTGCAACAAAAATAAGAGACAGCATAACTAATTTAAAGAACCAACATCTCAGACAGACAGAATACATTTGAGACTCAAATTACCTTGCCTCTATATATGCTTAGTGGTATTAATTAAGGCTAGACAGGTCACATATCCACACTACTGGGCTTTTAGATTTCAAATTAAATTTTCTCTGTATCTATTAATGCTGTTGCCTCAACCTCAGATGACTTCTTCTTGTAACTGGGGTTGTGAACGTTTGTCTTTAGAAAATGACTTGAAGCTTTAGCAAAACATAAACTGCTGTGTCTGTACACTGGTGTTGCTTCCCTGATTATAAAACATAGCTACAGAGAATGGGTGGGTGAGTTAGCTCCTTGCGGTAGCTAGCTACTATTTGATATTCATTATAAAGCTAACTGGTTTATTTAGCTATGTTTGGTAAAGAAAATCTACTAGTTGTTAAAAGGAGGTGCTAGCTTGATTTCACAGGAATTTGACATTATCACAAAATGTAAATTTTACGCTTCTTTATCACAAAACATCAGTTGCTTTGTTTGCTAGGTAGCGTTAGCATTAAAATGACGTTAGCTAGTAGTTAACTGAGTTTAAACTTTTTCTCAGTTGAAGCCTTTTGTACAGAACTTTGGTAATATGCAAATTTCTGCAGCTTATTTAGTAAAACAAATTAATAGGAGGTCTTAGTGTTGTACGGGGTTAATGCTGGTTCACACATTTTCTTATGTAATTGTGGTGAGTTGCAGTGTTTGGCAAGGAAATGTAGTTATATATTTAGTATAAACTATAATTACCATCAACTGTCTTCTTACTTCTTTCAGTTAAACTTAATTAATCCAAATGTTGCAGGATTACAAAGCTTTGATATACCAAACAGAAGTGTTAGGTACAGTGAACACCACTACACACTTCAAGGTAATTAATTTGGTTCTTGACGTATAGCCAAGGAACGCTTTATGGAAATTGTACCAAAGTACCAATAGGTGCCACTTTCTTCCAGGTAATACCTGGTGCTTAATAGCAGAGGACATGCTGTGAAAGAAATCTTTTGTAATCAGTTTGAGACATTTGCAGTTCAAATTTCTTTTTTATAATACCACATTATTTTGAAGCAAAACACTCAGATATTTTCTAGCGCTTTATGAGAAGCTCATTTTAAAAACTGGTACTAGTTTAAAAGTATATTGGTGTCCCCGCCTCTTAATCGCAGTGAAACGCTTTTTGTCTGCATAACAATAACACAAAGCATAATGTCAGACTGATGTATTAATGAGAAACCGCACATACTGGAAATATGAAATCTTTCATTGTCTTCTGCTACTTGCTTATTGATCACAACAGAGCTGAAAATGACAACTATCTGGCAGTAAAGTCGCAGAACCAGAAATCAGAATGAAGAGAACTGACTATGACCAGAGAAGAAACAAATGGTGCTTAACGTATATATGGTTTTTAAACAGGTTCAGCTGATTTTGTGAATTTTGCGAAGTATTAGTTGAACAATTTTCCAAAAAACGGTGGAGTTAGAATTAGAAGTGTTATGCAGGAGTGGTTTTGATGAGTTTCTTTATTCGTTATCTTGTGTTCTGCATATTTTTTACTAATTGTTCCATGCTATTCCACCACTCAGCAGCTGGTGCCCAGATACAGCAAAAAGAAATCCGGCCCGTACTACATGCTTCCACAGTGATAACAGCTGGTCTCTACCTAGATGTGGAAGTACATGGGCCTGACTCGGGCCTAGGATCAAGGAAAGAAGAAGACTGCTAGCTAGTTAGAAAACATGGATGTAAACAATGTAGGCTTTAAAATATTTAAAAAAAACTGCTTTTGCAAATGACCTCGTTAGACTTCAGGAAAAAGTACAGTGGGTTTTAGTGAGAAACACCGAATGTAAATTTAGATGTAGTTTGTGTACAAATAATTCCCTTTAATAAATGACCTGAAAATATGGTACCCTATATTTAACAACAACACTGTGGGTGTATTACGTAGGGGCTACCATATGGTGTTGCACACATTACAGTAAACAAATGCAATGCTTTTTGTGTATTGGCAGAGAGTAGTGTGACTAACTGTTGGGGGGGTTCATCATTTTACAAACAGAATGCATATACGTTTCAACAGACACACATTGCTTATGCATGTCTATCTAAGCATGCACACAGCATTGCTCATTTGGTAAAATTACCCCTCAGCTTTAGCTGCTTCATATTTTATTAAACTGCATGATAGAGTAATAATAAGCAGCATTCTCCAACTGTCATCGAAACAAAAAGACTGTAAAACTAAGTCAGACTCTAAAGATACAGAAGTTTCCTAATGCCGGGAGAGTCTAGCATTTGATGCTGAAGAAAAACAATGTCTTTCTGTGATCCTAGGCAACTGTGTCTCTGTCAGACTGAATGGAGAATGTGTGTGTGTGTGTGTGTGTGTGTGTGTGTGTGTGTGTGTGTGTGTGTGTGTGTGTGTGTGTGTGTGTGGCAAGTGTGTGGGTGTAATCGTCAAAATACGTCTGTCTTAATAAGTTATTTAGTCTCATTCGCAGCCTTATGACCTGCATTTTATTAACACAAGAGGGAAACCAAAGCTAATGGTGTGAGATGATTCTGGTGCCAAAACAGCTTTAGTTGATATTTTAGAATTCATTAAGTTACATCATTACAGATTTAATGAGTTGTTCAGAAAAGTGTCTTTGCAGGTTATGTATATATATATATACACACAGTGTGGTCATGTGTCTGTATGTGCGTTATGCGTGACTGTACTTTATGGTATGCATGCATCCATGTTTGTGCAGCTGCGTCTGGGGCCGGGTGTGTCGTTATTGTACAAGCTCTGAATAAATTACAATTCACATCTGTGTGTTTAATATATTTAGACAGTGATGCTCAGCTCCAGATGTGCCACTTTCATCACTGTGTATGTGTGTGTGTGTGTGTGTGTGTGTGCGTGTGTGTGTGTGTGTGTTTGTCCCTTTCCACAGACAAGGTGCCTCATTTCTCTCGGCTGGGTGACGTGGAGGTGAATGCCGGGCAGAATGCCTCGTTCCAGTGTGTCGCCACAGGCAAAGTTTCTGAGAGTGAGCCCTTCCTCCTGGAGGTGAGAAGGAGAGAGTGTGTGCGTATATGTATGTGCGTTTTTTATTTTTATTTTCTTTTTATTTATTATCTTTGCTTGAACAGTCAAGCCAACATCTCAGCACCTGGATATCAGAGGATGATTGCGGGGCTGTATGAAAGAAGAAGCAACACAACGGAAAAGATAGAAAAGATGTTTTTGCATGTTTGGCATTTAGTTGACGGCCTCATCCGGAGCAGCTCACTGTCGTTACATTTACACGATTGGCTGCTGGATTTATTCCCATTAAAGTCTCATTCAGGCTGTTGTTAACGTGAGCTTTTCTTACTGTGACTAAGTCTAAACCAGTTAAAAGAATATTCCTCCCCACAGATAACATATTCCCCCACAATAAAACATTCACTTACCAGCACCCACTCTCTTTGACTATGCAGTGATGCATTTTAATCCAAAGTCAAAAAGGTCCTTGTTGCAGTTGCATTATTAAGTGCTTTCCCCCTGTGCTGCTTTTTGGACACAACAGAATATGTCAAGCACATTTTTGTTCTGATGATCTGTTTCAGGGGAAGGGGCAGTTATCCTAACCAGGTTTGCCAGAAATGGTTAGAGTTAGAAGATGTGACCTGACCTGACCTTTGCACCACAAAGCATCAGCATGGTGTCTGTAGTTACGCCCAGTAGATTCCTCTGCGCTCCTGTGGGTCACCATCATGGACCGGCCCGTAGAAGCTGTCAGTCTTCTTGTCTGGACGTCTCGAGATGTTCCAGATGTTGCGTGGGGGAAATCCTGAATCTATGAAACAGGATCCCACATCTGTCGGGTCAGGCCGTTATCAGGTTATACTGCATTAGTCTTGATTTCAGCTCAGGCCAAGGTTCGTGATATTTCCCGCCATATATGATCAGGAGCCCACTCAGAATCAGTGACGATGACCCAGCCGGGGGTTGTGTTGCTGACTGAAACCCAAAGATGAAATCTACAATCTGTCGACACTTAAAGGGACATTCAACCCTTTTTATACTTGAGCATAATGTTACTGATCATGAACAGGACTACTCAGCCTGTGAAAGTGTTGTTTAATGTCTTTTGTAAGTGTTATTTTCTATTATTTTATGCATGTTTTCATGAATGGAATCTCTGAATATTCACATTAACAGCAGTGGATGGAAACACACATTAATTCTTATTTTGTTTTTCTGGTTTTATGGAAATTTGTTCTACATTTGGAAATGATTATTGAAGTGACATATCATTTCATATCTTGGGGCTTGGACACTAGAATATTTTTATTTAAAAGCCTGCACTACAAGCTGGGGCATGGAATTTTAAATATGTGCACATTAACCAGACATTGAGGGTTTAAATGTCCGATATTTTACACTTTTCTGGTGTTTTATTGGAAGTTTTGATATCAATAAGAAGATATATTTGTGGTTTTAAGAACCAAAAACCACCTCAATGTAGTTTTATATCACACAGACTGTGTGTTGATTGGACACTTTGATACTTCCACAGTATTGATATAGAACCTAAATCTGCTTTTTACACAAAAAAAGACATGGAAATCTCCCTTATGGGATCTTTCAAGAAATGATATTATTGTGTTGCAATATTGGAAATGTAGGATAATAGATCCATTCAAGGGACTACAAGTCAGGATATCTTATCTTCTGTTGCATCAACTTTGTCCGTTGTATTTTAAAAACTTTTTCCCACAATTCCCCGAACGGCAAAGCACGACACAAACTTTCTGTTAATATCCCAAAATGTAATTGTCTGAGGGAAAAAGCTGGAATCACCTCTTCTGACCTTGTGATTAACTGTTTTGATCCATGAGAAGATATATTTGTGGTTTTAAGAACCAGAAACCATCTCAGTGTAGTTTTACATCTCCTCTCTCAGGCTTCTCTCTGGAGCTCTAGTAACAACAGGTCGGTGAGCCAATCAGAAGAGAGGAGGCTCTGAGTCTCTCTTCAGATTGGCTGAGAGTGTTTTCTGAGTGATCCAATAAAAATAAAGCAGATTTCAGGTAAAAACACTCAGAGAAACCAAATCCTGCAAGGTTTGGATGGTGGGTCCAGGTGGGCGGGGCTTGGTGACTGCTTTGTTGTGACATCACAAAGTTCCAGAAGTCCTGACGGCTGGTTTTAAGGCTCAGTTTCTGAATACAGGCTGTGTGCATTTCTCTGTGGACTGAGGCTTTGATACTTTCACAGTATTAATATAGAAGCTAGACCTGATCTATAATCACACTACACATGGACAGAGACCTTTAGATTATAGGGGACCTTTAAAGAAAATGGGAGCCATTATCTTAAGTGTTAGTGTAATACTACTAAGTACTGTAATTTGATATTGTTAAATAATGGAGTACATTTGTGACTCTGAGTTGTGGTGTTGTGGGGAAATGAGTCATTTGAGAGTTTGGAGGATTATTAACTTTGCACCTCTGCTTTTGTAGCTTTTTGATTGTGATGGCATTTAGTTTACTAAAGCCCCTAAAGTCTTTTTTTTTTTCTCATGCAGCGACTGAAAATAGTTTCAATTTTCCTAGTTTGAATATGAGCTAATATTAGTCTTCAAAAATCCATCCCTGAATGCCTCCACTCTTCCTCTGGCCTTGAAGCCCGCACATCTAAGTGCTTTTGAAATGATGGCAGCAGAGAGAAGGCGCTTTGCAAATGAGATCTCAGTATACGTGGTGATCCTTCCCTTGTGTTTCCGCCTGATTTTATTTCACACCCCCTTCTCTCTTCTCTGAATTGAAGCCTTTGAAGATCATCGGCATGTGAAAGAGCCATTTTTTATCAGTTTCACAGTTTGCAAATTTGTTGACAGAGCTACACACACACACACACACACACACACACACCCACGTAGGGAAGATGCAAACAAACAATACGAGGCTTGTCTTTTATAATTTGACAGGAGACTGCGGAGAACTTCTCTGCCTAAGTCAACTCTCGCTTCAACTCCTCCCTGCTTTTCTCATTAAGAAAAAAAAAAAAGGAAACTTGGTAACAGCAGAAAATAGAGATATATCACAAACCATTACTGCCTTCTGTTCCTCCATTTGTTGTTCAAGGCCTGTTTGATCACCAACACTGAGTCTGCTAATTGCTGCTTTCTCTTTGATCTCATTGGCGCCGTGGAGGTCCTCTCTGGACCAGCCTGAAGCTGCTCTCCTGCACTCTTCTTTCTATTTAGGTAGTCCAAATAAATTGTTAGTATAATGTTTCTTAATCAGTTAGCATCATATTTCCTCCGCTGTCCTCTGGCCCAAATTGCAGACGGCTGTCTCAGATGCTATTTAGATCTTTAACATCAACGTGCTCTGAGTCCAAAGCTGAATTAGTCATTGCACCAACTCTTAATTACGATATGATGCAGGGCTCGATGCCAGACAAGAATGGCAGCGGGCTTGGCAAAGGGAAGCAGTTATTTGCATTAACAGCCTGCAGGTGGTCTTTAAAGTGTGCAGGCTCTACGCTGAAGAGTCACTTCAAACCAAAAAACAAGTAAGTGTTAAAAACGAAACAAAAAAAAACATTTTTAAAGCTCTGACGTCATATGACAGAGGAGACGGATTATATTGATTCCAAAGCTAAAAGGTAAAATAAGGTCTAATCTGTAGCTTTAGGCAGCGGTGCCTATCCACTGTACATCTAACTTCCTATTTTCCAACACTAACACTTCATTTTTTCCCCCTTATCCTCCAAAACCAATGCAGACATGCGGAAGTCAAACCCACTTACTTGTGAAAAGCATGAGCAGGCGACATTTTACATAATAATCTGCTTATTCTGTGCGAGAGCTGCATATATTGTAGCTCGCACCTGGAACAGATTATTGCAGAGTGTTGTCTTCTGATTTCCTGTTCCACTGGTTGAGCCAATTGCCAGTTTGCCTGGAGTGCTGACACATTAGCATGGCAAGAGATGAGGAGATGTCAGCCCCTGTGCTGGAAACAACAACCCAGGAGGCCTGTGTCACCAAAACATTATTGTTACCTGTGACATTTATCACGCACTTATTATCTTGCCCTCCCGTGCAGCTAATTCCAACCCTCCTTTGTCTTCCTGTCTGCTCCTCAACCTGCCCCCCCCTCTTTTTTCATCACTCGAATAGTCTTTCAGTTGCACATGTGGTTGGATTGCTGAGGGAGCCCGAGGCTGATTTCTCCCTCTCTCCCTCTCTCTCTCTCTCTCTCTTTCTGTGTGGCTGTCAGCGGAGAAACGGCGTGGTGCTGGACACGCCCTTGCTGTCACGGCTGAGCCACAAGCGTCTTATGGCGACTTTCCAGGTGGAGGCGCAGCGTGGGGAGCAGGACCTCTACCGCTGCATCACCCTGTCCCCCAGAGGGGCCGCCGTCTCCAACTTTGGAGAACTCATTGTCAGAGGTGAGCTACGTTCAGGAACATGCGAGCAGTTTAGCAAACACTCAGGCCAAAGGCGTATTCCAACGTTTTGGGAAATATGGTTATCAGAGAGCGCGATTAGTACCAATCTCATGTGTGTATGTGAAAGTGATAGTTCTGGTGATTTGATGTGGGGTTGTGTGAGGTACTTATCGTTAGTCAGTGTGTAACCTGCAGTAGATTCAGATCAGCGTGCTGCCAGTTTAGAAGCTGAGTGGTGTGCTGTTGTGGGCGGGGTCAGCAACAAACAAACAAACATATTTCAGCCACTCAAAAAAAAACAAACAATTGTCCACAGAAAAAAAAAAAGGTGTGAAGTAAAGTGTACGCTTTATTTTGAAAGTTTTCATGCTTTTATCTTGCCATCAAACAGGTTGAAAATTTGCTAGATGTGCTTTTTTACATAGATATGACACATATGACATCATTACACAGTGATGAGCATTTCCACGACATTCACTGATTTTAAACGACTGAGAGCATTTTGAAAAACACGGGTCAGACGAAGGTGAACTGACTGTAACGAGCTTATTATCAGCTATAATTGCTGCTATCGTCCCCTCCACATTAATATGCATCTACATCTGCCTCTACTTACCGACTGTAGAACACCAGAGTGAATGAACACCTGAAAAAAATAAAACCAAGTTAAACCCTGAAGTTATTTCAGTTTCCCAGGCAGACGACGGGGGGGATAGCGATAGTGTGTTTATGCTGGTGGACACATTCACAGTTTGTCGTTGGCCACTGTGGTGACTGAACGTGCCGCTGATTTCACCCCCAATTCACTGAGCACAGTCAGTACAAAAAGGTGCAGAGCCACAGTAAACAAGTTGAGTGGACACAGTGATTGAAAAATATTGCCTTTCCAAAAAAAAAAAAATTGTTAGATTCGTCGCCGGGGTCTTGAAAGTCACCAAATATTGCCAGAAAACCACTGAGATGGCAACATGGAGCCTTGCTGAGCATAAAAACTGAGAACAGCAGGGCGAGAGCCAGCCTGACAGCCCATGTTAAAGAAAAATATGCCTTCTTACACTCCATTAATATACTGTGTCTTCTGTGTTTAAGCTGCTTTCTAGGTTTGGTGTCCCCTCTGTCCACAGGTGGCGCTGTAGATGAAGATGCTGCACAGAAATACTCTACTGTAAATAGTTCCAGCATGAAACTAATTTTCATTTCTCTTTCTGTATGGGTCCTCCACTGTTTATTCTTAGCTAGGCTGAATCATTGGCTCCACGGACGGCTCACTCTCTAAAAGAAAAGCTGATAGCAATAGCTAGAGCGGGTCGCCCAGTAATCAGAAGGTCGGTGGTTCGATCCCGGGCCCCCCCCCCCCAGTGTCGAAGTGTCCTTGGTCGAGATACTGAACCCCAGATTGCCTCTGATGGCTGTTCCGTCAGTGTGTGAGCGTGTGCACGTGCGGTAGAGGTGCAGTATGAGTCGTCTGTGTGAATGTGGCTTTCACTGTAAAGCACTTTAAGTTAATAATAATTATCTAACAAGTCTGTTTTTGAAAAAAAAAAAGCAAAATTATTCCTTTATGTAAATGAAAAATAACATTCTGCACCTGTCAACAGCCGTCTGTCTGTCCACACACACACACACACACACACACACACACACACACACACACACACACACACACACACACACACACATCACCATCTGATGAGTTCATTGGATGTGCGCGGGGTTGATGAGGGTCATATTGTCCATCAAGGCTCAGTTTCTTATGTGCAGGGAGGAAAGAATTAATTATGCAATTATTCATGCAAATAAGCTCCTATTCAGAATGAACATCAAGAATTTGCAACATTCAAGTGTCTCTCTCTCTTTCTCTCTCTCTATCTCTCTGTCTGCCCCCCCCCTGTGTGTGTGTCTCTCTCTCCTATAATCCTGATGTGATTAAAAGATTTTTATGACTCACTGCTCTAGCAGAGCAGAAATAATGTTATTGAAACTATAAAACAAAAAAGAGACAATCCATGACAGAAATCCTTGACGTCTCCTTTGCTCTCATGATGTGGTTCTTTTCTGCTGGAAATTGCAGCGTTTGACTGTTTTTCATCAGTGTTTTCAAGGACAGATTTTCATCTGTATTCCTCTGTTGTCTCACGTGTTATCACGTATAAACAGCACCGAAAACCTTTATTCTAATAGGATTATACATTCAGATATATCATGACATCATGTTCTTTATTGTAGTGCCCCCGACTCCGATTGCACCCCCTCAGCTCCTGCGGGCAGGCCCCACCTATCTGATCATCCAGCTCAACACGAACTCCATCGTGGGGGACGGGCCGGTCATCCGGCGTGAAATCCAGTACCGAGCCAGCCAGTCCACGTGGACGGAGACTCACGGCGTGGGCTCGCTCACCTATAAAGTTTGGCATTTGGAGCCGGACACAGAGTACCGCATCAGCGTCCTGCTCACCCGGCCCGGGGAGGGGGGCACCGGAGCACCTGGGCCGCCTCTGATCAGCAGGACAAAGTGTGCAGGTGAGTCAGATCAAGCATCGAATCATTCAACCAAAAATCTAGATAGGATCTGTGGCACTGAAGCAAATTGGAGCTTTAGTTACAAACACAGAGACAGAGCTGCGCTGGCACCAGAAATAATCTCATTGGTTGAGTTAAACCTCAGTGGGCGAGACTTAAATAGCTTCTTTTTTTTTCAGATTAAAGCCTGGTTAAAAAGGCAGAAGAGGAGGAAGCTAATACTGAGGAGTTAACAATTTTAATTTTATCCTTACTAAGCTCCACCCCTGCATTAAGGTTTTCCTCGGTCACTGACAATATTCTCGCCTCCAGATATTGTTCCTGTATGAAATATTGCTAAAACTTGAATGTATTAAAAATGATGTGAAGACTTAATTATGGCAGAAACGGACGATTATTTTCGTCATTATATTTTTGAAGGGATTAAATTTATCATTTAGTCTATAAATGTCAGAAAGTGGAGAGAAAAAAAAATGCTTATCACACATTCTCAAAATCCAAGGTGACAAGGTTTTGTCTGAGCAGAAGATATTTAATTTACGATAATACGAAACCGAGAGAAGCAGCGAATGTGCACATTCAAGAAGCTGAGGAAACAGAATATTAACACAACTTGCAACAAAATTCACACCTCTCTTCTTCTCAGACTCACAACACAAACACGACAGAATGAGGCGCACAGGTGTCATGTTTCTTGATAGAAGTGTCTGTTGTGGAAACAGGAGCCGCTAAAAGCTAATGTAGCATGACTTTTCATAGCGATGATTTGCCCAAACATAAAGAAAAACCAGTTGCTGACTCCATGGTAATATTTGCATCACTCATTGCATTATGGGAACTGTAGTAGCAAAACCTAAGAAAAGCAACACTAGTAATAAAATGCATGAATATTAGCTTTCTGCCTTTTACTATGAATACATGTTGTGGTTGCTCCACCTTTTTGGTCTAGACTGAAATATGTAAATAACTATTGGATGGATTGACATACAGTTTGGTTCTGACATTTATGTCTGCCCCCCAGGATGAATGTCATCTAATTATGTGGTCAAAACTAATGACATTCCCATCAGCCTCAGTCGTACTTTGTGTTTAGTGCTAATTAGAAATTTTTCACCATGCTAACACGGTAAACTTAGATGGAGATTATAAACAAGAGAAAAGAGAGCAGGAGAGTGAGAGGGAGGCTGAGAGAAGCCGTCGCTAACTGCTAAGCTAAAGTAACCGGCGGATCTGAACAGTGTGTAAACAACTGTGGCGGAGAGCCGTGAGGGCTTGAGCTCGACTGGTGCAAGTTCAAATACACAGCGCGTAATTAGCCGCCGTAATGAAGAAAATAGCTAAATTAACAGGGTTAAGATGGAGCAGCAAAATACGCCACGAGTAACAGAGAAACGTTGGTAACTGGAAATTGGTCATTACAGTCAATACACAGCACTGTGTGAAGTACAGCCTCACAGAGACAGTAACATGGCTGTAGACTCTTAGTCCTGTTTGACAGAACATATACTGTACGTTCATATACATACATTTGTGTAACCTGTGGACATGAAGGCAAAAACAAAACAACTGAAATACAATTTGGGTTTCTTAAATTTAAACCGTCACACAATATGTACAGAACCTCTCATGGAAATAAACTTTATAATGATAATAAACTTTATTTATACAGCACTGTTCTTAATAAAGGGAATTAAAAAACAGCTATTATTTTATTTAGTATTTCTGAGCAGCCTAACTTCATCTTACAGTTAATGCACAGAGACAAAGCCAAAACCCTGTCAATAAAGCGGAGAGCAAAGAGTTCAAAACCATTGTTTATTATTAGTTGAATGACTAATTGATTAGTTAGTTATTTAATCTTTTTAATACTGAATCATTTTTTATTGCTCAGTCAATGAGTATGTCTCAGAATAAAATGTCAGCGGGAGAGTCTGAGCCCTAAATAGAAAGTGTAATAATACATGTGACGTTTTGATGAGTCACTGTGACACCACCAGTGCAAACAGCAAACAGACGACTTAAAGCACCGGCACAACACAACAAACAGAAGACCCATCTGGTTCCTCCTGCAGTTCACAGACACAGAAATCACAGTCTGTTCCTGCTCCGAGATTCACCCGAGCTGCAGCTGGAAACTGCATCAAACCGTTTTTGGCGCGTCACTTTACAGCTTGTAGTTCGCCCACAGCCACTGAGAACACAAGGTTTGTTTTGTTGTGATTGCGCCACGGCAGGTGTCTGATGGTTGAGCCGTAATAAAACGCACGTTTGCGTGTGAGGATGCAGAGCTGAAGCGCTACACCTGTGGGTTAACACGACTGGTCTGAACCTCGCTGTAGAGGAGAATCCAGTTGAAGAGCTTGCGTGGTATTAAGGTTCTCGCTACGTGAGGAACAAACATGCAGGCGGGGGCCGGACCCTTCTCACAACCTCTCATCTGTGTTTTACCCACGGTGCTTCTCGTCTGGGTGAAAAAAGACACCCCGCCGCTCTGTCAAGTAGACAGCATGACGCCCCTGTCACCTGCCACACTCTTTGATCCGCTCTCGTCAGTGTCTCCCACTCGCCCACCTCCTGTCTACTCCCATTGCTCAGATCTGAAGCTTCATCCCTGGGGAGAAAGCGGCAGACAGCGGAGGCCCAGTGACACAAAACTCTGGATGAATTTGTCTCCCTAATGTGTCACAGAGAGACATTTCTCTTAGCAGAGAAGACTCCTCTTTTTTGGACAGTCGTTGAGAGTGTGACATTTCATACTTACCGGTGCGGAGGATTTTCCCTCCCCTGGCGCCATTGTCCAGAGTGGCCGGCCTCACGGAGGCCCGGCTCGGATGCTGAACGAATGACGTGCCCGTTTTTTTTCTTTCTCCAGTGTCCATGCTTCTCGTGTGGCGACAGACAGGCGGTTTTTGGGGAAGTGCCATTCAAGTGCCGTAGCGTTAACGCTTCCTGTGTGAAATTTTGAGATTGAGATTATAGCACCTTTTGCTGATGGCGTGTTTTTCTGTTTGTGGGAGAATGACGTGATCCTGCTGAAAACTGGTTAGTGCAGGATGTATGCTACTGTCAGCCCAGTCATCTGAAGGCCTCGGTTTACTTAGAATCAAGTGCTTGTCAAATCCTCGGAAGACTGTTTTTTTGCAGCGTTAGAAATTGGCGTTCTGCATCTGGAATAGAAAATTGTTTCACAGCGATTGCACGAGCGTGTGGAGATACTAAAGACTAAAGTTTGCACCTAATCATTAAACTCACTCGTGTGCTCCGGTGTTTCATTCGGGTTCAGTTGTTCAGGCCACTGAAAGCACCGACCTCCATTAGCAGAGCGGCTGAAACACGAGAGACTCCTTTTACCTGTAAGACTAAAGTCATAATAAAATACAATTATCCTGACAGTGCTTAAAGACTCATGTAACTACTACATCTGGAATTCTTTGCTCGATCGATATGATTTGAAATCCTAGAAGTTGAATTTCAACGTATTGACACCTGCAGAAACTCATTTTTCTAAAAAATAGAAGTTCCAGCAGTGGAGAGCTGGTGCGGTGTCAGTGGTTAGTATGAGGGCGTGCGCCGATAGTCCATCATGATTCCAACATGGCTCCTGGCGGGAGCGGCAGGCCTCGGTGGCAGCTCACTCAGGCAGCTGTTAAAGATGAGGAGGGTGAGATGAAATGTGCAGACCCCACGGGGAGTCTCCCTCATTCATCCCTACTCACCTCTTGTCCAGCTTCCGTATCCCCCCCCCCCTGCCTCAGGCTAATCCCTTTGATTAGGCTAATCAAGCTGAATGTCAGTTTGGGGCAGGACTGGTGGAGGACTGGAGGGTGGAGAGGGCAGGACGGAGCCTGCTGCAGTGCCGCTGTAATGATGAGTAATGGCATGTGGAGCAGAAACTGAACATTCAGCCGGCGAGCCTCTGGTGGCGGACCGGGTTTTAGCTGGATTAGACGGTTGCACGGGCCTGACACTGCCAAAAAAAAAATCCGACAGTGACATGAAGGGTATGATACAGTTTTTTTTTGTTTTTTTTTTAAATTAAATCTTTATTCTATGATTGATCGCTACTGTTCCCTGGAGAGGTTTTAGCTTGTGTAGGTATCAACTGTGAAAACACAAATCAGCCAAACTTCCCGCCTTGGAGAACGAAACATCTTTCAAATCAGCGAGGACTCTAAAGACATTTCCTTCTGCTGTCGCACCTCTGTCCCCCTCAGAGCTCATGTCTCCTCCGTGACATTGCTTCATTATTTCTCGTAGCGGCTCTGATCTATGTTTAGCGATGCGGCGGGGCTATAGCTGTCGCTTCCACCGGTCCAGCCGCCGGTCTGCGCCATGATGAAGGCATTGCCCTCCTCTCGGTTTATCTGATGTCTCAGCAGTAGATCCAGGCCAGGCTACAGGACAGAAATAACCCCCCTTCTCCCCTCCCAGTGTGAAACTGGACATTTTGCGTGACAGGGACATGGGCATCTGCAATCACAACATTCACACATGACAGCAGTAATTAGGCACCGTCTGTTCACATATGACGCTCTGCCAGAGCCATGCAGCGGTCTCCCGCTGACCCTCATTGACGTTAGGAGAGAGGACAGTACTAGACTGTCTGTTACTTCTTCCTTTCACCTCTCGCTAACCTCGAGGTGCAACTGTTGCTGCTTCCTTTTTCCCCATCAGTGATCCTCTCTTAAACTGTACCGGGTACTTTTTTCTCGGTAAATATACACTTGCTTTGTCAACATCAATCACAAAATTGTGTTGCAGGAGAAAACAAGCATCCCATCCCCTCTGACTAGAGATAAACTCATCACGGTTTTCCATCTATCCATTTTCTTTTGCTTATCTATGCGGATGTGGATGTGGCAGCGAAGTAGCCAGACATCTGTCTCCCCCAGGCACATCCTGTCGGGAGATCTCGAGGCAGTCTGAGGCAGGCTGGGATACGCGGTCCCTCCGGCGTGCTGCGGTCAGGGAAGCATCCTGAGCAGAAGTCCCAAGTGCCTCAGCGGGCTCTGTTCAGTGTAAAGGAACAGTGGTTCTCCTCCACAGTCCTTCTCCATACGTGGACATCCTTGCATCTTGTGAACTGATTCTTTCAGTCAAAGCTCATGACCAGAGGAGATGGTTGGAGTGTAGATCGATGAGTAAATCCCCGTTGATCAGTGCAATCCTTGCATAGATACATCAATCTCATGCTTACTTAACTCTACTTAAATCGCCCTAACTTCATCCTGTGGGTCAACAACTCCCTCATCAACTACTGGCTATGAATTACAATCATATCAACCTGCAGATTCCCCCTCATGTAAAAAGCATTTTTGGCTTTGACTTGCAGCAGCAGTTCCAGCCCTGTAGACTCAACTGTCGCTGAGTGACTGACGGATATCCTGAGCGATAAGGTTACACCACTGGTTGTTAGTGCAAACGAGCAGCGTTGCCAATTAACGGCTTTGTTGTCGGATTAACCGACTTCGGACCCTGCAACAAATCTAGCAACTAAACCTCAGCTACTTCCTGTAGAAGAGAGTCGGCAGTGTTACCCCTCGAACATGAGGTCAGGCTTTCCCTCCGCAGACACACCGTTCTGAGCTCGACCACGCAGCAGCTGACACAGACGTGAATAAGTAACTACAGCCAAAGTTACAGCACATTCTGTAACTTAATGTCTACGGTGATTCCTCTCAGATGAGGTCACGGTTATAAGAATCTGCATTTTAGCAGCAGGAAGTAACCGTTGGGGAACACGTAGTCTCAGTGGGCCGTGTTTCCGTCACTGTTTCATACTCGTTTCACTGTCCGACGACAGAAACAGACAAACATGTGAGTGAAAAACAGCTTTATTGAGAGTTCAGCTGTATTAAAACGCCGTATATGTGTGAGCACGGAGAGGAGGAGGAGGAGAGCAGCGAACTGATAAAGGCCTGAAAACCAGCTGACTCCAGGCAGAATGCAAATAACCTACGACGCAGTCCGGCCATATACTAGGATCTGACCGAGTCTTGTTATATTAATGGATCCAATAAGTATGTGTAATGTTAAAGGGCTCGCTTGCAGAAATGAACCCGCAGAGAATTATCAGCAACTCTGCAGTTCCCTTTAGGTCTGCGCGGCATTTTTTTTGGATCACCGTCATCGTCCTCTTTCCCAGCAGGCAGCTGTTGATAGTGAAAGACCCGCTCTGCTCTGTGTACGGTACACGAAACAGCAGACAGACACAGTTAGCAACGAGCTGGTGAACATAGTGGAGCATTTAGCAGTTATAGAGGCAGACATTTTTCTCTTCTTCTTGAGTATAAGTGGAGACCAAAACCAGAACGAAAACAACTTTGATTGGACTTAAATTTGTCTCCAGAGACGAGCCTCCAAATTCATTCCGGTGCCAGTGACTGCTATCGCTACTGCTACTGCTACTGCTACTGCTACTGCTCCTGTTACTGCTACTGCTACTGCTACTGCTACTGCTACTGCTATCACTACTGCTACTGCTACTGCTACTGCTATCACTACTGCTACTGCTAACGCTAACGCAAAACCTGTTCCTCATGACAATATTAAACCATGGCAACGTGACTTCAGCTTCTTCCCCGAGCGGCCAATAAAATCAATTATTGCTGCTTTAAAACGTCACTCTCTAGCTTGGGACACTTTTACTAGCTTTCGACCACATCTCATGGGCTTCATTGGCAAATGTGTACAATGTGGTATAACTAATTTTGATTAACCAGTGTGTCATTTTGGAAGAAGCGACTGCTCAGGGACTTTATTTTTATTTCATCTTTCTTACAATATTGCTTCTACTCTCTTCTGTACTGACAAAATACAAGAAAGTTCTACATCTAATGTAAAAGATAAAGTTCATGGTCACATCAGCAGATGGATCTGTTATCTCAAATGTTTTAGTTTTAGATTTCACATGCAGACTCATGGATTTTCCCAGTTTGTAGCTTTGGTTTTAAATGTGGATATTTCTTTACTTTACAAGAGCTGAGGAACAAAATGCTTCTTCCTCACAGTGTTTCCTCTCTGATCCCTTTGGTATCTTTTACACAAGCTGGTAAATATGAGCTCACTGTTTGCACTGATATAATCTCCGCTCTCTGTCCCTCACAGAGCCCATGCGCGCCTTGCGGGGCCTGACGGCGACAGAGATCCAGCCGCGGCTGCTGGCCCTTCAGTGGGAGCCGCTGGGCTACAACCTCACCCGCTGTCACACCTACTCCTTGTCCCTGTGCTACCGCTACTCCATGCCGACAGGGGGCAGCGGAGGGAACAACGCCACCGTCAGAGAGTGCCTGTCCGTGGAACGCAACACGTCTCACTTCACGCTGAGAGACCTGCCGCCCTTCCGCTCCGTCCACGTCCGGCTGGCGCTGGCCAACCCTGAAGGAAAGAAGGAGAGCAGAGAGGTCACCTTCCAGACCGAAGAGGACAGTGAGTGGGCGGTTTATACCTTTTATACCTCTGTGCCACACAGCGCCATCACTGTGCGGAACAGGGATGTTTTTATGTGTTCACTGAAGCTCTGTATCGTCATAGTTACTCAGCTCAGGCCTCAGAACTTCTTAAATTCCTAGTTGTCTATGCACACTCCTTCATGCTCAGATAATTATTGTGCACTTCTTACACAAATCCATGCCTTTAGTCATCCCAGTACCAGCGGAAAAAAACAAAAAAAAACCTCCACAAATATTGACTTACAAAATAAGCTGGATCAGCATAACTAAATGGAAGATCAGCCTTTTAAATGGAGACCAGTGGAACAGTAATCAGCTCGGGCCGTGGCCGCTAGCAAAATGGCAAAATGATTTTGCTTATCTTTGTATTAATATTTTCCTGTGTACATCAGCAGATTAGGCACATTCTAATGCAAATTCCCAGAGAGCGGAAGCACAGAAGGTCAAACACTTATTGTTATGTAGAATAAGCAAGACTTTTCAATGTAATTGAAAGCCACTCAGGGATATTCTTGACCGGGCGGAGAGAGTGAGAGGGAATGGCAGCTATGATATGAAACTGGCAGCATTTTTATTGCATCTTCAAAATTCATTTTGGTTTTCTGCTAAAAAAAAAAAAAAAAAATGTAATATCGCTTTGCATTCAATTTTACAGCAACACTCGAAAATAACAAGCAGTGGAGGAGATACGGGAGAGAAACAGGGAGTGCGCTTAATTATCTACAACCTACACGTTGCTGTCTTGTGGGCAGAAGGAAATACATTTACATAAATGGAATAACATAGAGAGTTTTAATGGGGTTTTAATTTTATTTATTAGATTTAACTGGTCAGGAAGTGACAAGTTGAAACACTATATGTCAAAAAACAAGCCTGATTGTTTTGCGCTGACTTTACTTGATAGTTTGAATGTCAACACCGATGGAAAGTTTTGCTTTTTGAGCCACTGAATGGCGGTCTGACAACCTGACAGTCCCCAATCCCCCTGTCACACGGAGAGCCGCCATCACCTTCACAACTACAGTAATTGAGCCGCAGCCGGTGACAGTTCCTCCTGCCTGTTTCCTATTGGGCTCAACAATCAAACAGCGGTGCAGCGCTTTGCTTACGCTGTGTCTCTGCCGCTTGGTGGGAGCAGCCTTGGCTGTCAGGGATTCATGGATGCAGCAGCATTTTCTTCTATGGCGGGGGGGGGAGGGGCTTCGCCTACCTCAGCTTCAGCTTCTTATGCAGAGAGACAGGCCAAAGAAGTTGGGTGTTGTCTCCTACAAGATCAAGCGTTCGGTAATTCAGTCACATCTTACACACAGACGGAGAGCAGAGATCCAGAAAGAGAGGGACATCACGGAAAAGGAAGGTCTGACAGGACGAGAAACATGAGCAGACGGGTTGTACAAAAACAAAACAAAAACTGCAGGTCAGACAAATGTGAAAGGAAGAGAAAACAAAGGTGAACAACAACAACAAGGGGCGGAAAAACTGTCCAACAAAACATGGACCGTCTCCTTACGGTTCGGTCCACAGCGGCTCATATCTCAGCCTGAAGCTAGCGACTCAAGGCTACGTTAGCCGCTGCTAGCATAACATACCTGAATATCCCAAACTGTCCGCAGTAGAGTTGCATTATGGGTAAGGTGGGTGCTGGGTTTGGACAAGGAAGAAGAATGCATGAAATAAAAAAAAAAAGAAGAAAAATTTGAATCCTTTTTTTTTAAACTATGAAGGTGAGTCCAGCAGTGTTGTAGCTCGAAGCTGAATCGGTGGAGTGCTCGTTTATTCACACATGCTGCCCGAAACAGAAACTTCCAGTAATGAGGAAATGGACTTTAAATGTGAGAAAACTGAATCTGAATTTTTTTTTTTTTTTTTTATTATTCCTTTGACATGACACCTCTATTAGCAACAATCGCTTTTGTACTTAAGTGGGTATTTCATTCCATAATTTAGCTTCTTTAACAGAGAAGGGACGCTGTGTAAAAGCTGCTTTGTGCGTTATTTAAAACATCACACTTTTGTTCAGGGCATAACTGAATGTTCCTACATTTTATAATGGAAATAAGATTCACTCAAAACAGATGTAGCCAGGTTTATTTTGGAATTATTTCAGGTGAGCACCAGTTTTTTATTTTATTTTATTATTTTTTTTATAATCCACAGTCTCTCATTATCCATCCCAACTTCAGTCACGTACAGTGGGGAGAGAGAGAGAGCGGTCCCTGCTGCTTCAAAGCCTGTTTTATGAAAACTTTTTTTTTTTTACTTCCCTGTGCAAAACTATCAGACGTAGTCACATATTATTTCAATGACTCTCTCAGATTTAGATCCTTTTTAATTCTCATCTCGTGACTTGTTAATGCTAATGCTAATATCACTAAGAGCCAAGAATCCAATAAGGACGATTATTTATTACTTAGTAAATTGTCCTGCACTCAAAAACTATCTGTTCTCCTTTAAGCAGATGCATCTTATTAAGCCCCAAAAAATGCAGAGAAGGTTCTCTGGTAGTTCACAGGTTGGATTACTTTGCTGTTTCTTTGTCAGTAAGGTGCTAAGGAAGAAAAATCGACTGTCATCCTCCAAGACACGGTGCTCTATTATCAGACAGTAGAAGCCAGAATCTCAATTCATCCTGAGGGCTGAGAGCAAGCCAGTCCACAGTTTCCTTTCATCACCTCCCTTCAGCTCTGTCTCTCTGCTCCTTCGTTTTTTTCGTCCTCCTCCATCCCTCCCCCGGCCCCTGTGCTTTTTCGTTCTGTCAAAGGTGTTTTTACCCCCTGGCATGCCTGCACAAGAGTCCATTAACTCGAGACCGGAGCTGAGTGTTTGTTTCAGAGAAGGTTGTTTTTCTTTTTCCCCCCTGCTGCAGTTCCTGGCGGCATCGCTCCAGAGTCCCTGACCTTCACCCCGCTCGATGACATGATCTTCCTGAAGTGGGAGGAGCCCATCGAGCCCAATGGTCTCATCACACAGTATGAGGTAGGATACCTCGTTAGTCACGCAAGAAATCTACAATCCAAACGATACAGCTGCCTTTGCATCACACGCTAATCCTCTCCAGGTGTAGGATGTTATTTTACCCTTGCCAATATCTATTTTATTCATCCTCCTTCGGTATAAAGACTCAAATCAAGGAAAAGTCTCCTCTGCAGGCTTTAAACACTACTCTGCTCCCCCTCTTTGATTTCTCCCCGGGCTTGTTTTTCCTGTTTCTTGCCCAAATGCTCGTAACACACATGAGCCTAAGCCACTAGAGTGGGGAGGACCCACTTTTCACAGTTCATGAGATTTACTGTACATGTTCATATGGTAATGAAGCTGAGGCACAGACTTCAGGCTGTAATTACATGGGGGACAACCATTCTAATTACTTATTTGCCTAAGAGATGCCTCCACAAGGGGGCAACTTTAAATGTTTCTAATTAATTATTGAAGGCCCCATATTAACCGTAGACCTTTGCAGCATGGCTTTTTTCTTTAAGTGCACGCGGAGATCCGCTCGGGTCGTCTGATTGGCAGAGAAACTAGTTTCCATTCACGAGCTGAAGTTTGGAAAGAGAGGAACTAGGCAGGCGACTGAATTATGCTGTAACGTGGGTACGAATACAGATGAAGTGCGCTTGCCTCTCACCTCCACACTGCTACTGCTCTGGATGTACAACAGAGCACGAGGCATGACGGATTATTGAGATCTAATCCAGCACCCGTGTTTGAGAGTCAAAAATCTGATAACGATATTGGTTGGTTAAGAAAATGTGACGGCGCCTGTTGACTCTCACACAAACCTTGACGAACTGTATTGCGTTCGCAAGCACAAAGCTGCATGATGGGTTGAGTCCTCTGAACCCTGACCCTTGAGTAAAACCTTTGCGGCTGTGGTCGTTTCAGGAGCGCTGGCTATCTGCAAACTCCAGGAGCTGTTTGTGAAAAAAACTATTGTCCGGTCGCCCAGTCAGTGAAGCTGAGGTTCTCTGATCTGAGCAGCAGCAACGACGCTGACTCTCTCCTCTGTGCCAATATCCATACATTAAATGGACTAATTTTTCCGCTGGACCAGTGCAACAATAGAACAGACATGAGCTGCAACGCTAAGCTAGCTAGCAACAGATACACCGACTGTGCAGATGGGAGTGTGTGTGTGTCTGTGTGACAGCTCATCCTCTGACTGCGCTCTGCACGAGAAAACACCGCCAGTCGATCTCGTATTTCTTCCCCTCTGTAGCACCACATATATATACACAGACATTTGCACTAAAGGGACAATATTTTACACTTTTCCAATGTCTTATATGAAGTTTTGATGTCAACAGATTTATATGTTTGTGATTTTAAGTAGCAAAAATCATCTGGAGCTCAATGAAACGACAGGGGGTTTTGTGTCAGCCTCTCTTCTTACAGGAAGACAGTTTCTGAGTGACAACCACAGACGATGGACTGAAGCCTACTCATGTGGCTTGGTCAAATTTGGACTAAATTGCTCCAGTATTTCAGAATAAAACAAACTACACCCACAGGGCTCTAATATTATTATCCATGTGAAATGATATATTGGCTTCCTGACTTCCAACGATCGCCAGCTTAACGTCAGAATCACTTCAAGCTTGTTGTTGTGTTGTTTTGATACTTTCAGTATTTATATAGAACCTAGACCTGCTTTATAATTAAAAGAAGAACTTTATACAACATCAACAATCTTCCAATCTTTTTTGTTTTTTTGTTTGTTTGTTTTTTTTTTAACAAAAGACTTTCCGTCACCTGGAATTATAGCTGTATGTAAACATATTTTAAACAAACAATACGATTCAACACAAAGACATTGCAAAGTGGTAACTAACATTACAAAATTACATCACAAGAAGACTTACCTGTACGAAATATAAAACCTGTTAGGAGAGGCAGAAAAACAAGAGAATGAATTACGTTATTGAAAAGTTTGCACATAATAAAACAGTAACAAATATGTCACCCATCCGTTTATTCATCTATTCTTGAAAATGATTATCCTGCTGCTCATGGTCACGGGGGGGTTGAAGCTTGTCCCAGTGAAACGCCATGCCACCCTGAGAGTAAAAAGTTTAAATGAAATCGGTTGAGGTTAAAGACATTTATCAAATAGCAACAAAACAAAAAAAACAAACACACAACATCATGCTGGTCGTCATTCTTACTTGTCATCTTCAGTACGTCTTGTTGTTTTTCTCTGCTTTATCGTCTAATCCAGAAAAACTGTAAAATCAGGCCAACAGCGGTGTAGAGGAAGAGTGTGACACAGAGTCTGATTATCGGCGGCTAACTGCAGCGTGAGATTTATTAGATCTGAGCAGAGAGGTGACATCTTTTTACAGGAGTCCTAAGATTAATTGAGAGGTGCTTCTCACAAGAGAGAGTTTCAAATAAAATGCCAGTGAAATTCAATCTTCCAGGTGTGAATAGAAAACTATACGCTGAGTAAAGCAGATCACAGATACTGTGCGTTCTTCTACGGGCTTATAGAGTTAACAACCGGGGATTTGGACTCTGATTAGACGTTATGTTTGGATTTTTGTTGATTTCTTGTTTTATTTTGAAGTAGTTTTCCCTGTGTGTCCTCTGCTGTTTTTACTTCCTGTCTTTGTCTTGTTCCCCCTCCATGGTGATTGACTGCCCTGCCTCTAATGTGTTACACCTGTGTTTTGTTACCTGCGCCCGAACCGACCCTGTCCGAGAGTCTGCACATGTCTGCATTTCCTCCATCAATTGTAATAACTTTGGTGACCCTCTGACTTTTCCTCTAGCGCCACCATCAGTTTTAAATTGTAACTAAATACCCGTAAAACAAATGGCTTTCCCATCAGCCTCAGCTTTAGTGGTATTTAGCAAAATGTTAGCATGCTAAACAGCTAAACTAAGGTGGTAAACATTATACCTGCTAAACACCAGCATGCTAGCTTTGTCATCCAGATCATGTTAGCACGCCGGTGTTAGCATTTAGCTCAAAGCGACGTTGGGCCTAATTTCACGCTCACTGAGCTACTAGCGTGGCTGTCGACTCTTCCTCTTGTTTTAATTCAGTGTCGTCTTGTCCTCGTCCCCAGATCAGCTACCAGAGCATCGAGTCGTCGGACCCGGGCATCAACGTGCCGGGTCCTCGCCGCACAGTGTCCAAACTGAGGAACGAGACCTACCACATGTTCTCTGGCCTGCATCCCGGAACCACCTACCTGGTGTCGGTCCGCGCCCGAACCGCCAAGGGGTTTGGCCAGACGGCGCTCACCGAGATCACCACCAACATCTCCGGTGAGGCCTTGCGCAGACTGCTGCAGTTGTTGTGGTCTGATCAGCTGTCATGTGCATGAGTGTACGCTGTGATTGGGTCGAGGCTGACAACAACACTTCAAGATAACCTTTGTATTTCCCCAAAAAACCTTGTTCTCAACTCAAAGGAAGTGCTGACTATAGCAAAGAAGTAATGACTTGTAATTCCCTCCTTTTGAAGAGCTCTTAATTAAATTAGGTGTATACATTTAGACTATAGACAAATGATCCTCATTTTCCTTCAGCCAAGCAGACCTGCTGTGCCTTTGTTTGATGCAGACCTGAATTGTAGAGAACACGAATGTTCAGCTTGAACGGTTTGGCTGAAAACAGCTTTATTCAGCCAACATCACTGCAAACGGAGTCTGTGTTTACCACTCAAAGGCGACACAGCAGCTCAGAAATTAGAGGAGCAGCGTTTGCAAGTGAAAAGGTTGCAGGTATGGATCTTGAGTCTTGAGACTGGAAAAATGCATCTGTGGGGAATGTGAAACACTCTTTTCTACAAATGGGGGATCTGCTGGCTGTTTCACTACTCACAGTGTGTTTACTCTGATGAAACACCACATGCTATAGTGATGTTTTCCCAGTAACCGTATGAGGAGTAAGTGCGGTGTCTGGATGATTCGGCTTTTTGCAGGAATCCATGGAAAAAGAGTGAAAAGTGAAAGTCACTTCCTCCTCCCTCCTTCCTTAAGAGAGCTGAGCTGGGAACATGATGCAACCTGAGCAACCTGCTGCTCCGAGTCTTTTTTGTGTTGTTCATAACCTACGTCTATATTCGTCTGTCGAGGATCTCAAGTGTGAATTTTGTGTCTCAGAAGTTAAGGTTGAGTAACCGTGAACCAACCCAAAGATTCACTAACCTTAAAAACCTTTCTCTTTCTCTGACTTGAATTTCCTACTTTCTGTCCTAAAAATCATTTTTATAAACAAATTAACGGAACATGGAACTGAACAATATTGTCAACGTTTTAAACATACGCTTTGACGTATATGATTTTCATCATCATCAGTCTTTGCTTTATTTTTAGTAGACTGTCAGACTCTTAATTAGCGGAAGATAATACATTCGGAAAAGATAATAAATACATCCACAGATCTACTGTGTGTTCAATCAAAGCTAACGCTCAACCCGTAGTGTTAGCGACAGACTAGCGACCGTGTTTTGGTGCTTACGGTGGTTATGATGCTACATTTGTGTAAAGCTATATGAGATGAAGGTGTCAGATCAGAGGACTTCGATTATTTGCTTAGGAAGGATGATAAGTGACATATTTCATCAGTCTGAAGAAACCTTCTGGTGAATTAGTGGCTGCTGTTTGTGCAGAAACACACGTAGAGAAACACCTGAAGTAGCTGATCAAATTGCAGGAGCTGCAGTTTCTCAATAAATTTAAAATGTGTCGCAACATATGAGCAGTGAAGCTGTGGTGCTGCAGAGATGCTCCGGCATAATCTCCAGATGTTAAATCCACATGCCAAAATAATCTTATAATAATAATAATAATAACGATGATAACTTAACTTTTTTTGGATGATGTAACAGACATGGATAGAAGTGACTGCACTGGGCTCTGCAGGAAGTAGATGACTGAGGCATGTTATTGCTGATGCAAAACATAGCGCTTGGTTTGACTTTTATTCTCTACGTAAAGGTTAATATTTGAAAAATATCAGTGTAATTATTATAAATATCTTTGGGCTCTACTGGATATAAATATATATAAATACTTTCTTTCTTTTGTTGTTGCTGCGACACCACGCTGTGGTTAATGCTGCCCGTTCGCCATCCGTTCTTGTTATCTGTACCTGTTCCATCTGGTTCGAGAAGGTGGCCTCTGTGGGCTGACAGCTGTCAAGGTATAACATTCAACCTACAGTGTCACGCGCTCCCTCTCCGGGCGGTGTTGTCTGGAAGGAGCCAAGCGGGAAACCGGCAACCGGCTCCTACACCGATTTGGTCTCAAGCATGGAAGTGTAATGTCGCACTGTTAGTCTTTCCCGTAATTCATGCTGGATTTAACCACCTAACACGATGCACCAGCTGAAACGCTCCTCTATGTATAATGCAGACCTCAGCTGCTCGTGTGTCTGTGAGCGTGAGTTTGTGTGTGTGTGGGGGGGTTTGACAGTTTAAAAAAGCAGATTTTTACAACAAGCGTCTGAAGCAGAAACATTTCCACTTCCATTCTGGAGCCTTTTTTTTTTTTTTTTTTTTTTGTTTCAGCTTATCTGTTGTACCAGGATAGCCATTTGCTGCACAACATACTGCAGTTAATTCACTCCCCGTAGTAAACAGAGATGGGAACACTCAACCTCATTGTCCCCAGAGCTTTTCTGAGGTTGTGCAGCTTTGAGATCTGTCCTAATTATATTATAAGGGCCTCTTGTTTTCTCTGTAGTTGGCTGCTGTTTCTAGTCATCATCAGTCAATGGCGTTGTGTGGGAGGCCTCCACACACTACAGTGCACAGGGGATGTGTGCGGGTAATGAATAAAGATGGCACACTGTATCTTTTCATATAGGGGAGGATAAATTACTAAAATATCCAAGCAGAAGTGCAGCTACGTGTCTTTTTAAACTCTCAAGTCTAAACAAAACATATTTGATCTTTCCCAGGAAATGCAAAAATTAAATTCTGGTTTCCTTCAGCAGTATTTCAACTTATGTGGCTCTGCCGTAACTCCTCTTTGTTGTTGTTGTTGTTGTTTTTTTTTTATTTTTCCTGCTCCAATTCTTCTCCTCAGCCCCGGTGTTTGACTATGAAGACATCCCCTCTCCGCTGAGTGAGTCGGAGAGCACCATCACCGTGCTGCTGCGCCCTGCGCTGGGGAGAGGAGCTCCTGTCAGGTACAACTAATACACGCTTCACTCCTACACCAGCATTCATTCAGCGCTCCTCCACGCTGTGATATTTATAGCTGCTGTCAAAAAGAGAAGAAGGTAGAGAACCAGATAATAGTTATTTCGGCTTGTAGCATAGCAGACGCCATTTTAAGAGCAAGGTGTGAAGAAGCAGAAAGGTTTTCTACTCAAATGTTGAATGTTTTTGTATAAATTACAGGGGGTGGATTTATTCAACAGCCGACTGCCCTGATCGATCTAGTGACCGACAGAAAACCATAAATAAATAGTTGACCATTGTCACTACTTCCATCCTGAAACTTGACTTACCACAGCGGACAACCCGTGTCCCTGTAACGACACCGCAGTCCGACGTCAAAGATACAGTAATGTCGATTAGGCTTGGGCGCGATATTTCTCGCCTTATGAAGGAAAAGAAAAACAATTATTGAGGTGATAATATTGATATCCACTAAAGACAATATCAAATATCTATATCTATATAGATATAGATATAGATATTTAGCATTTTGAAGTTGTAATTCATCATGTTTGGTTCATATTACAGAACATAGTAATTAAAACACAGTACAGTACAGTGTATTTAGATAGTATAAATCGTGCATTATAATTTACATATATTAGTTATATGTATTATAAAAAATAAACTTCCAGTTTTACATTTTGTGGTATCTTGCATCACTACTCCAACTGTGATTAAGTTTGTTTTTTTCCCTCTAAATTCTCATTTGTTATACAAAACATAATTATGTTTTTTTTCCCCTCTGAAGTGTTGACTCACTCTTTAAATGGGAAATTGCGGTTTCATATAACTTGGATCTTAGTTTGATAGTTTTGGCCATCATTTCCTGTCGTTGATTATATTATATTATATCGTATTCACCGAGTTAATTGCTGAGATCTGGGAACACAAATAGAAATCACAGAGGATGAAACAAACAGCCAAACTTATTTGGAAGAGAAAACAAAGACGCATGGTAAACTTATTACCGACTTATTGTAAACATCCATCATCCATCACAGTTTAAAAGACTGGCTTCCTGGTTCGACTTTGAACCGCCATTCCTACCATCCTGTTATTACCATTTTTACGTCCGAGTTTCACCTCCAAGTAAAAGTGGTTTCGATAATTTGGCGAAACTTTTATTCCACCTGTTGTTCCCGGATCTCAGTGGTATAATTGTACAGTGTTGGATCAGTTAGTTTTTCAGCAAATTTACGTTTAATTGTGCCCATAGGTGATAGAGAGCAAAATAAAAAAAAAACCAGACATACAATAAGTGTGAAAGTTATTTCCCTACAGCCCCGCAGCCTTCATTAGCAGATGGAAACTGCATAGTTGTCATGGAGATGGCTAACTACTTGGGTTGTGTGATGGAAACTAACCGTCTCTGTCCAGACAAGCTTTTTTATCTCCGTATCAGAAATAATCTCCGTCCTTACTGACACGCCTGAGAAGGCAGATCATGTGATCAGCCAGTGTAAACAGGGAGCAGATAATCCACTCTGCAGGTGTCGCTCGGTCGCAGAAAATTCTACAAAAAAAGGGCAGAGATTTCTTTGCCTGGACCGACGACAAGATCAAACTGTTACTGAAAGTAACACACGAGGAATCAGGGCAGGAGACATCGTTACTGATGAGACCCAGTGTGTGTTTTGTACTGTGTTGAAGTACACTGTCCTCCCACAGCGCCTACCAGGTGGTGGTGGTGGAAGAGGACGGGTCCCGTCAGGTGAGGAGGAGGGAGCTCGGCACCGTCGACTGTTTCCCGACACCGAACTCCCACAACGAGGCCCAGGCCAAAGGGGCGCCGCATTACTACACGGCAGAGCTGGCTCCCAGCAGTCTGCCCGAGGCCACGCCCTTCACCGTGGGCGACAACCACACCTACAACGGCTACTGGAACAGCCCTTTAGACCCCACCAAGAACTACCTCATCTATTTCCAGGCCACCAGCAACTTCAGAGGGGTAAGAACTATTAAGATGCCCGACAAGGCTTTTGTTTCCAGCGCTCAGACATGCTGCTTTTATGCTTTAGCAACCTTGTCAGTCAATTTAGATTTGTGTAGAGTGAGTCAGGAGGCTGGAGGCACTCTGGGAGAGGAAACAGTCCTCTGCATAAACAAGGCTTTATTTATTTCCAAATGGGCTGATGTATGTTATGCATTTTCAGGACCGGCTCTTGGTCAATTGTTTCCTGCTGGTGAATCTAAGACGTGTTAATGTTGCATCTTTTCTCATTGAAACAAAAAAAAAAAAAGGCGAACAATGACAATTTTTTTTTTCTCCCTAAAAAAATACTTCAAAAACATCACACAGGCAACGTGGCCAAATGAATCTTAACAGCTTTTAGAAGATAATTGCTTGCCGAACACAATGTGTGCTCCTGCATTTTTTATTTTATTTTATTTTTTTGTGTAATTGTCCAGTTGTCAGATTCTTTCACATTCAAGCTCTTTAAAAACTTTAATAGTCTTTTTTTTTTTTTCCCTTCAGGGAAAATCAAACACTGCCTCACAGGCTTAGAAATATCTGAAAAGGAACTCATTGAGCAATTGGAAAAGTGACTGAAGCATGAATCGGGGGAACGTGCCGGCCGGCGTGCACAGAGGTAGCGAAAGCAAATGTTCTTTAAATCATTACGCACACATGCAGCTTATGTGTGCACGCCTTCCTTAAGGTTCTCATCTAAATATCAGCACCTGGCTGCTCTTTGAGGATTCAGCCCAGAGTCAGGAAGGCCGGCGGTCAGCCCTCCGGTCCAGGTCAGCACCAACATGCTGTGTGTCGGCCTGGATCTGAAACCCACAGTGAACTTCAGCCGTGATGAAGAGCCATTCCAAAGGATAAAGCTCTGCTGGCTCAGCCGACACAACAGACTAAATATTATAATTCATGTTGATGATTTTCTTCTTTCTTTCTTTCTTTTTTTTTTTTTTTGTCCTGCAAACATTTTCATCTCCAATCTATTATCTAAACTATAGTTGTGTTTCAAGAGAGATGGGCTGCTCAGGGAGAAAGGCAAAAAAAAAAAAAAAAAACGAATTATTTTGACAATTACCCTGGAAAAATTAGATGTACGAGGCTTTCTATGGACCACGAGCTGCCGTTGAATTGAAACAGTAATTGCTTTGGCAGATATGCCTTCAGTGGGGCTTGAAAGATGCATGATTGGTGCTGCCAGTTTCTTGTGAAACACACAAGCGGGAAACAAACGCACACATTTCCAAGTATTTATTTTTTTAATTTTTTTCTATCATGTCTGCAGGAGTCATTTGGCTCTTTAGAAATATCTAGATTACTGCTATCTATTACACTGAAAGTGAAAATAACAGCATGCTGATATTTTCCATTTCATTTACCCTTCCCTTGCATTCATTCATTACTCATCATCTGGTGATAACTCTCCCCAGTTTTTCACTTAGTGGATACACTGGCAAGTGGACTGGGAAGGGTTGGATTCACCCAGGGTTCTGATCTGTTCTTGATCCAGCTCCAGATTCATTAAACTAGCAAATCTATTATTGAATCTTTTATCTGTCCTTGTCCTTTTTTTTTATTTTTTATTAGCAGCTAAATTCACTTCGAACACCTTTCTTCTTCAGCCAGGCTTATCACCACTTTCATTGTTTTAAATGACAGTTTGCATCAGCTGTAGCTAATTAATTTTAATACTGCGCCTAAGTCACTTGATGAAACTCCAAAATGAGACTTGTTTGAAAGCTAGTGCTTCAATTAAAGGAGCTAGATGTAAGTTTTGCTACTGCTACATAGCTAGCGTTAGCATTAACAGCTGTTTACTCACCAGCCTAGAAGAAACTCATTCTCTCATTCTGTTAGCTGCACCAATCAGTATTATTTATTTTAACAATGGATCAAATGTCTGTGTGTGTTTTGTGAAAATCAGCAGAATTATAAAACAATTCAACAGTTCCAATCAGCTGTATGAAGTTTTAGCATCTTTAAGCAACTGTAGTGTTTAACTGCAACCACAGGGTTGTTCAGGTCGGAGGACTTGTGGTGGGGAACGTAGTGAAGCGTTCAGCAGCTACAGAGGCAGAAAGAGACCAGAGACGATATGAAAGAGAGAGAATATTGGACTTGTGTTTGTCGGCTGGGCAGGAACTCAACTTTTAATGAATGCTAATGTTGCGACAGTCTGCCAACGTGCGCACCGTGACGGATTTGAAGGTGTGCAGGGTTGCGGGGATGTCGCTCCAGTGCGGATGATACGTTCATTCAACATTTGGTGTCTCGTTTGGCTCGTCTTATTTTCAGGTTTGAGATTGTAAACATTAATTAGTTCTACCACTCAAAACTGTAGTGTCTCTGTCCATCGGACAACAGAGGATGATTACACATCTCAGCTGAATCTATGAATTTTCATTATTTATAACTTTATTTCCAAACAAACGCTGAACCATAATGCATTGTGTAAGGGATTAGGAAGGATTGGTATTTGATAAGCACATCTAATACCGGAATCATATTCGATAAAACGCTGCTGAAATCCACTGGGGATTCTGCAGTAAACTTTAAATCCCTTTTCTTAACAAGATTGGCATTAGACTTCTTCTTTGACCGGCACCAGTGTGTCTGTACCAAAAGGCCAAAAAGCCCACCTTGACAGAGGACAAGATGACACATGACGTGCGACCTACCGCCACTTTAATAACCCCCGGGTGGGAGTAAATATGACTTTTCTGTCACTCTGCGCGATGAGAGGAGATGAGAATCCACTTGAAATGGATTTCCAATTAAAAAAGGTAATTTGGCAACTGTTTTAGGTGAAAGGTTTTTGACTCCAGTCTCAGAGCACAGATTAGCATAATTGCCCATAAAGACTGATTTAGCTTCCTTAAGTCTCAAATTGGTAACATGCCCTTCTATCTTCGGGATAGAGGTGGCTGTTTTTTTTTTTTTTTTTATTGTTGAGGAGGGTGGGGGGGGTCGGAGCCAATCAGGGGACCAAGGTGAGGGACCTCACATGATGCAGGGGAGCAGAGGTGTCTCATATCCCAAGGAGATGTCTTCCGTGTGGAAATTTCAATTATTTCCTCCACATAGTAAAAGGTCTGGGTGACTTTGACATCGGCCACCTGTCTCGCAAGTTTTAGACAAGATTATGGATTTCAACAGACTGACTCATAATTAAGTTACACTGGTGGTTTTTTTTTTTGTTTGTTTGTTTTTTTCCCATCATGCTAATCATTGTGTCGTCATGGTAACCAAGCCAAATGAATTAACTCTTAACTCGCCTTTTCTGTCTCTACCCACAGGAGACCAGAATAAACTGCATTCGGATCGCTCGCAAAGGTAACGCTCTCTTTTCTTTGAGTCACGAAGGTGCTGCACATCTCATTTTCACATCAGTAAGGTATTATCAAATTAATTATAAATCACTGTATGTGAAACATGGCAAGCACAGAGGCTGTCTGGTGGTCTGTCTTTGTGCTTTTGTACAGCTACTTCATTGGGCGGCTGTAGAGTTTTACAGCGCACAGAGGTGGTGTTCTTCTTTCGGTGCAGATGGAGCTTCAGCTTTATGGCACCTGCAGATGTTGGAAAATAAAGTTAAGAGTCAAAGTGAAACCAGTTCCTCCAGAACTCTATTCCACAAGGAAGAAAACCTCATTTTGAAATTACACTGACATTTGTGATAATGCTAATTAGTAAAAGTCTGGCCCACGTTACCCGACACTACATCATGCAGTTCATTGAATTTGACAAAGACAGCAATGGAAAATTAAAAACAAAACAAAAAACAAACTAAAAGCGTTATTTAATATTTTAGTTTTTATCTGCTTTTAACAAACTTCAGTTGATAGTTCAGACATGTCTGAGCTGCCGCTAAAAACTAACTGACAAACCTCGGTCCCCATCGCTAGCTCGGACTGATCCTGCAAAATACCAGTAATCAGCCACACCCGGCTTCTCCTCTGACGCCCCTCTTTCACTATAGCACACTGGGGCATCAGTGGTATGCTATGGCGTAACGATACGGAAAGGCCCGCCCTCGCAAGTTAACAGGGATTTGTTATTTAGCTGTGTGACGTATGAAACCCTCACTGGAGCTCAGCCATGGTGTCGACGGCTTGTTACACTCAGGATGCATCTTGTATCATAAAGAAAATAAAAACACCATGTGGATCCGTTTAACAAGGTTGAAAACGTCTTAAAAATATGAAATAGAAAGAGTCATAATTGACGTTTGCAGTTGGAGGTTTTCCTGTTTAATGGACGTCTGTCTTGTAATTGTAGAGTTTATTTATGTTGTTGTTGTTGCTGTTGTGCCACAAGATGCCACTGGGACAAACTGGCAGCGAGGCCGTGGCGGCACCATATGCAGCTCTATTAATACAACTGATATATGAGTTGCATTTCTGCTGTTATCTGGCCATTAGCTGCTGAAGGCGATGCAACACGCGGTTACAAACAGAACTCTGTATATTTAACAAAACGCTTACCGGTAACCACAGGTGCCACCAAAATCACCCCGAGGAGTACAACTTTAAAAAGCTGATAAATATTAATATTTCACTCATCAGCCTCATTGTTGAGATGTGGGATCACAGGGTTCCTAGTGACAGCTTCATAACCGCAGTTCTGGGGCAAATACATTAGCAACCAGACAGCTTTTTAACAAGTTCCTGGTAAAAATCCTTTTTTATCTAAACCACTTACTCTGAGATGAAAATGAATGCGAACCTCACATTTATCACTTTAACTCAGTTCTCACTGTAAGATTTGTGTTATATTTTGCAGAGCAATGATATGGTTTTTACCTGAGGGGTGCGCACACGGAGGCTTGCAGTGACGTGAATTGGAAGATTTTTAATGGATCATAATGACTATAATAAGTAGATAAGATAATCGTACTATATTGGGGACTCATTTAACACGTCTGCTCATGTGGTTGCCCCATGGACCCCTTTTGTGTCTTACAGTGTTGTATCCCCGTGTCTCAGCAATTAAGCTGCTGAATAAAATGTTATCATTATCTATTGTAATGAGCGTGCATGTGTGTGTGTGTGTGTGTGTGTGTGTGTGTGTGTGTGTGTGTGTGTGTGTGAGAATATGAAGGAGGTTATAAAAAAAAGTAGGAATTCTCAAAATGCTACCACGATAGCGAAAAAAGCACCAGGGTGAGACTGAGGCCACCGATTGTCTTTTCCTCTCAAACATAATGTTGAATAAGTGATTTTCATTCTCTGAAGTAATCACAACCACAGTAAGATTTTGTGTGTGTGTGTGTGGTTGAAGCGGGTTTCAGCTATGTGGTACAGGGCGCATGTCAGAGACTTCAGCAGTTATCCTGGATCAGGCTGCTACTTAAGGGATTTGACATGGACTTAGTGTTGTTTTGGGTGCTGCAGGGAGGAAGCACCACCACCCCCCCACCCACCCACCCCCCCACCCCCCACTGTGCCAATCTCTCCTCAGCAGAGACACTGGAGGAAAGGTGAAAGCAAACATGCATCCGTGTTCTCACTCTGTTTCTCTTGAATCACTGACACTGACATTTGGCAAACCCCTTTTGGGGCTTTGATGGCTTTGAAATCCAGAATGCAGCAACGTTTCCTTTTTTTTTTTTCTTTTTTCTTCTTCTTCTTCTCTTTTTTTTGTATTTCTTTCCCTGGGAGAGGAAGCGACCAGGAGTATTTGCTTGAGAGACAGACACAGATAGAAGCCTCTCAGTTCAAACAATAGGGGAGGAGGGGAGGAGGGGGGGGGGCAGACAGACAGAGGGTGAAATGGAGTTGTCCCCCCCGCCCCTCCCCCATCCTCCCGACTGAATTATGCCTGAAGTTTGTAGTGCTCTTGAGAAAGGTGGCAGTTAAATTGGATTCCACTCCCAGAACTCTTTCTTATCTGAAGTGTGATGACATCAAAGAATCCTGCCTCACTATTGTCTGCCAGCGTGTCACATAGGTAGAGTAGGGGGAGCTGGGTTACAGGCGTATTTATAGAAGCCATTTTTATTTTTATTTATTTATTTATTTTTTTTTACTGTAGTTGTGCATATATGACTGTGGCAGGCAGGCGGGCCCAGAGGACACGCTGATGTTCCTGCAGTTCGCTCAGAGGTGGCACAGAGGTCCTGTTAAGACCATCCTTGGCTGCTTTTCATTTCCTGTCACCGGCTTCCCACACACAGATGCTGCCAGCTGTGTTCACCAGAGCGCCTGGCCAAACCACCGCCAGTAGTGGGCGAGTGTGTGTTTTTTCTTTTTTCTCAACGCCACCTGGTCGCTTTTCTTTGTCTTTTTGTCCTCAGATGAAATATGGCCAACATTAGCCGGCACTAAAGAACAATGAGAACATGTTCATTACAAATGAAATTATCTTGAAAGATTCCCCATTCTGCTACGAGAGGAGGGTTTCATTCATGTCAGCTCAAGCCAGAAGAAAGGCATCAAATTCACATTTGGCTTTTGCAGCAGTTGAAAAATTTGCTTAAAATCTGTGTGACAGCCAGAAGGAATCACATCATACCATACATTCTCAAATAGTTGTTGTTTACCTCAACTGTACTGAGACCCAGATATTTAAAAAATAAATAAATAAATCACTTATATTACATAACATAAGTGTTGAGTGACAAAATAAGTTTATTTTATCAGACTTCTTGTCTCCTCCGTTTTAATTTGCTGCTGATGCCGTTTGCTGTAAATGCAAAACCAACACGTTCTCCATGTTTACCTGTTGTCTTGTTGAATTTAGCATAAAAGTACATTTCCACAGCGCTAATTTAATCGCTCTAACAACATAGCTGCAGTTTGTCATACTCACCTTTTCATCTTTTTTAACAGAAATACTGTTTTTTTATTCAAATCGTCTCCAGTCGGTTCAACTTCAGATTCTTTTTTTTCTTTCAATCTGTTGCTGAGCTGCTCTTGATGAAATTAAATACCCGCAATGCTTCTGTTAAGACTGTTCCCGGGTTGCTATTTATTTCCTCTCTGAGTTTGTCTCCTGAATAGAAATGTTGTTTTTTTACACGCTAATTGAGAGCAGTTGGTTCTACTTTGCCTTGTTTTCATGGCGCTGTCAATGAAACATTAAAAGACTTCTAGCAACTCAAAGGTCAGAAACTGCTCCTGCTACCACTTCACTCAACGCTGTTACAGCAGTGCTACGCATGTGTACGAAGAAATGATGAAGCCAAGAAAGTATAGAAATAGATAATATATAAGCTAAAAAAGAAAAGATTAAAATAGATTAAATATCTGAAGTTAAACTAAATGCCCAGTGAAGCATGAGCCGCTGACTTGAAGAGCCAGTATTTACGTACATGGACAAATGAAGATACTGTAGCATGAGCAGACAGGTGAGAATCTTACCTGAACCCCAAAAAAAAAGAGGCATGCACAACTGGAATTACGAGTATAATTTATGAGAAGATACTTCCAGAGCAACAGGACCAAGAGATTGGGAATTGGGACATTGATCTGATTTACTTTGTCATATATCTGTGAGTAGCGGTGATGTAGGTGATATGGATGAACTTTAAATGAATCCGTTGTCTCAGGGTGTCCTGTAAGTTTATATAAAAAACAAAAAGAGACCGGTAAATAAAATGTATCCTGTAAATCGCGGAAGCAGCAAAGTCTTTTATCACTGAAACTATCATCTAATACCTTTGGCAGACCAGAACTGAAAGTCTCAAGGTTTTTTTTTTTTTTATCCTTTAGTCGAATATTAATCCCATCGAGAAGAGGAAATTGATGTGAGGTACAAGGTTCATTTTTATGATTGAGATATGTCCATGAGGAGTCGGTTGTAAGGGAAACCATCGTGCTCAACCCGCCCCCCCCTAAGAACTGAATAATGGTTATCTCTCTAATCATGGAGGAGACAGATGGTTTGATGTGTATACCCAGATAAATAAGTCCATTACAGCTGAAAAGAAGTGGTAAAGGAGGTAATTGAATTTCCCCGGCTGCTCTGCTGAGGGACATAAGAAAAAGATTTTATAACTAGAAAAGGACCAAAATAGTTAAAATGCACGAGGTAGTGTGTAACCAGTGTGAGACCTGAAGCAAAATGTTTGCATGAAGGGAAATGACATGGACCGTCCGCTTTTTAAAAAGTAATCGAAGCAATATTTGAGTGTGGGAAATAATTTAGCAGATTTCTTTGAGTGCCATTGATATTCACTGATGGAAAAAATGGCAAAGTAGAAGCAATAATGTTATGAAAATGAATATTAAGCTAAATTTACCTACATGAAACAGTGTATTACAGGTGTCCCAGGTGTTTTTAACATTATTAAAATAAGGATGGGCTTCCATGTGTTCATGCTGATAAATTGTGCAAGGAAAAGACAAAATATTGAGTTCTGCTGAGAGTAGCTTAAGATTGATCAGGAAAAAAAAAAATTGTGTAGTCTTGCAGCAGCAGATTGGTGATTGCGACGGGCCTGTATTAGGACCAAGCAGCAACCTCCTCGGCTGAAAAATGAAGCCAAACACAGAAGTGCAAAAAAAAAAACAAAACTGCAGTTCTGCCACGAGAGTCTGGCTCCAGATGTGAGTCAATCCCCACAGACTCCCGTGTTAAAATGTCCAACAGCAGCATGTTTACAGCCTGGCACTTAAAAAAAGGTTTTATTCTCTATAGCCAGTTTTCCTCCTTCATGACAACTACATGAACTTTTATATAACCCAACAGTTTACATTTTATTAAGGTTTAAAATCATGCATAATTGAGGATGTCAGGCACTGAGCTTCAGAAAACCAATCTTCAGAAACCTGCGGGCGACGCCACAGAGGCCACGTCCATCTTTGTTTAGGGTCTGTGATTAGGACCCGGCCTTTTATTTGTTCCTGCTGTAAAATTCAGGGCCAATACAAAGAAACTGTGAACCACGAAGGGTTGAGTTTTACTGACAGTATCTTAACACTGATCAAGTGCTAACACTGACTCACAGCAGGAGAGCTGTGAGCGTGTCATGACTCTTGCCGCACTGGTGGAATAAGTGCTGTGGAGTCATACGCTGCACTGAAATGAACCAATATACTGTAGTGCACGTAATTCCAGCCTTCCTCGAAGCCACATAAAGAGACCAGCCTGTATTTGTTTGTACAGGACAGACTTTTCTTTGATTTTACAGTCTGTGTATACGTATGTCCTCTTTTCTGTGAGACCAAAATAAGCTCACCGGATAAACTGCAGACCAATACAAGGAAATGATGAATTATGATGAAATATGCAACTCGCTGTCTGTACCCCCCCCCCACCACCACCACCACCACCACCTCTCTTATTCCTGTGGATTTCCCTGCATGCCCACTGCTGGATTTTTTTTTTTGGTGCAATGAAACGTACCGTGATAGCCAATTTCTAAATACGGCTCTAAAAGCAGAATGACTCACCTAGAATGATTTGTGTGATTACAGCACGTCTGTCAGGCTGTATTGTCTGCCAGGAGCTATAGTCAACGCCAGTCCGCAGCTTATCAAGCCAAACTCCGCATTCTGCCTCACTGTAAAGGCTTTTTATGTTTTATTTTTTTTTCCTCTGTTCAGTCACAGATGATGAAAGGCAGCGACTCCCCCATGAAGCATCTTTGCTTTGTTAAAATAGAGATGTTGGCCAGTTCAGTTGTGCTGCATCAAGACAGGCCTGAGATCCTTCAGTGATTCTATCTCATACACAAATGCAATATATGTACGTATATTGCATTTCCATATATGAAATGTATGTAGGTATAAAATAAAAACATATATGTGGAAATTACATATGAAATCTATAAGAAATCGGAGCAATTTCATATATTGACATATATGTCTAGCCCGTACATGTGTGTCTGCTTGTTGTAGGCACATGTTAAATTAATGAGAAATGAATAAGAAAACATATATAAACATATAGATTTTTCTATATATCTGTTGTTTTAATAAGCTTACATATATAAATTAGATATATATATGTTGTATGTGTTCACAACGTCTTATACCATATAAATATCCATCACAGATATTGTTTTATTTACATATATGGGTATTTCATGCATGTTATACACATATATCTTCATATATCCAGAGGATGTGATAGTATATATCCCTTTATATGGCAACATGACGCTTGATATAGGGACGTACAGGTCACATATTACACGTCCATATGGTTCTGTAATGTGCTTTACTCCCAGCTGTATTTCTTTTCTCATCGGCGAGTTGTCTCATTAATGAAGCGCTTGCTCCCAGAAGTGTGATATTCCTCCTTCAATTCATTCATACGTAATAGCAATTTTTCACCTTTGGATAAAAGACAACAGGGAGTTCAGATGATTCATAGAGAGGGAGATTTTCCTGATCTGGGCAATGCACTTAGACTGTGACCTATGAGCAGGAGGGAAGTCGTTGCCTGGATGCATCAGTTCGGTAGGATAACCAGAGCGTTGTCTCTCCCAAGCCAAACATGTTTAAATCTCCTTTATAGAGGCTCAAGTCGCTGATAATGGTGCATTGAAATAGTGTTCAAGCCCTTTCTGATACTGTCTAGTGAGCTCTTTATTGTGCCGCCTCTAGCGATTAAGTGCAGTGCAGCATTTGCATGGTAATATAACAGCTCGCCGACTGCTTCAGCTGGAAAACGCTCTCCTGTGTAAGCTCCGACTGCATCTGGAGTGACCTCCAACACGCTTAACCCCCCCCTCCCCAGCTTGTTTGAATCAGCCTGGCAGATACATACCAGTGAGTGAGGATCCTCATCCTGTCAGTGTGCTACAATAACACTGCCAGGATTAATGTGCCGTAAGAGACTCCATCTGTATCTGCAACAACACCAACCTGTTTGTATCCATACGATTGGCTGTTACATAAATTAGACTTGAAAGTGAAGCTGCATGATGGTGATAGAGCTCAACAGACGACAAGTTAGACTACAAGGAAACCCCCCCACCCCCACCCCCATGTGACTCAGACTAGACCTGGTAATGTAAGTGTCGGGATAGGGTGCAGTCTCATTTACCCACACAATGGGTCAAAGATGCAACATGTAGGAAAGTCAGTTTGGTCTTTTTATCCAATGGCAGGCCAGAACATAATCAAAGGTTTATTGATTGATAAAAATGCAACAGGAATTTACTTTGTTACCGTTCACGTGTGGCGCTGTTACCCACGGTAACACATCATACCTTTGACTGATTTACTCACCTGGTCCGCCTGTATCATAGAACTTCCTGTCAGGACTTTTCTGAATAAAAGCTCACAATAGCTTGCTGCAAAAAAAACCCCAAAAAAACCAATTAAAAAGAGTCTTTCTTGCGCTTTTATTTTGTAAGCAAAATCGCTAAAGAGGAAGTGATTCTGTGGGTAACGGATATCTACATTCTCTATGAGTCTGATATTGTAAATTGATTGAAAAATAAAAGAATAAATAATCTGTCGGGACAGATATCAGATATTGCAGGTGAGACAGTTTTGGCCAATGGGCAGCCAGTTTCCAACTCGTGTCCAAAAAGTATGAAATATATACAATACATGTCGTCCCCTAAAGTGACAATAACATATGATGCAACGCGTAGCAGTTAATAGATGTGACACTCCCTCAGCCAGTGATGACGCTCCAGTGGTGACGTCTCAGTTTCCTTTTCACTGTACGAGTAACTGCCGAGTCATTTCAGACAAAACTGTTTTTCTAATCATCATTTTCACCTGGAAACAGAAACTGTGAAAACACTGACACTTAAACTGCACAACAAAAAGTCTGTTTTTTGTTTTTTTTTCTCACTTCCCCTCAGCGGCATCTGGCCGTGCAGATGTTACCGTATGGGCTGCAGAGAGGCCAGTGCAGGTTTTGATGAGGGATTACAACACGTACAGTACCCACAGTATTCTCAGGCTACATCACTGTTTAGCAAAGAGCTTCTCCGAGCCCCCGCCAGCTATAACAATACTGAATTTTAAGTTTTATGTGCCCCGGGTTTGAGCACCGCAAACTAATTCCTTTCACCACCATTTCATTGTGGAGGAGGCAGAAATCTATATCTCACAACCTGGACAAACAAAACCAAAACAATTGGCATGGCTTTATAAACTGTCTAAAAACCCCGACTGGGGGTTAGAGGAGGTCTGGCTGAGCCGACCGCTGAGGCTCTGTTTGTGGTGAAAGAACAGCACACTCTTCTTATTTCTTTGCAATAAATTGGTCAAACAATCAGCAGCTTTCCCACCAAAGCAGACTTTCAGTATCAAGACCGGCTCAGGCTGCCAATCTTCCTGGCAATAGTTTTGTTTTGTTCATGGTAATTATGCTAAAATGAATGTGACAATGATTTACTGACATTAAACAACAACATGTAGCATCTTGTTTTTTTGCAATTAGATCTGATTAATCAGTCACAGTGGTTGTCTTTGTCTCCCCCTCCTCCGGACCTCTCTGTCACGCACGGCCCACAGCTGCCTGTAAGGACTCGAAGCGGGCCCTGGAGGTATCCCAGCACGCAGAGGACATGGGTCTGATCCTTGGGGCCTGCGCCGGCGGTCTGGTGGTCCTCATTCTGCTTCTGGGGGCCATCGTCATCATCGTGAAGAAGGGGTGAGTGGCTGCGAAAACGTTTGCGTCTGCTGGGCAGTGGATGTGAGACGGGCTAGACCTTCTCACAGTCAAACATTTGCAGTCTCAAGTCTTATTGTTCCTGTATAGCCCCTCCGAAGGAGTAAATTTATCTCTATCCCACTTGGCAGCTAGGGTCTATTGAGGAAAGCGTTTGGCAATGAGAGTGAATTACAACCAGAGTTAGTGGAATGGTAGAGCATTAATCCTAAACTCTTCCACCGCTGCCTCAGCCAAGCTTTTGTGTTTCATCTCATCTTTTAATTTCAAGGTCTGTGTGTTGGCTGAGCACATTCAAATGCAGCCCGCTCGCACTGGAATCGCTGGCTGCTTTCCACCTGCAAATTACCTCTGTCGTCGATCGCACCTGCAGTGTATTCTTCCTCCACTCGCCGGGCGATGGTGGAACACTCATCTGAGTGTGAAATATTTCATCAAGGGGCATGTTATTCCATTGCCCACCCAATTACATGAGGCGAGCAGCTGTGAGGTGCCAGTGGATGGGCTAGTAATTGGTTAGGAAGGTTGTTTTTGCTTTTTTTTTTTTGGAGGGAGGAACTCCTCTGCCCCGAGGAATTTTCTCACAGAGAATAGAGGGAGAATGAATGGGGATGTCTGGGAGAAGGCAGTGACTGATAAGATTCAGTGGGCCAATCTAGCGGGCACAATAGGAGCCAGACAGCCACATGGGGGCAAACGGGAGCAGACATGTTTATATTCAGTCACAAAATACTGTCACTCTGCATGTGCAAAGTTAGACTCTGAGTTAATGTGCTTTGGTTCTGCAATCAGCAGGACAAATCAGAGATCCCATGCGCAGCCGAATATTCAGGAGGGTGGGTGCTCACGACGCAGGAAATGGGAATGAATCAAAACAGACAGAGCTTTCTGCACGCCAAAACTCAACTCAACCAATCTCAAACTTTTGGATATTTATTCAAGCACTGTCTGCAAGTGCAGGTGCTTCATCAGGCTCAACCCGCTTGTTCACACGAGTGCATATTCAAGTGCTGTAGTTCCTACTGTCTCGTGCATCTTAATGTCAGACACTGAGCGTCCGTCTCCATCTTGATAAAGGTTGGTGGACTGTGTCAACAACTGATAAGAGATGAAAAGCAGACGAAGTGTCACAGAAACTGTAACAGACGAAAGAATGTGAAATAAGTAAATGAGAGGGATGAAAATCCCATACCCACAATGCACCTTCACTGCCAAGAGTTTGGTCAGAGAGTTTTCGACTGAAGTCTGACACTAGCTGCAAGAGTTATTTGAGGGTGTTGCACAGAATCTCTTAAAAAAGTTTTCTTAGTTAAGGAAAAAGAAGTTTAAGGCATTTGCAGCAGTGAAAGATTTTATAGCGGTAAGATTCATCTGTTTCCATGGAGACTGTTTGCTGGCATTAGCTCTTGCGATACCCGCTATAGCTTTTAAGAAGCTGGTAGAAATTGAAGGAGTACGCTTCCATCCCATCCTCCTGTTATTTTTGATTGGAACTTCACATTGTTCAGCAGACGGTAAGAGGGTTTAAACTCGGTGAGCGACCCGACGCGGCGGTGCGTCCGTGGGCATGAATGACCTTGACTACAGCTGACCGCAAAGCGATCATTAAGCTGCAGAAAATAAAGGGGGATCCAACTCCAGGCAGTCAGACAAATCATAACCTGACCTGATCAAATCTCACCATGAAATCTGCCGTGTTGCAGTCAGTTTTTCCCTTAGTTTGGTCGTTTAACTGGCTTTAAGTGATTCCTGAAGTACAAGAGCAGGATAAGGAAAAAACTCATGAAAAAAACATTTAGGGAAAATCTTGCAACAGGCCCCAGGTGTGTTATGCTAGTAGCTGCTAATGTAGCCTCGAACTTCTAGCGATGAGACGAGGAGCGGGCAATAGGAGTCTGGTAAATCCTCACCCTCCGATTTTTTGAGGCAGATAATGCGACTTCACTCAGCTCCTCCCTCTGGAGCCACAAAAGGCTTTCGATCAGGAGAGACTAATAAGAGGAACAAAAGAGTGTGAGAAATCTGAAGTAAAATGGAAATTATTGTGAACAGAATGAAAAGACTTTGGAGCTTCGGCCCCCGACAGGAAGTGGCTCACCGTGGGGAACGGTACGCAGGATTAAGGTCCAGTCAATTAGAAAAGAGACTTCCCCCCTCGGTAGCCTGGACACTGGTGGTCTGCACAGTTAATGTGGTGCAGGGGGGGTGGAGGTGGTGCTGAAAGGACAAGCTGAATAACAGCAGAGAGAAATAACACTTTTAAAGTTTGACACCTCACACCCAGATGGCTAAATGTTACTTGCTGTACGTGCTTGTTTTCTTCAGCCCCGGTTCCACGGCCCAAATCTGGCCCGTATACAGCATGACTGTCAGATGCTTCTTCCACATCTGCACCAATTCTGGTGCACACACACACACACACACACACACAGAAAATCTTCCAGCTGTCAGTCAATACTGGAGGGTAACAGCTCTCACTCTGCCCAGATGTGGAAGTGTATGGGCCAGACTTGGGCCCAGGATCCTGGGGGGGATATGTTGAGCCACAGGTTTAATTTCGCTATCCAGTGTCAGGTTGTGATTGGAAAAAGATGAGGACGAGCTGGTGAAGCTGAGAGATAGTGGGAAATGGCACTTGTGACTTAAGAAAACCGTGCACAAGGAGATAGTACTTCCTGACTGAACTTTCGTCCAAAACTTCAGCAACACCTGGAAACACAGTTTGAGTTCTCCTTTAAGAAACTGACAAAAACATCCGCAACAAAAACACAGATTTAATCCAAGATGAGAAGTCCGTTGGTCCAGAGACGAGTCTTGGCGTGCGACGAGCCCTGTCTTCATCTTTTTCCCCGCTGTAACCTGCTTCACGACGGCTTCGCTTAAGAACATCCCAACGCACTGAGCATCTTCATTTATCTCTCTGGTGCCCATCTTGATAAACCATAGTCACCTCTCTTTTTCTTTTTTTTTTTTTTTTTTTTTCTTTCTCCTCACTCTCTGTCTCTCTCCTTTCCTCCTCCGTCATGCTAATCAGAAGGGACTTCTATTCTTACCCTTACTACCCGTAAGTTACTCCTCTCTCCACCCTCCTCCACCCTTCGACACCCCTGATGCCATCTCTCCCCTTGCTTGCCCTTCGTAGTCCCAGGATTACTAACGTGGAAATAAAGCATTGCTATCTCCAGCCCATCCTCCAGTATAGACCCCCCCCCTACACACCCCCCCGACACCCTCTTGCTATCACCAAATCTCACTTTCCCCTTCGTCCAGTTTCAATCTTGTAGCCCTTATATTTCCCCTCAGTCCAATTTCTCATCTCCTCACTCGCCCTGCTCTCCTTTCTTCCTTATCTCTTTGCCTGTCTTTCTCTCATTCTGCCCCTTTTCTGCTGTCCTCTGTCTATTATTACCCCCCCCCCCCCCCCCTCTCTCTTTCTCTCTCTCTCTCTCTCTCTCTCTCTGTGCCTGCCTCTCTACAGTAGGAAGAAGGTGGCCATAAACAAGGCAGCCATGTCCTACAGGCAGGAGAAGAGTCGGAAACTGAGCTCCTTAGACTGCAGCATGACGGAGCAGAGCACTCTCCAGCAGGATGAGAGGATGGCCCACTCCTTCATGGATGCCCACGGCTGCAACGCCCGAAGTAAGACGGCGAGGAGCATATGGGTGCTCTTGAGAAAGTGTCTATGGAGATGAAACTCCCTCCTTTCCTTCCTGACCTTCAGCCATGTTTACTTCCAAGCATGTATCCAATCTGTTGTGCCAGACCGTAAGAGAGAAATCTCCTGCAAGTGTCTTGTCTGTTTGAATATTCTGCAGTGTCAGTCACTCACACGTCTCGCGTCTCTGCGGAAACGCTGACTTTTTTTTTTATTCATCCTTCAGCTTTCCTCCTGGACTTTTTCAGCCGAGTTTACATTAATAACAAAGAGCAGAGTCTGTGCGTGTCAGCGGTATATGGCTCTAACTGTGTGTTGTCCATGTTCCCAGATGAGCAGCGCAGCTCCGTCAACGAGTCCAGCAGCTTACTGGGAGGCTCGCCGCACCGGCACTGTCGGAGGAAGAGCTCGCCGTATCACACGGGTCAGCTCCACCCGGCTGTGAGGGTCGCAGACCTCCTCCAGCACATCAACCAGATGAAGACGGCAGAGGGATACGGTTTCAAACAAGAATACGAGGTGAGAAAGGAGAACCAAAAAAAAAAAAGAGCCAATTAGTTCCAATTAAGGGAAATCTTGCAACAGCGTGTCATGACATTTGGCTTCCAGCTTTGTGCTGCATTTTCTACACGTTTCAACACGACAGTGGACAAAGTCAGGTCCATAAAGAAATGCTTTGCACTATGTGTAAATTCAACATGTCGTTCTGTACTTTCAACATAGAGTTACGCTATAACATGGACAAATGCAGACAGACGGCATAGAGAGAGAGAGAGAGAGAGAGAGAGAGAGAGAGAGAGAGAGAGAGCAAAACAACAACAGCGTCAGTGGTTTCAGCAGGAACGACATGTCTTTACATTTAAGTGACGAAGCCCTCTAGAGGCCATGGTAACTATGACGACCGTAAAGAAGGAAGTGAAGTGACGTCACAGAGAGACAAAGTCCGTTGTAGGGAGGAGGTCGATGGAGGATGGACGGGTCAATAAAACATCAGACTTTATCACAGCAGACTGACGTTTGTTTCCCCATTTGTTAAGCGTGACCTCGATTCCTGAACGCCGTTATTGTTATAACCATGACGGTGAAGCTCCTCCAACCACAGTCTTTCCCTAAAAAGTTGTTCATCGTCACACATGCTGTTGGACTCACAGCGCTGGAGGACTTGGGCGACACTACACAAGTCGGTTTCAACGTACAGTTGAGACATCACTTAAAATGGACACCTTCATTAAGCAGGTGTAAATCATTCGTTATTAGTCTCATTTTTCACCATGACAACAGATAATAACCGAGAGCCAGAGATTTATTTTTAGACAGTAATGTAAGATAAAGCTGATGCTGACACGCACACTCAGCGGTGTGAAGGAGAGAGGCTCCGAGACTCTTCCTTGTTTTCTCAGTGATCAAATGAAAAAATAAAAATAGCAGATTTCAGGTAAACACTCAAGAGTTTTGTGACATCACAAAGTTCCAGAAGTCCTGACGGCTGGTTTTAAGGCTCAGTTTCTGAATACAGACTGTGTGTGTTTCTCTGTGGACTGAGGCTTTGATACTTTCACAGTATTAATATAGAAGCTAGAGCTGATCTATAATCACACTACACATGGACACAGACCTTTACACTGGATGGGACCTTCGAATGTCGACAAGCATCGTCTGATCAGATGCTGGAGATGCAGTTCCATGAGCTCCTTCTCAAAAGAACAACGGAGAAGAAAATATGCTGTTACAGTGGTCGAGTCACACCGTGTCATGTTGAGTTACTGTTGCAGAGAAACACTAATACTTGCTTCAGCTGCCTGTGTTTTTTCTTATTTATTCATTCAGCATGTGATTGTGAACAAGATATTGCCTTTTTAAAGCAATGTAGAGCAAGTGAGCAGGACACCTGACGGCTACGGGGGCTGAGACCTGTGTGTTTTTATTTAAGAGATGCTCTCTCTCCCTAACACCTCCATCACCCTTTCTCCAGCTGGGCAAAAACAAGAAGAAAAACAAGATTACAGATGGTCTCTGCTTTATTGTAGGTGCAGTTAGTGGACGGAGCCGGCCTCAGTGTTTCTGCAGATGGATACCGTCGACTTTGAAAAAGGCTTAAACTGAAAGTTAAATATTAATGAGCGAGCTGTAAAATGCTGTTTTAGCTCATCTGCATTACAGAGGTAATGCAGATGTGCTGAACTTCCTGGTGTTGTGTGGACTAATTATGCTTTCCAAAGTTACCTTCTTTTCACTTTAACATGAGGATCTCCGTATCAACCAGTGGCGATGAGTCTTTTTTGCACCTCCACCTGCAGGAAGCCAGATGTACTTTTTCGATTCATTAAGCTATCCCCGGAGGCACCAACAAATTTCCCCACCTCCAAAATCAATATATGGGTCGCTTTTTCACTCCTCAGTCTGGCTCCCCATCGCCTGGAGAAATAAACAAGATGAAGGGGATCAGCTCACACACTGCTGTCAGACTTCATAACCCTTATTTCCCACAGGGTCACGCTGCTGCCATTGATCAGACATTGCAAAGGCATTGTGGGGGGGGGGGGGCTGTGAATGACTCAGGCCCTCGGTGTGGGTAGGGTACAGTATGTGTTGTCCTTGGAAGCCAACATCTGGAACCACGGGAAAGTGTGTCACCCTCGATGTCTGAGGCAGCCACCCAGTGGGTGAAGCTACGCCTTCATGTCTTCTCCTGGAGCCGCAGTGCGCCCACAACAACACCGGGAGACTGTGATGTGACGTAAAGCCTGACACACAGCGGGTTCGTCAATGTTGTGCCAAAGCAGAAATGGATATTTAACAGTAAAAAACAAAACAGAAAAGATAATCCTAACCCTGACCTTCATAATTCATTTTTTAAAAAACATTTTTGGAAGACACCATTACATTTCCTGGGTGGGTGCGGCTCAGGAGGTAGACACTAACGTCCGCTAATCAGGAAGTTGTTGATTTGATTCCCGCCTCTTCCAGTCCGCCTGTCGAAGTGTCGTTTGGGGCAAGATACTGAACCCCGGATCGCCCCTGATGTATCATTGGGTGAATGTGTCTTGTAGTGTCGATAAGTCCAGAAAACACAATATAAGTAGAGTCCATTTACCAGCTGTGGTCATTAAAGCTGCACCAATCACAATGTTTTGTATTTACAAACAATCGAATGACTATGTTTTATGTGAAAAGTGTAACTAGTGATGATGACCCATCTGCCGTCCACATCGACTCAACCGAGGTTGTTTTTTGTCTCTTTTAGTTCAACGTTCTGTCAGATTTTTGTCTCAGATGTCGGTGGAAACCAAAAGCTAAAAGAAGATTTTACAGAAAAATAAACTTGTGCTCTCCAGTGGACTGACAAACTGTGCAACTAGTGATGCAGTAAGTTTCGAAGTCGAAAGTCTTTCCCTGCATTTCGAGAAATCAGATCAGTAAACAGCTTCTGTTGTGTTGTGAAGTCTTAAATGCCCCGAAGAACGATAATGTCAATCAGCTGTTTAGTTTGTCCGACGGTGTCCAACATGAACAGACTTTCTGCTTTTTCACATGAAGGGTTTCTGTTTTTGTGTGTTTTTTCTCTGGGCTCTTCTCGCTGGTTTAAAGTGGGAGGCGCTCAGCTGATAAGAAGAAAACCTGCGTGGGTTCGCGTGTTGGCGACCGTCCATCCACAGTTTGTGACTGTGTGCTCTGTGAGAGCTCAGTGCATGTGCTGGAAAAGAAAAGCAAACTTCATGCTTGTTTTGCTCCCTCCCCTTTTTGTCCTGTTCTTGTTAAGTGGTTGCACTGTACCATCTTCTTTGTCTTTGTTGTTCAGCAACGAACGCGGCAGAGCTTCTTTCCCGCTGTTTTCTGGCGCGCATGTGTAGAATGTGGCCGCTAATTGTAGTGTGAATGAAAGGGCGAGCGCATCCGCCTCTCCACGTGGAAGTCTGAACCTGTGTGTGTGCATATCAGCGCATAAACAAACCTTAAGGATTGAGCGATATTTGCATATAAATCTCATGACAGTCAGGGGTTGTTTGCTCGTGTTGCCAGACCTCTGTCACTCACTTCCCACAAACAGCCTAGTTTTTTTGTCTGATAAACTAATAACTGAGGACGTTTTTTAATTTCATATTTATTCATGAATATTTATTGAGAAATACTTGAGATTTGAAACCAAGTTTTCAGGGGCTTTGCTGAGCGTTATGAAATTAGCTGATAAGATAATAGAGAAATGAATCGAGTAAAGCTCCATGAAGGTGAGCGGGATGTTCTTGTGGCTCCGGAAAATACAGGGTGCTGGACAAAGGCAGGTGTGTTAAGCAGGATTAGATCAGGTATTACCTGCGCAGGATCCAGTGGCAGATGTAATCCCCCCCCCCCCCCCCCCCCCCCCCCCCCCCCCCCTCCGATCAGCTTGCTTTCTCCGGCTCGGTTCGGGGTCTCAGGTGGTCTCCATTTGCACAGAGGGGATTGCTTGGCCGCAGATGAGAGGCGGCGTGCATCAGTACGAGAGCCGGGATGATGCCCACAGATGCAGCGGGGAGATCAAACTGGGACTTAAAGTGCAACAGAATATGTCACAACTCAAGCCAGGTCCATACAAGCTCCTATTTATGTTCCTTTTTTATTTTTTTCAAGCTCATCCTACGCTCACAGTATTGATTTAGATTCAGTGACTCATCTCACAGCACTGGCAGATTTAGTAGATGGGTGTCATAAACAGCTGTCACAAATTTAGCAGTTTAGCACTGAGGTATTAGAGAGCAACGGCTTCTTCAAGCAGCAAGTCTCGCGCTCCGTCTGGAATGAGAATGACTGTAGTGGGCTTGATCGTCCCCTCTCAAGGCCACAGCCGTCTCTCAGCGCCGCATGTCATCTCTCAGCCTCAGTCTCTCCCCTCTGTGTTGTGTGCAGATGTCTGCTGATGACTTGGCAAGATGCTACAACAGCGCTTAAGACAACCTCGGGGTAACAAAGTCGTTTCTATTGTTGAGTTTTTTTGTTTTTTTTCTTCTTCGAGACGCATCGAAGACGTATCGCGCCTTTTTTCTTGTAATGTCTCTCTTTAAAACTTAACTCGTGCTCTCTGTCTTCACTTCACAGAGTTTCTTTGATGGCTGGGACGTCACAAAAAAGAAAGACAAGACCAAAGGACGGCACGATAGCTTGCTTAGCCGTAAGTATTTGTGCATTTAGCCCGCTGGGTTAAACGGCAGATAATAAGGCGGAGATGTTGATGCTGTTATTACTTGGCTCTGTTCCAGCCTCGTCTTTTATCGCAGGCTTACAGGAGAAACATTAATAGCTGTTTATACTTACACACTAAAGTAGATTACCATTTAACGACACCACTGTCTGTGTCCTGTGAGTGAGCCACAGCCACCCAATAATTATTTTTACTTCTGCTTGAATGGTTGTTAATTCTAAAAAAAAACAACAACAACTGAATATGTAGGTAAGGTTTTTAATTAAAACTGATCAACAGTGGCTTTAATTGTGATTTTGAAATTTTGAATATATCTGCTATCATCAGAAATAATATTTTATTAGTGATTAGTGTTGAGCTGTAAAGCTTTATAAGAAAATGTTATCTAAAGTTTGTGTGCTGATTACACATACATTTATTATTATTAATTATTATTATTATTAATATTATTATTATTATTATTATTATTATTATTATTATTATTATTATCATCATCAAATATGGTTGCTTTGGTCCAGTGTTAGATACAACAAGCTCAGGTTAAAGCCGTTACAAATTCATTGTTAGTTGTACAAAAAGATGTACGCTCAAAATTTCAAAGAATGTTATATATAATATAACATCACTATTATATAAATGTATATTACATATTAGCATCATTAACAAACGGTGACATGTACCTTTTAAAACGAGCATTTCGCAGCACACTGAGTTAAAAGTGATCACAGATCCCATGTTACTTATGGGATGTTAATATAAGATAGAAATGACGGCTGAAACCATGAAAATAAGGCCCACGTTTTTAATAAGCCAGAACGATCCTTTTAAGTTGATGAAGAAATGCGGCTCGTCGCCTGGAAGACGTTCACATGAGGCGAGAGGGATGATGTGATATCTGCTCTCCTTTACTGATACGTAAATCTTGTTTTTGTGCGTTTCAGACGATCGCCATCGGGTCAAACTCCACTCTCTGCTCGCAGACCCCAGTTCTGACTATGTCAACGCCAACTACATAGACGTAAGTCACCTGCAGTCTTCTCCTTCCTCCTCTCTCGCTTCCTTCTCCTCCGTCTCTGTCTTTTCTGATCCCACAGCTCCCGCCTCAAGCGCTGGGAAATAATCGTGTTTTATTGTTGTGGTTGACCCGGCGCTTGACCGGAGAGCGTCTCCACCTGCTGTCTGAGGCTGCTGTGTGCGAGAGCTTCCTGTTGCTCAGGCTGAACTGCCATTTAGTAATTACGCCCACAACACAGCATCATTATCTATGCATTCCAGCGCACGCGGGCTCCGAGGTGAGATTTCTATCGCTCGGGAAGGGGAGATTTTATCGCAGCAACTCCAGAGATCCTACAAGAGCCCATAAGCTTGGAGCACGGGGCCGCACGACTCACCCAAATGCTTCTGCAAGGCGACATCGCACAGGAATTGGACCCACTATAACACAGCTGATCCTTTCATCTACTTTCAGATATTTTTGATCTCACTTACAGTTCAGCTCGAGTGAGTATCTTAGGGAGCCTCTCCAGTCCCAGCAGCAGTTTTGCGCTCTTGCCAGATCCTATCTTGGCAGCTTTGCATTAACCGGACCAACACTTATCTGAAGGACGGTCACTCTTTCCCTCAGAACGGGTCAGGCTGGGATCTCTGCTGCTCACTCGTAGCAGAATGGGTCACTTGAAGGTGACTCTGAAAAGCTCTCATCAGTCTTGCGTCTGTTTTTTTGGCACGGCCCGGTGAAGTGCTCATCTGGGGCTTTAACGTGAGTTTGTTACTGTCTGTGAATGCTGCGTTTCGTTCTTTGTTTCTGCCATTGTTTGCTGAACAAAAGGAAATGTAAAGTGGGCAGATGTAGGCTGGAGTGTACGTGGGTGGCATCGGTTACAGCGGGACGTCCAAGCTCTCAGGTGTTTTTGCGTGGCCACCTTCACTGTTTTCCACGAGGGCTCCATCAGGATCAACGCTCCACCGACCTTTTGTGTCATTAGCTGTGCGGCCTACAGCACCAACTGCGTGTCATGCCAGGAACCCTGGCTCACAGCACTGCAGTGAAACGACTCCAGATGATTCATGGATGAATCCAAGGGTTGGATCCAAGTTTAACAAAAAGGTTAAACAAAAAAGTTCCACCGCCCTCTCATTGCCATGAAGGATTACATCATTTTTTTCTTTTGCATGGGTAATAAGACATCTCATTTTATGTCAAATATTTAGACGTTCTTTTTGTTGGCGTCTGATTTTGACAGGTGTAACACAGAAGTGACACCGTACCCACTCAGTTCTTAAAGGATTTTTTTGCGTTGTGCCGTTCTAAACGCCCACGACCGAGGGGATTCTTTCCTCGCTCTGGTGCTCGGGAAAAGTGATGCCTGTTAACACTTGTGTTGGTAGCAGCGGTAATTTGTTTGGCGTAAGATAAAATGGGGAAGTAACGGTTGCCATGGCTAAGCAGACGAAGTAGAAAGGCTTAATTTCTTTGAAAGACGAGACTCAATATGCTGCATCTATCTTTGTCTGTCTTTGTGTTTCATCTGAAGAAGGCACGATGACCCACTTTATCCCTCCATGTCTCCTTAAAGAAGAAGTATGACTTCCTACAACTCGGCTCAGACGACCCTCAGCTACTTAAGAAGTCGTGGGCATCTTTTCCATAATAATAACCATATTCTGAGATTTCAAAACGCTGCAACTTTGCAACCAAAGTCAGGTTAGCCGAACTTACTTGGGTTAGGGAGGGAGTTTGGTTACGGCAAATAGAGCTAATGGCTAATATATAAAACATTAAAAGGAATGTGGTCATCTGCTACTCCATCAACTGCACCTTCCTTAAGGAGGAAAACTGGTTACTGTAAAAACTAAGGTGGAGTTTGTCATAGAAATATGGGAATTTTGAAGTTTCTGAACATTATTCTCTCCACAGGTCCTCAAAGCGAGCTGCTCTCTAATCATTTCATTACCCTCTTTTCCTGGTCTTTAATCACAATAACTAGCTCTTGTTTCCTCCCCTACTTTCCTTCTTTCTCTCTCTCTTTTTTCCGCCCCCCTCTTCCCCCCCCCCCCCCCCCCCCTTTTCAACCTTTTGGCACCTCTTAGATTCGGATAAACAGGGAAGTAAGTACCTTGCTTCTCATCTCTTTTCATCTCCTCTCCCTTTTTTCACGCTGCCCCCCTCTCGCTGTCCCTGCCAGCCCGTCATGGCTTCCCTCCAACAGCAGATCTTCCTTCCCTCTTCCGCTCTGAGCTGCTGAGCCTTTCTGCCTTTAGCCATCACTTCTCCCCCCCTGGGTATTTCCCCTGCAAACTGACTGCAGACATCTCTCTGTCCTCTTTCATCCATAGTCAGGTGCTCACCTGGAGTTCTTGCTTAACATCAGGTTGTCCTCTAGAAAGCTAGATAGCGTGCGACAGAGTAGAGACGATGAGGTCAGATCAAAGCCGAACGTGCACATCGTGACACGGCAGGCATTGTAAATATATTCAGTGACAGCTACTATGAACTAGGAGAAAGTGCACAGTGCATGCAGCAGGAATTATTTAGAGATAGCTTACATAAGTTTGACCTAATATTACTCTGAGTTTCACCACAGTTACACCAGGTCCATATTTATCAAGCATCTCAGAGAAAAGCAAGTAGTCGTAAAGTGGCCCTGAAGTAGGTCTATTACTCAAAGTCTGGCGACTAATTCAAGGGCTAGTTTGTGAGGTATTGCGGCTGACTAGCTAACCGCTCGCATGCTTGTGAGCTGGTTAACATGCTAGCGTTAGCGTTAGCTAGCTCAGTGTTTGTTAAGAGACTTACAACCATTAACTCCTGACTAACAACTGTAAACCCCCATTGTTATGTATTGTTATAAATGAATAGCTAATACGCAGCTGCGACTTGTCAGCGCTGTTAATTGATAATTTTAAATGAACAAAACTGTTCATCAAAGTGGATAAAAAAACATTTGTGGAATGTGCAGTAATTGCTTCACACAAATAACTTGGGAAAATTTTAATTTTTTTTTTGCCAACGAAGAAATGTAGCTTCACAGTGATAATTTGGGTCCCTCCGAATCTAAATTACAATGGTGGGCATGTTTTAAGAAAAAAAAACAACTATAATTTGTGTATTTTTGAAACATTTGTCTAAACATCTCTTTATCTTTTACTTCTGCTTAACTAGCTCGTCGTAAAACAAGTGATGATTCCTCGTGTGTTACTTGCTTTTCCTCTTGAATTTCAATTGCAGGTTGTAAGTCATCTGCATGTGTTGATCTCACAGTTTAAACAGAACAAAAAAAGACACAGAAAAAGCTGTAGGTTTTCACAAAAACCCTGGTGTCATTCAATCTCAAAGGAAGACTTCCCTCCAGTGCCCCGCTGCTCCCGGGGAGGTTGTTTTTCATCACTTACAAGTGATTCTGAGATGCGTGGTAAAATATGAGTTCATTTATTTGCAGACACGAAGGTCAGCTGTTCATTAACTTGTCACAGGTTGTAGCTAAAGCGAACCAAATCTATCAAGGCAAAACAAACTGAAAGTTGTTTTTCTATCTTTTTGATAGAATTGATAAACTTTCCACATCTCAAATGAATCTGCATGTTTTATTTTTTTTATTTTTTTATTATTTATTTATTTTACTTTCCAGTCCATCGTGAATTGACATTGCTTGATGTTTTTTCTGCTTGCCTGCTGTTGGAAAGTGCAGTTGCCAAGGTGACAGACAGGAAACCGGTTGGCCCAGGGAAACTCAGCAACAGAGGCTCATGGGAATGAGGGTCGCTGCACTCTTTCATAGCGATGGCCATCCATCTCAACTTCTCTCTGTGGCATGACAGTTATGGAATGTAATTTGTGCGGCTGTCTGGCTGGATAGTGCATATGTGTAGAGTGTGTGTGTGTGTGTGTGTGTGTGTGTGTGGGGATGTGAAAGATAGTATGTGGGCGGGTGTTTGGGTGTACAGTAGACACAGTGTACATTATTTGTACAAATGTTTACCGTATACAGCAGTTGGAATCACTTTACCCATGAGTGATGAGAGGGCGCACTAATCTTAATGCAGGGGAATCTATCATGCTTGGCTGCTCTGCATTCAGCACACAGGGTCTGTGTGGTGGAGGGCCAAGATGCCACTAATAGCCCTCCAGACTGTGCACACTGTATCATAACTGCACTAATGCCAAGCTGGGCAGAAAGGAGACAGCCAGATCAGTCAGCGTCACTCAGGTAGAATTACTCACTTGTCTCAGGATCTCTCACCCGTCAATCTGCCTTTGATCAGCAGCCATGGCGGCATGCAAACTCCCGTGCGCCAGGCCGTCTTTGAAATGCAGCTCCCTCGCTCCGCATGTAATGACCTGGCTCAGAGGCAGACGGAGAAAAACTTGAATTCGTGCCATTTCTCTGTGCATTATAATTCGAGTGCGATCCCTCACCCAAACTCGGAGCCTAAACAATCCAAAAAAGAACACAGCCGGTCAAACATGCTAATGTATTTTAAGCAGAGCCCCATCAGCCAAACAGCACAGCGCCGTTTTCCACGGCTGCTGAAACATCTTTAGTCAAAAGCAGAGCAGAAATTTAGCAGAGCGCTGACATCAAGCCCCGCTCCGAGATGAATAAGAGATGATTTGATGCTGAAAATGGAGAAAGAGAATGGATGGAAGGGATGAAATGAGAGTTAGAGGTCCCCGTGTCTCATTTCATCATTGTAATTATTAACTCTCTCCCATCTTTTTCTTTCTTCTCTCCACTATCGTTCTTACTGTCTCTGTCACACAGGGTTACCAGCGATCAAACCACTTCATCGCCACTCAAGGTGAGTGTAAAGCAGCCCAGCGGCGGTGTGTTTGACTGCTAATATTTACATTCTGTTTGTTTGTGGCGTCCTTTACACAGCAGCCCAACTGACAGTATTGAAATGAGCTTACTGAAGTATTAATGTGCGAACCAGATGGAGTCTGCGTTGCATCATGGTCACATCTGGATTTTCCACCTTAAAGCTTCACTTTTCCTTCGGCTGTGTGACACACTCCCGTAACAATCGACTGTAACCGTCAGTCAATCTGCACTGTAACACCACTGACTGTCGCTCCCTGTGAAGCTCGGCTTTTGTGTCTCTCCTCCCCGCCATCTGCATGTGTGGCGCACCATCTCTCTGATGTCGGTTTGATACAGTATATAGGCTGCATTCCCCAGGCAGCACACACACGATCACACAGAGAGAGAGAGAGAGAGAGAGAGAGAGAGAGAAAGATAGAGAGTAAGACATTTTCTTTATTCTCTCCTGGCTCTGATCCTATTTATTCAGGGAATATGTTTTTCACTTCCGTAATCCCCCTCTGATTTCTTTCCACCTCTCACTTTGGTCTCAGTTCTACCACTTCACATAAGTAACCTCCGAAAATTTCTCTCTCTCTCTCTCTCTCATTCACATTTTGCTCACAAAGTCTTTCTGCATATGAGGGTGCAGGCAGAGGTGGAAGGAGCGCCACGATGTGCTATCCAAGAGGAAGCACTCGGTGAAATTAAAATTTTACTCGTAGTGGAACTAAAGGCACTGATTCACAGTATCAAAGAAAACATTAAAGTTTGTTTGATTCATCAAATAGAGGGCTGATCATTTTAATTCAAAAACAAACAAAACTACTTCTGAAAGTAATTTTACATATTTAGAAGTTTCCCATGCTAAAATACTGTCTAAATGTACGTGCTTCTTTGGTAAGTTTGATTTTATTCTCTTATTTATTTTATTATTTCCGTAGTTTTTCTGGCCTGTAGAAAAGAATGACAACAATGGATACTGCTTTTATACTCCTGTACAAAGTTAAATGAAAGTGGTGACATACCAGTAATAGTGGTTATCACAGATACAGCTAAGGTAATATAGTACAGTTTATACATTAAATAAATTAACTTGTAAGTTTCAAATCACATCCCAAGCCATTAGCAAACCAAAAAAAACCTTTTTTAGTTTAGAAATTTTGAAATTCATAGAGTCCATTATCATAATGCACAGAACATCTGCTGGTCTATTGAAACATTAATGCTCACACCTTGATGCTAATAACCCTCTTAACAATATTTAACTGTTGTGAAGATAGAATGTTTTACACATAAATGGGTGTGTTTTTTGTAATCATAACTGAAACGCTTCATTAGCAAGACTGTTATTGCGTTAAAGGAGCTATTTGTAAGCTTTGCTGTCGCTACGTTGCCAACGTTAGCATTGACAGCTGTTTACCTACCGGTTTAAGAGAAACATTCAGCATCAAACTTCCATTCCTTTACTCATGCAACAGCGGCTAAAGCTCTCGGTAAGCGAACAGCTGTCAGTGCCGACGCTGGCCATGGTACAATAGCAAAAACTTATAGATAGCTTATTTAAAAGGAGATTGTAGCCCAACAGAAGTTCCATGCATTTGATTGTATCATTACCACGTCAAACGTTCTCTTACATTGAACATTAAGAATATTTTGTCTGGTTTGTGAGGGATGCACTTTAAATATCAAATACATTGCTCCTCTCAAAAGTGACTTAAAGGGAAAGTCATTAGTACTTTTTAAAGGTTCCATCTTATTTTCATAGTTTTGGCCATCATCCCTGTCAGTTAGGATATGAATGTGAAAGGTTTCCAATAAAACCATCACCATCATCATCACCATGTCGACACAGTAGGTGTAGTGTGAGCAGCACATTAGCCGAGCAGCAGCCTCTATCCTACCTGTGTGTCAGGATGCATTCAGGCACAGTATTTACAATAGGTCATCCGTGTTTTTGAAGCGCACAGAGCTCAACATCCAGTATAAACACTGCAGTTATGCTGCAAAATGGGAGCAAATAGACTTTAGAGGTAAAGGTATATACTTTGGGTCACGTTAAAAGCAAAGGCCGATTGTGTGCCGTGCTGTGAGAGCTGCCAAAAGACGAGTCACCTACACTCAGCACCGTGCCCCAAACGTATCCTTTGCACTGCACTGAAGTTGCTGCTTTGGTTTGGTAATGCGGGCTGTGTGAACACAGTGTAATCCAGTGCCTGTGAGTCAACATCCAATGAGGGTGAGTCGCAACATGATATGCACATTCTGATATCTATCCTTACAGTAGGTCAGAGTTCTCCTGTAGACGCTCGCCCCCACACCGGCACCTGCTTACGCTCTCAAAACAGCCTCCGTTTTTTGTGGCTCGGATTCCGCAAGATGTTGAAAAACTTTCCTTTTGAGTTTCTGCTCCGTGTTGATCTCATTGCGTCACATCATTTCTGCAGATTTTTTCAGCTGCATGTTCACGCTTCAGGTCCGGAGACCGGGGAGGCCACTGAAATTCACTGAACTCATTGTCGTGTTCGTGAAACTCAGTTTGAGACGACTTTTGCTTCGTGACATGGAGCATTATCTTGCTGGAAGTAGCCATTGGGATGTGATGATGTGGCCATAAAGGGATGAAGCAATACCCAGACAGGCTGTGGCATTCAAACCATGATTGATTGGTATTAAGGGGCCTAAAATGTGCCAAGAAAACATTCCCCAACACCTGTGAGTCTGTGCCCACCGCAGCCTCAGATTTCTGTTCTTGGCCGACAGGAAGTGAAAACGTGACGCGGTCTTCTGCTGTTGTAGCCCAACTGCCTCAATGTTTGACATGTCGTGTACTCTGAGATGCTTTTCTGCTCACCACAGTTGTAAAGAGTGGTTATCTTAGTTACCGGACTAGATTGGTTGTCAGCTCCTCTGTGCTCTCTCATCAGCAAGGCGTTTGTGTCCACACAACTGCCACTCTCTGGATGTTTATTATTTTGTTTTTGGCTCCATTGTGAGTAAAAACTCTTAGAGACTATTGTGTGTGAAAATCCCAGGAGACCAAGAGATCAGTTTCAGAAATACTCAAACCAGCCCAGTCTGGCATCAACCATCATGACAAAGTCGCTGAGATCATATTTGTTCCTCATTCTGATGTTTGATGTGAACATTAACTGAAGCTCCTGACCTGCATCCACAGGATTTAATGCATCGCACTGCTGCCACATGATTGGCTAACTGGATAATTTGCATGAATAAGATAGACTGTATATAAAAGTGGATGTTATCCATAGGTTTCTGAAGAGCAGTTCTGAAGCTCAGTGAGCTGTTCCACCGTTGCCATCTTGGCAGTACCTGACTCTAATTAATTCTCGGCTAATCAAACAAATCCAAAAACTGTTTTTTGTACCAGGCTGTAAACAAGTTTATTTCTACTGTAAAGTTGGGCATTTTAACATGGGAGTTTATGGAGATTGACTCACTTTTGGAGCCAGCATCAAGTGGCCATTCGAGGAAGTGCAGTTTTCCACACTGCGCAGTTAGTTCCTGTTGATGTTTTCTCAGGATCCCTCTGCAGCCTGGCTGTGAAATGTATGATGTTGTTGTGCATTTAAATTCAGAGTCTCAACTACCAAATGTTAAAATTCAAGCCCACACTGATGTCAAAACTTATCAACAAAAATAAATAAATAAAAATATAGATATATATATAAATATTTTTCAGATGGTTTCATTAGCACTCAGACACTGTGAGAAGCGCCTGCAGTGTATTGTGTGTTTTGAAGCAGTGTATTTTTTCTCTGGGCGTTGGTTGGTTTGTCAACTAAGTCTCTAACAAACAACTTTTTAAAAAAATGTAAAGAATAACGAAAAAATGTAACGATTTCTGACATAATTTACTGGATTTTTTTAAATATATTTTTGGAATTAATTTAATGTTTCTAGATTTATTGATTATTGACCATTTTTGGTGGTAATTATGCATTCATGAGCTTGGTTGCTTGGGACAGCAGTGTTGGTTACCTGCTAACTAACCTGAAAATATGAAATTAAGATCAAGCTATAAAATATATGCCAAAGTACAGTCTGTTGTTGTTGCCAAAGTCACTGCAATCCATTACTTCCACACAGTTTGCATATACTGAATAACACTCTGCATATAAAGGCAGTGAGCCTTGGGTGGTCGGCCATCGCCGCAGGTTGAGGTTGATTTTTCTTTTTTCTTTTTTGTATCTTAGATGAGTCTTAAGGTAGCTGAGTTTCTGCAGCAGGCAGCAGGTGCTCTGGGCTAACTCTCTATTATGTCCAGAGATGAGGGAGCGGGAGGAGGTGGAATGAGGGGGAGGCGGACGAGGAGGAGAAATGCCAAGCGCACTCTGAAAGCTGGAGTCCAAAGCGGCAGCATGTTGTGCTATGCATACAGATTCACCCCAGCTGCTGGGATCACACATCATCCGTCTCTTAAACTGACTGCCACATCCCTCTGGCGATGCATTAGTGGGCTTCTCCCGCTGCTGCTGAAAAATTAACATCTCGTATCACTAATACACATAGAAACCGGCGCGGTGATTGCTAACATGGAGGGAGCTGCGAATAAGCCTGTGAAGAGCAGAGAAAACAGTGGTTAAAGTAGCAACCCTCTTGTGCGTATTAAGGCGCCCGCAGGCTGGCGGTGGCTCACCTCAGGTCGACTACAGTAAAGACCAGTAACTTGACAGACGTGGAAGGAGAAGCTGTTGTCAGGCTCTTCAGACGCCTTGTTTTTTAACAGGCACGTAAGGTTGTTTCTCCTCCACCTCCTACTGTATTTCTCAACCTTTGAAGGTCTTTGCCCCGGGGCGTTTAGTCAAATGCATACCTTTTGATTCCTCTTATTAAGACAACTGTGGAAGTAAAAGCAGTGGAAAAACAAGAGCTACTATGTTCCTCATTGCTTAGGTGTGGAGAAAAAAGCTTCTCTGAGCCTGTGTGCTGCAGTTTTCGTGCTAATATTTACCTTATCCAGGATTATTTCAAACATACAATAGAATCTTTCCCAGTCGGACTCTCAAACACTTGTCCATACCTTTTGTCATCATGTGGATGACAAACCACACAGTTGACAGAGGTCACAGGAAGCAAGAAACACATGCTTGAATTTCTTTGTCGTCCGGGCTTCAATTGAAGCGATTGGAAGATGGAGGAAATATTAGCATTGCTGTCATGCTCTCAGCCTAACAAAGAATGCAATGTCACAGTTTTAATGTGGGCAGTATTAAAATAGCTGCAGTTCTTAACAAATGTTACCCCAACGAGAGTAAACAGAGTATTTGTTTGGGGCCATTTTCAGCGGCAGATTAATCCACATTTGGTGTTTTGGCAGCAGAACGTTGCATGTGGGACTGAGTTAGAATAAACTAAGATATATCAGGCTTTAGATGCACAGTTAAGACGTGTTAGCTGGATATATTCACTTGTTTGTTGTTTTTGATTGTTTTGTGGGACTATAAAAGAATAGAGAAAATATAGATGTGACTGAGTTTATGATTTTAGAATTGCTTTTTTTTTTATGAGATTCTCCTCTACAAATAAACCTGAAACAGATTAAGAACAAACTGAAGGCAAATAAAGTGAAGAGTTAAAAGATAAATCACTCCGCTGCCAGCCCACAGAGGAATGATGAGGCGCAACCAGCTCTTAAAAAAAAAAAGTCATCCAGGTCAGTTATGGGAGACAAGATAATATTCCTATTAAACAAACTGCGTGGGAAGAAATGAATAGACATCTTGTTCACTAACAGAGGTGTGGTGTGTTTGGCGGAGGAGGCCGTATGAAGGAGGACCCGGCGATATTATCAACGCCACCATGTAATGAAATCAATGAAAGTGTCATCTTCTTCAGGGGGGCTGTGATTTGTGTCAGCCACTGCTGCCTGGGAAAAGCAATACATGAGCTTGTTTGCACAATGGCTCAGGATTTGTGGGTGTATTGAAATGACATTTCTCAGTAGTATTAGAAGAACACAGAGCGGGCAATAGTTCATGAGTGGCACATTGTTACTCTACTCCCTGGCATGGATTACACAGCGCCTCTACATTGATGGTTATTGCCGCTATTCTCTCTGACTTATGGCTCATCTCTCTTTATCCTCCTCTCTTTCTCTTCTCCACCTTCTCTCCTGGCTTTTTTTCCTCTCTCTTCTCCACCTATCCTTTACTGTATATCTCCCCTCCTCCACAGGCCCCAAGCAGGAGATGATCTATGACTTCTGGCGGATGGTTTGGCAGGAGAACTGCTTCAGTATTGTCATGATCACCAAGCTGGTGGAAGTGGGCAGGGTAGGTTTCGCTTCCCTTTGTCCTGTGACCTCTCCAGCCCCTGCGAAGATGGATGGAGGGAATGTATTTCTGGAGCTTCCTTTATCATTTCCTATATATCAGAAGAGCTGCTGTGCTCTGTGTCGTGGGAGGAAATGGCTCCCGCTGTCTGATCATGAGTGATCACCTTTCGCTTTGGTGGCTGCACACCAAGGTCAAAGCTTTGATGTATATGAAGGCCCAGGGAGGAATTTTCTGGCCTCTATTAACTATTCCTGCCTTTGTGGAATACAGCCGCCCACTGATACAGTATTCAAAATGTGTACGATAAAAGTGTCACGCACCAAACGTACAATTTATAAAATGTGATCAATGAAGATATCAGAGTTATTATTAGTATTGAGCAAATTCAAAGGGTAATTCCAAAAAGTTCAGTAAACAAGCTAAGCTAACTGCTACATAGCTTTGGCTAGGGTCGTACCAGCTATTTATAAAACGTAATAAGACTTTGTGTGTGCAGTCCTTGCTAATTTCTAAGTAACTGATAGGTAGTAATATATAAGATAGTACAAAATCTAATAATGTGTAAATTGGTTGATAGGAAACACTCAAAGCAATCAATAATTGTAAACAGGAAGTCACTATATCGTCACCAGGTGTAGCATAACTGCAAAACATGTAAGACTATTTGTACAATTTCGAATAAGTGCGTCTAAACTGATCATGTTATCCTAACCAATGCTATTTAGTCATGTAGTCTGACACTATTATTATTATATATTATTATTTTTGTGAAATGTATCTTAAATTGTTCCCAGTTTACATCATTATTTAACAGGATTTTATTAAATTTTGGGTCATTAGCCAGCTAGTATTTGTTTTGTTTATTTAGTTAGCTATAACAACAACTGGTAGTTAGTGGGTGTAACTACTTGCAACTTAACTCCACGCAAAAACAAGTTTTTTTTGTGGTACAACCTGCTGTGATTCAAAACTCTCCACTTACATACATTTATGTCGTATCTATGCTACAGTTAGCTTACAAAGAGCTGGTACATCCAATAATATTTTTAACATAACTGCCAATCCTTTGTAAAAGTAAGCATGTCTTTGTTTTGTTTTTATGTGCAGACATGGAGATTTATCTGTATTTCAGATGTAGTGGCCAAGTAGTTTAGAATAAGTTGGAAATATAAAATCATGCTAACCTAGCTTACTTTATTAGGTCATTATTAGCATACACTGTGGAGTTTCAGGTATATTGTGTTATTTTTACTGAACATAACTTAAAATTCTCCCAGTTTACATCATTATTAAACAGCATTTTATCCAGTACCACGTCCAATATATCCTATATTTTACTTTCATATCTAAACAGGTCATACTGTATACTAGCAAGACAATTTCAGTTTTGTTAGCTAATTCCATTAGCTACACAATAGTTACACCTGGCTGGTCCTGGGAGTGAATATTTAGTAACGACTAATTTCAGAGTTACGTGTAAATCTCCACTTAGTAAACACTTTGTTTACGTATAACTAGATCTTACAAACAGCTGGTGCAACCAACTACTGGAGGAACTTTACCAGAGTCTACGAAATTAAGGATATGGATATCTCTGCCTCTGCTACATCCATTTTTACTATTCTTTTTTTTTTATTTTTTTTTATTTATCTCTTTTGAGAAACTTTATGGATTGCAAAGCAAAATTGCTAAAGTAACCTTTAACCAAACTTATACAATCAGAAGCTGTAGCTTTAGAGCTATTTCCATACTAAAAAAAAGCTGAATGGTGCACATCTAATTTTGTGAAACTGAAATAACAGACACATTGAGAGGTCACAAGTTAACAGAGACTGGGGAAAAAATGTGAAAATATGAAATGTAAAAATACTCAATATAATTAAAAGTGACCTTTTAGTATTTCACCCTTTCACATGACAGTGCAACTCTCGTCCCCATAGGCGACGACTGTATAGTCTTCCTTTATAAGTGAGAAAAATTTCACTTTTTTGGATCAGAAAATGAGTCTGCAGCCTGAAGCAGTGGAAAGTGTTGACACTGTGCAGCCAGCAGTAGAGGAAAATGTCGACGCCACAAAAACACACTGCATCAACAGAAAAATAAAACAGCCATTCTCTCAGAAACTTAAGCGTGAAGGGTTGGAGGGCCGACTGGTCGTGGATTGAGAGGGAAAATAAAAACCATCACCGACCGCGAGTTCTATTTCCAAGAGCAGGAAATGCCCTTTTAAATCATATCAAAACACGTCTTATCTTACCTTGGTGTCAACACTTTAATGTCTCAGATGTGGCAGTGGAGATGATTGGAAAAACTGTAGTATAGTCCAAATATTTAGCAAAAGTCACAGCAGGTTTAGAGCATTGCAATTTGTTTGCTTGTGGAAATCTCAGTGCCAAGTGGTTTGAACGATTGTGGGCTAGTGTTGAGATAAATCAGTCGTTTATATATGTGTGTGTATATATATATGTGTGTGTGTGTGTGTGTGTGAACCTTTCTAAACTGAAACTGTTTGCTGTGTGTCCAGATGAAGTGCTGTAAGTATTGGCCTGATGACACTGAGCTCTATGGTGACATTAAGATAACACTACTGAAGACAGAAACACTGGCAGAGTACACCGTGCGCACCTTCGCCATGGAGAGGGTGAGTCATGCTCTCATATTATTTTTATCTCAACTCTCTCTCTCTCTCAGCATAGCTTCTATGTCTCTATATACCCACCAATGCAGTTGCCAGTTTATTAGGTACACCTAGCTGGAACTGATGTACTCTAGTGATTTTAGCCAGGTGTACCTAATAAACTGACAACTGAGTGTATGTTTCTCATCCAGCTGCTGGTTTGCAGAATCGGTTTCTATTTGTGTGCTCCTCTGAACATTTCCATTCTTCGTAATAATAGCACCTCATTAAATTACCTGATTGTTTCTTCTAGAGAGGTTACCCTGCTAAACACGAGGTGTGCCAGTTCCACTTCACCTCCTGGCCTGAGCACGGCGTGCCGTACCACGCCACTGGCCTGCTGGCTTTCCTGCGCCGGGTCAAAGCCTCAACACCTCCCGATGCTGGGCCTGTGGTGGTCCATTGCAGGTGACCCATCACCTTCCATCCTCATAATGAGCTAAACAGCTAACAGATATAATGGTTTAAAAATAGACCACAGCCTCAGTTGCTTCTTCTCTAATATCAAATTTCTCTAATGTTCTGCACATTCCCGCACACTTAATTTACCCTGTTTATTTCTACTTCACTTCGTGCTTCTCTACATTTCCTGAAATAACTTTGAGTTCCTTGCACATGTGAAAGTGGAAAGCAGAATAGTGAGAAAAACCTAAATAGAATTAAACTTTCCAGCAGGATGTTGTATTTCACACATAACCAGCAACAAATTCACAAAGAAAGTTGCATTTCTTACAGTCAATCACACTGTCTGTCTTTTCAGGGAAGGACTTTAATTTTATTTTCTGTTCTGGCTGTTGGACAATAATGATAAACCTCGGAAAGAAGCCTTTGCCCACAGATTTACTTTCCATTCACCTGTTAATATGTGCATAGGTCAGGTTTATTTCCTTTTTTGTAATTCTGATTTTGCATGAAAAACATATATTCCAAATATGGAAAAAATAATGAAATATTGCTGCCAAAATTAGCAAATTAGTTTGGTTTAGATGGAATATTTGCCAAAAGAGGAGACACAATACTGATGGAGTTTTCTAATACATCTCGACAGCAACACTGCAAAGCACTCAAGTCATTCTGTTACTCACTGTTACAACCTTCCTCTCCATCAGAAAGCCCAAAAAATCTTGAGGCGTATGAAACCCCAGTCTGAGTCCAGAAGGGGTTCTTGTTCCGCGTCACCCTCTGAACTTAGAGGTTTGCTTCCTGAACAGCTCCTGAACAGCAGATGGATTTATTAGTAGTTCAGCTTTTGAATTCATGCTTCGGACTTCCAGTATGGCGTCAGGGCGCGTAGCAGTGTGAGCGCACGACCTCCCTGACAGGGTCTATTATAGTCACTTAAATGAATCCGGTGCTACACATATTGGAGTTAAAACATAAACATAGAAGGGGGAAAGCAGCAGAAAGCTAGAGACAAATTATCCCAGAGAAAGACAAGAAAAGGATTTTCTCTTTCTCTTCGGAGAGGACGTCAATCGCAGGTTAAATGAAACTGCCGGACAGATCTGGAAGGACGCTCATGAAGAAACAATATATACGCGTATACAGGACGCCTGAAGACGCCAGAGGAGACAACATGCAAGAGTTTATTGAAAGTTTTATCAAGACAAAATTGTCCCGCCACGATACTGAACTTGGAATACAACACTATAACAGGACGCTCGGCCCCCGGACCACCGCAACATGCTAATGCCCGATCAGTTACCGCATCAAGGAGTCGGTGCTATGCTCTGCGTGTTCTCCCGTCCGGGAAGAGAGTGTACTTTGACCGGGAAACCCTGGCAGAGACTCGGACAGAGAGCTATGGCCCTTTGCTTTCAGACAGTGGTCCCAGCACCTGTAACAGCGCAACAGAGGCGATGGAGGATTTGCTTCAGCACCAGACGAGAGACTCTCCTGAAAGTCTCCTGGGAGATGGTGGACATGAAAATGCTCCGGAATCGAGACACACACAGATAGAGACCAAAGTCTTCAGGGACCTTTAAGTCAAGAAGTTTTGAAAAATATCGCCCTGCAAGTGCACTGAATTATATACTCATTACAGAGATATATCAGTTTGCACTGGGGAGGCCCTTCGTAAATCAAAGGTTTTCCTCTCCAACTGATAACATGTGAGCTGCATTATATTATCCCTTGGTGATCCGTCTACTGCTCTCCTGTGCATCTGTGCTTCGCTAAAACAAAAAAATTACAAAAATGAAGTTTAAAAAAATACAATAAAATCCTGCGGTTGGTTGGTTTTGTTTTCAGTCTTGCTCCGCACCAGAGTTCAACGGACAAAACAAACCGTGCAAACCGGGCCTACGTCTTCTCTGGCGGTTTTGGTCTCTTGTTTAGTCTACATTGAGCATGACATGCCACCAAGTCAACACAACAAATGAATATTGTGCGGCATGTAGACGCCTGTCATCACAGGGAAGACTTGCGATTTTTCAACACTCACCAAGATGCTGAAGATTTTGTTGCTTATCTCTGTTTTTTATTCTAAACGCGTCTGCCACGGCACACCAGCTATCTGACTGTGGCCCTTAATTCTGATTAAGCACCAATCCTGTTACATCTTATCATAAATTATGTGCTTGTTTAACAATATTGATGCACTGCAGGGAGGGTTTTTCTTTTTTGAGGCATAAAGCTTCCCAGTGCAGGCGCTCAAATGAGTTTTAAAGTAGCAAACACCTTACCTTCACAGACACCCACACCTGCCTTTATAGCAGTGTTAGACCCAGACATGCAAGGCACAGGCCACGATATAGGGCGTTTTTAAATGTCTTGTCACACTCCAACTAAAAGGTTTTTAACTTTTCTTTTTTTTTTCTCGTGCTGCCAGAGCACAATGGTCACTGTATTCCCTTTATTTTTCTCCCGAACAAAAGCCCTTTATTACACTTGACTTTGGGCAGAGTATCTTGATCATTACTAAAAGCTCCCTGCTGAGGCTTTTTCATTTCAGTGATGTATTCAGGCTTGTCAATCCCTCTCCTGTCTCCCTTGCACCAGTATGGGGGCAGGCAGGACCGGCTGCTACATTGTGCTGGATGTCATGCTGGATATGGCTGAATGTGAAGGAGTGGTGGACATCTACAACTGCGTCAAGACCCTCTGCTCGCGCCGCATCAACATGATCCAGACTGAAGTGAGTGGGAGGGCGGCGATGTGGTTAGAGAGGCTGAGCTGAACTTTTAACCTAGAACTTTTATATTTAGCCTTTATCAAAAGTGATTCTACAAGAATTTTATTCCTACAAACACCAGTGGTGGAGGAACTGTTTAGACACTTTGTTATATCACCCACCGCTACTTCAGAATAAAAATATATCATATGTGAAAGTGTCTGGCCTCTTGGTAGCTTTGAAACAAGCTGCTGTTGGGTTATTTTTTTCCATGCAGCAGACATGGAGCCACAAGCATTCAGTTGGAGTCATGTGTCCGGCCACTTGGGAAATGTAAGGCCACTCTTCTTTTAGCTTTGTTTTGGCCTCCACCAACTCCTGAGGCAAATATCTGGCTCAGTAGCAAACAGTTGGCTAATCAACCTATTTATTTATTTTAGCCAACTACATTTTCATGCTTTGGTTAGAATCAATTATTTGATCAGAGCAGAGTTTCTGGGCCTGAAAACCAAAACTAGCTAAAAGGTTAGCGACCTTTAGCATCTGTCACTTTGTTTGTCTGGATATGGTTCGAGTCAGATCACATACTGTGTGTTCAACTGCAGCTGGTTAGTTATTGGGTGTAAAACCAAAACAAAGCTAAAAGAAGTTGGGTGACAATACTACACGTGATTTACATTGCAAATAATCATTTGAAGCTTTAAGTTTTAAAAAGTTTGAGTAGTTTAATAACAATGCATCATATTTAAGACTATCATGTATTATTTATGTAAAACAGGAAACTGCAAATTATCTATAAACTATAGATGTCAAGTTAATGCACCAGATTAAAATGTAGAAATTATTTCCCTCTGAAATGTGGTGGAATAAAAGTATAAGTAGCATAAAATACTAGAATAGTAGCATACTAGTGATGAAATACTCAATATTTTACATAAGTAAAGTATAACTGAAAATACTTAGTTACTTTGAACCTCTAATAATAGTTCTCTATATCTCTCCAATATGATTTAAAGGTACGATGTTTACAGGTTGAAGGCCTTTTAAATATAATTACTACTCTACACTCACAAATTATGTTAAAACATTCACTCTCAAAGAAGCCATATAACTATAGGACAGCACACATACTTAAAAGACAAGTATCAACTTTTCATATACTGACATACTGCTTTTAATTGTGTAAATAAACACAAGATATTCGAGTGCTGAACGCAAATTCCCAATCATCCCAAACAAACAAACAAACCGGAGAAAGACATTAATTACTGGAGTAAACACAACTATTAAAAGTTGAAAAATATTCTCTTATGAACACGTCTGGAAGTGGAGACAGTACAGTAAATACCAAAAACAATGGTATTTATCTCTCTTTTCACCTTTCAGCTGCAGCTCGTCTACCAGTTGAATACGTATTCCTGCGATTACAGAACGCATTAAAAATGATAAACAAGTCGGAAGAGGGACATTTTTATGTTTCCTCGACTCTTTAATCTTTTGTTTGGTTGAACGTCAAAACAAATTTCCTGGTTTCCTTTTTTAATTGCACAGCTCGTGACGTTATTCAGATATTGTGTGTGTGTGTGTGTGTGTGTGTGTGTGTGTGTGTGTGTGTGTGGGCAGTGTTTGGCTCCTCTGATGTATGTTTTCTGCACTTTTTTACCCCATTTAACAGACAATTTTCTGCTGGGGAATAATGCCTCAGAGTGGGCATGGCAATATGAAGACAGTCTGACAGTTGTGACTATTAGTCAACATTGAGCAACAGTAATTAAATTTAGCATTGTTCCTCACAAGTGGGAGATTAACAGTTAGGAGGCTTGTACGTGCAGTTAGGGGTTTTTTATTTTTGTGACTTTTTGTTTCCTTTTGTTTCCGTCTCTCAGGAGCAGTATGTGTTCATCCATGATGCGATCCTGGAGGCTTGTCTGTGCGGAGAGACCGCCATCCCTGTTAATGAGTTTGCTCTCATCTATAAGGAGATGCTGAAGGTCGACTCTCAGAGCAATACCTCGCAGCTCAGAGAGGAGTTTCAGGTAACACACACACACACACACACACACACACACACACACACACACGTACAGACGATTTGTGTTTAGGTTTGTATGAGTGTATCAGGGGACGGCAGCAAGTCCTGAATTTGGCCTCAGGCCGATCCATTAGGTGGCAGCCAGAACATAATTAAAAGCTAATTTAAGAAATTGATTGATAAAAATGCAACTGGAATTGACTTCGTTACTGTTCACATGTGTGGTGCTGTGGCCCACAGTCACGTGTTACACGTTTGACTGTGCTATCTTTTTCATATTGCACATCATACGTCCGCCATTTCAGAGGTCTGTCACGGCCTGATGTTACTGCTTGTGTCTGTCATTCACTCAGATTATCAAATTAATGTGGCGGGCCAGATGTTATAGCTGGCGGGACAGTTCTGGCCCATGATCAGACCTGTTCTCTGACCACTAACTCCAACCTCAAAGCTAAAATCTGTAGGTTTTTGTTGTTGCCCTCTGTGGTGGGAAAAAAAAAAGAGTAAATGTTGAAATGAAAGTTCAGCTGCGCCATCGTCAACACACTGTTTACAGAGGAATCTCTTGTCATTATTAAAGCTCAGTATCTGGCAGAGCTTTACACCAGCTTCATACAAACATAATATTAAGTGTAATGAGTTTATTACGAGATAAGCAGAAGTTTATCTGAACAAAGGTGCAGATTTTATTACCTCGTATCTGATTAGCATCTGCTTCAAAGCACTTCTGTTGTTTCCACTGTTTCGGTGCAGATTAGCAGTCACGCTAACCCCACCACATTGATGTTCCTTAAATGTCTGTTAGCAAGTTTGTTTTTGCTGCTTCAGGTAACGTCTTGTCCAAGTCTGCACTTTGTTTCTGTAAAAGTTTAGAAAAATAATTATGCACTTGAAGTTTGATGTCATGACTCCAGCATCTATAAACAGAATAAAAAATCACATCACTACCGATTCGACTGCTCTGACTTGAAGAGGCATTATTGGCTCTGTTTAGGTTCTGATTCGCAGTTTGCTGTTGGATTTCCTCTCAGTTAGATGGATGTATCGCACGCGATCAGACCGTATCGTACAATTAATTACATTCAGATGGTTTCCAGATGAAAGGCCAGGGAATCACCAAAGTCTGGAGACCACGACTATCTGGTCACAGGTTCAAATCCCGGCGACGCAGATACTGTAGTGTTCAGATGTTGCCTGTGTGGAGTGGAAATCATTGGCTTCAACAAACTAAACAAGAATTTTTTGGTAAATGAGCTTTGTTGATTTCACTGTAGGACCGCTGTCAGCGCGACGATTGAACGCTAGTATCTAAAATGCTGAAGTTGTTGATGGGCTGTTTTTGCTGTAATACTTACACACAACTATGAATCAAACTAAAAAATGCCAAACAACGCTCCACCGTGCAGCTGATGATACATCTCCACATCTGAACTTTACACAGTTACAGATTTCAGCTTTAGCTCTTACTGCTTCTCTCCCTTTTTTTCATTATTTTTTTTTCCCGTTTTTCACAAGCCTGTAGATCTTGAATGTCATTGTGCCGGATCATCAAAAGTCAAAACAAGAAACACAGCGAATAACACAAATAATAAAAACATCCAAGAGCGCGCTCTAGTTCTGTTATTGTATTTTGCACAAGCTATTTGACTTTTTTTCATTACCTGAATGTCAATTTCACTACAACTCAGTGTTTGCTCTGACATAACTATGATTCAGTCCATGTCCTCATCATGAGTGCTTCTACATTTACCCTGTGAAACACACGGTGCTGCAGCTCTGAGAGACGAATCCTCTGCTGGTTAGAAATAGTAACACGAGAGCGACAGCCGCCAAGAAGCTGCTGATCTAACTACTATATATTAAACATAGACACCATTGTGCTCAGTAGAAAAGTTTTAGATTGCAATTAAGATCATGCACTGTAGATGTCTTTTATACAATACTGTTGCCACATCCAGTTAATACCAAGTTATAATGATGTGCTATTGATCGCTGACCTTTACATATATATATATATATATATTTAAAAACTCTCTTCTCCATGTGCTGCACAGTTACCTCATAAGTGCAACTTGTAGCCCAGACGTAATATTCCCACTACGAGCTGAAATGTTCTATTCATTTTGTCTGAACCTATGGGGACTCGTTCACAATATGAAGCGAGTTAGATAATAAGTTCATTTCAATTTCCTTTGCTTTGTAATGTGCTTATTCATAATGTATGAGATTTCACTAAATGTGTTTTTATCCATTAAGCCTTGTGGGGGTTTTGACTGATAATAAATATGTTAAAAGTTTCCCGGAGATGATTGGAGATAGTTGTGCTTGTCAAGTATTGACAGTCAGGCCGTTGGAGTAGAGAATATTTTCATTGCCTCTGTCCATCTCTCTTTGATCCCGTTTCTGTTCCGCTGCCTCTGTCTCCTCTTATCATAATCTTTATTCTCCGTCTTTCATTTTATCTCTGCATCTAACCACATTCTCAAACACACATGCCAACCTTTCTAATTATCTTCTCTGCACACTCTTGTCTTCTTCACTTTCCCGCTCCGCCTCCTCCTCCTCCGCCTCCCTTCTCCTCCTCCTCCCTCAGACTCTGAACTCGGTGACTCCTCACCTGGATGTGGAGGAGTGCAGCATTTCTCTGATGCCCAGGAACCGCGAGAAGAACCGCAGCATGGACGTTCTGCCGCCGGACCGCTCGCTGGCCTTCCTCATCACCACCGAGGGAGAAAGCAACAACTACATCAACGCCGCGCTCGCAGACAGCTTCCTGAGGCCCGCCGCCTTCGTGGTGACGCCGCACCCGCTGCCCGGCACCACAACCGACTTCTGGAGGCTGGTTTACGACTATGGTTGCACCTCAGTGGTGATGCTCAACCAGCTCAACCAGTCCAACTCTGCCTGGGTAAGAGGAGAGGTAGGGGCCGATAAATAGGGTTGGGTATTGTTTGGGTTTTGTCCTGATATCGGTGCCGGAACTAATAACTTTGTTTTTTTAAATGCAACATTTGCAATCAACATTACATTACTAACCTGAGGAAAGGCTGCTGTCATCATCGGGTCACAAAAGTTCGTCCCGTTGAAAATAAAGATGGACGTAGCCTCTGTGACGTCACCCACAGGTTGACGTTTTGAAGCTCAGAGTGAGCTGCTCCGCCATCGCCATCCTGCCAGCGCCTGACTCCGCCCCCTAACTCCCAGCTAATCCAAGAATAAGCAAAGAGGTGGGGCGTGTGTCAAGCCGAGACTTTGGTGAATACCAGGCTGTAATCTTGTTTATTTCTGCTGTAAAGTCGGACATTTTTAACATGGGAGTCTATGGGGATCGACTCACTGTTGGAGCCAGACTCTAGTGGTCATTAGAGGAACTGCAGGTTTTAGCACTTCACTGTTGGCTTTAGGCTACAGGCCGCCATCAGAGCAAGTGTAACGTTCATTTGTGAACACCAGGAAGCAAATATTTCAGTTGACAGCTCAGGACTTTGTAGTGGCTCTGCAAGCTACGTTTTGATTCGCTCTGGTTGGTACCAGTTGTGCAGGGACCGGTGCCACACTGGTAACGGGTTTCGGTGCCAAAACTTAGTAATAAACCAGCTGGAGATGAAATTATCTACACTTATCCTGGCAGTAGAAGTCATTTAATTATTAATATCATTATTTTCTAACTTATCATCTTGCCACTTGTAATTTAGCCATGAGCATCATTAAAACCCTCACAGCTGGACCTTGAGTAGTGCCACACAGTGCATTTTCTTACACTAATAATACAGAGACTTCTAAAGTATAATACCAGAGCAGGGGTACTTTAAATTTTCTGGCCTCTCACCCCGTGTTTTACAACCCGAACTTCTGATGACCCCGACAGAGAGTTTCCAGCAGCGTGGACGAGGTTCCAGCAGCATCAGAAATCATGTATTTCGTGCGTGTTTATTCGGGACTAATTAATTCTTTAATTAGAAATAATTTAAAGTAATAGCAATGTATCATTCTGGGGAATTTCCTGTGATTCACTGTGGGGTCACGAGAGGTTTTTAGTTCAGCTTACAGAGGTTGAACTCTACTGAGGGAGTTTCAGCCACCGGCAGCGTCTCCCCTGAGAACTGCACAGGATGTATCACCTAAAGAAGATGTGGGGAATCTAGAGTGTCAGAGCCATTTCCCACCACTTTCAGATACTGTAAATGGCAAACAGGCAAACCGTAAGTTTAAGACCAAAGCAAAAGGATAGAAATAAAACCCCCGGAAAGCTTTGTAAACCAGAAAGCTGTCGGCCTCTCTCTTTAGTCCTGTCCACTTAGCCAGCAAACTCTCCAGCAAAGAGCAACTCCTCCTCCCTTAGAAATCCGACAGCTGCCTTTTAAATCTTGATATTCTCCAAGACGAGGAGCTCTCCAGGCGCCGTGTAGAAGGCAAAATACACTTTCATCCCAGCTTGAACAAGAATGATACACTACAAACTCAGCCTGACACCGACCTCAGGTTTCTTACTTCAACAAATAAAGTTAAAAGAGTTAAAATAAAAAACACTTCAAAACATTCCTACGTCGTTAACTGTAGGACAAGCAGGTTTAGAACCTCTCTTCATAATACCCATGAACTGGTTTGTTATGAATGAAGCTTTGTCTGTCCACCATGAGCTAAGACTTTAACACTATAAGACTAGAAACAAAGAAAGTAGCCCAGCACCAATTTTACCGGATGATCCAGCGATGGCCATAAAAATCACTGTTTACTGCAGTTGATTATTTAATGTGCGTTTAACGAACTGACAAACAAACTGGGATCTGAAGAGCATTTTTGGTTCTGATGAATAACAGCTTCCCAGCAGCGCAGCTTTTCCAAGATAATCAGTATTGAAAACTACATTTCTCCAGTGTCCAAGTAGCAGAACTGACTGCCATCAAAATCTTATTATGTTTTTTAACAAAGCACCTGCAGCACATTACTGACTGTGTAGTTGGTGTAGTAGGTCTTAGTGACTTAGGATTCCTCTTGACCGCATAAAATGCTTTGTGATTTACTCTTAGACCCAAAACCTGGTTGATTGTCATTCTCATATATTGTATGCTACCAGTGCCTCTCTGCCTTTAACTCCTGCTGTCTGATAACAGCAGTCACAAGTCTCTGGGTTAGCATTATCGCTGTTAGTAGCTGCCAATTCTCACTGGAAACAGAAGAGTGGAAGGTGGTTTGAACAATAACACATAAACAGTGTTTACAACGAAGAACTGAACTGAACTGAACATGCTGTGTGCACATCTTTGATGTTTCTACGGGGAAACGTGTCCATAAAAAGTCAAGTCTATGTTATAGCTGCAGCTAATGTTTTATTTATCAGTTGATTTGAGTGTAAAATAATCATTTTATTGCTTAGCTTGTAAAATGTCAACACTAGTGGGAAAAAGTGCTCCTCACTTTTAGCCTGAGGTCTTCAGTTTGCTCGTGTTGTTTCAAATCTGCTGTTCAAAACCCAAAGACGGTGAAACTACAGTGATATAAAGCAGTAAATCCTCACATGTAAGAAGCTGGACGCAGCTAATGTTCGGTTGATTCTCGCTCAGTGAATGTTGAAAAAGACGACCGTTCATATCGTCATTGCCTGCGGTGTAACGCGTGGACACCGGTGGTAACGACATGTCAACCATTTCCCTCTCTTCAGATCCGACGTGAACGTGACTCGCAGCACAGCGAGAATGGGTCACCACACGTCTGGCCCCTTCAACTAGTGCTCTGCCACAAAGCTTCAGTCCTGGATGCCATTCAATTTCCACGGGCTGTCATGGCATCAACACGTTCTTATCGCTTCCCCTCCCTGTTTGCTCATGTGTGGGTTTGTTCCGCCATCTCCCTATCGCCGCTCTGTCACCGCGTCGTGTCGGATTCCTGCTCAACATTTCCGCCCGTGCCTGTCAGCGGCAACCTGTCCTTCTTCCTCTGTCACTCTCTCCTTCTCCTTCCTTGTCTCTCTCGCTGTCAGTGGATTAACAGTTCATCCCTTCAGCACACACACACACACACACACACACACACACACACACTTTGCTGTCCTGAGCTGGGGGTGCCAGTCTCCTTTCTACATATATAAATATTTATCTCCCCTCCTGCCCAATGTCACCTGTTAATACCCTTCTGTCAATTTGAAATGCCATTATCTCTTCCTACTCCAGGGGTCCCCTCAACCCCAAAGTCACCACGGCGCATCAACACCGCTCCCCTGTGTGTTTTTTTTTGTCTTCTTTGGGCTGGGGGGGGGTGATCTTGAAGCAGCGGTGATAGGAGACCATGGCTTTTTGTGGGGGCGCCCACCTCTCGGCTAACTTCCTGGAACAGTCGAGGTCTCCTACCCCATTAATTTGTAATGTGCTAATGGTAATGATTTCAAGTCATAAATAATTCAGCCTAGGTGACCACGGCTTATGTGAGGGATTGTTCCGAGCAACAAGCAGGTTGTTTTTTTTTTTTTTTGCTCATTTAATTTACTATTTGTAGATGATCATTGTCATTTAAGCTAATTGTCTGTGCTGTCAATACTCAGGTGTCTTGTTACTGGACTTCACCATCACCAGCTGCTCATTTAATGGTTTGTCCTGCCGCAAGCAAGTGTGGACTAATGACCGGTTACCTCCTCTCCTCTCCTCTCCTCTCCTCTCCTCTCCTCTCCTCAGCCATGCTTGCAGTATTGGCCTGAGCCCGGGCTGCAGCAGTTTGGGCCCATGACCGTGGAGCTTCTGTCCAGGACGGCCGACGATGACGTTATCATCCGTCTCTTCCGGGTTCAGAACATCACCCGGGTAGGTAGAACCACCGCAAGCTGAAAAAGGCAGAGTCCCGTTGTCCTGTTTATGAAGATGCTGTATAGACCCATTAAGTGATATTTGAATATATCTGTGTTACGTTCCCCGAAGGATTAGAGACAGGCAAAATAATAAGAGTGCCAGATGGAAAGGCTTGGCACAGCCCAGCTGGACACTCACCTACCTTAATCAGGGAAGCTGTATACGTACACACTTGACTAGGCTACACACTGGTTAATTCAGGCAGCAATACTCACCGGAGACAATCTGAACACAACACAACTATACCCACACAATGAACCCGCTTCCTGATTCTCTCTTTCAAATATCCCAGACAGGCCCCCAATTTGTTATGTTCCCCGAGGAGGGAACCAGGGGATGAAGGGGAAGCAGCAAAACATAAAGTTTCTCCCGGGGAGACAGAAAGATCCGCAGGCGGAACAATGTGCACGAAAACAATGTATTTTATTAACAAACTGAATCACTAAACAACACAGGCACTGGTTTGAAACAAGGTAAATCAGTAGCCATGTCTTATCAGAATACATGCAAAGAAATACTATTTACAGTCCTAAAAAGTACAGTGGCGTTGGGTCACTTTAGACACAACGTTTACTGAAAATCAAAAAGTGAAACCTCTGATGAAAGTATTCAGACCCTTTTCGCTTCGCTGCTGGTCGGGATAAATACCAAACCATTAGGTCCAAGGAACTCTCTGAAGATTGTGGTGAGGCATTGATCAGGGCCAGGGTGTAAACCCATATCTAAAGCTTTGAGTGTTACCAGGAGCACTTAATTGTGAAATGGAAGAGGCTTGTAACCACCAGAACTCTTTTAGAGTAAAAAGAGAGGTGACCGAGAACCCGGCGGCCCCTCTTAGCAGATTCAGAAAGCCTCTAGCAGAGATGGTAGAACTTGCTGGAGGAGCGTGCATCTCAGCAGGACTCCGTCAATCAGGTCGTTACGGTAGAGTTGCAAGACGGACACCACTTTGAGTAAAAGGCATATGACTGGCCACTACGCAACTTTGCAGGGGGGCTTTTAATTTGAAAGGATGATGAGGAGCTAGAAGGATTTATACGTTGGAAAAGTTCTGCCTTCTCATCAGATCCCTGCTGAGCAACAGCAACAGACTCTATTGGGACAAAAGCTTTTAGGCACAGGGATCCTGTCTCGCTAACACTGAGGTTCTGGGGCTTGTAGCAGCAGCTGATGTCTTACCATCTCCATTCCAACCGCCAAGACACCTTTACCTACTCTCCCAGGTAAGATGGAGTGCTTCAATCCCTTCCTGTACAGAAAAGGTGTAGCAAGTCAACAGTGCAGTCCGTCAAAAACGTGAGTATGGTTAGTTTGCTGACAGCTTATCAGGCTGAACTCTTCCAAGAGATGGGCCAAGGTTCTTCAAGCCTCAAGGCTGTTTGGGAGGAAATATGTGTCGTCTTGGGCTTCATCCTCTGCATGTGTAGAGGTGAAGTTCAGGGCTGTGGTCGCTGTATGGGCTTAGCCAAGGCAGGGGAAGATTCCCTGTTTGACCCACCATCATCTCTGTGCAGCAGGCTAGTGGCCTGAGAAAGCAGCAGGGGCGCGGGGCGTTCGACCTCTGCCTTCCCCAGCAAGATGACACCTCGCCAGTCAGCTACCACCATCCTGCCGAGGCTTTGTGGCTGTGGCTTTGAGAGGTTTGCAGCAGGAGCTTTGAAGGCGCTAGATTTCAGGTCCCAGAGCAGCCGGCGACTGATCAGCAGGGCTCTCTGGGCCAAAAGCATTGAAGCACAAATTCTTTCCCCGCTGACACTGCCATCCCCCCAAACCCACAGCTGCATCGATTCACTCCTCCAATCCCCCGGATGGTATGAAGAGACAGGCCACTTAGGAGCTGTGGTTAGTGGCAACAGAGATTCGGCTGCTAGTACTCAAAAAGATCCCTGCCCTGAGCCTGTCTGGGACAGATGGGTAGTTTCTTCTTCCTCCCAAAAGAAGAAGAGGAGATTTTCCCCCTTATCCCAGTCAGTGCTGTGTAACAGCCCACCATCTTCAATCCGTTCACATTGATGGAGAAGCACACGTTCCCCCTGTTGGTCCCCAGTTAATTTACCCCACTGCGCCTCCAGGATCAGTTCAGAGTGAAGAGGGAATATGTTCCACTGTTGCAGCCGGGCTTAATGCCAAGTGGGCAGTGTGTGATTCAGAAAAGAGACAATCAACAAGTGCACGGCAAACTGTCGCCACAAGAAGGCGCGGCTGTTCCAGTTTTGAGCTTCAAGGCCCCAGGCCCCTTGGCAGCCGAGGCCAAAGACTGGCACGCATGTGCAGCTCACCCCTTGACAATCATTGCCAGGGGTTACAACTTCAGTTTGCAATGAAACCACAGCGTTTCAATGGTGTGGTCTTAGCAGAGGCCGCAGGGGGGAAGCCACAAGGGCTTTAGAGATTGAAATTTCTTCTCTTAAGCCAAGCGGCAATTTGAATTTTGCCAGAAGAAGAAATGAATCTGCACCTCTTCTAGTATTTCCTCATCCCAAAAAAAGGGAGATTTACATTTCTTCATAACCAACTTCTGAAAGTACAAATTCAGAATGCTCACACACACAACGTCCTGGTCCGCTCCATTCGACCAGGCGACTGATTCACATCTGTAGATAAGCAAGATGCTTCTTTTCACAGGAGTATATATGCAGCACACAGAGGTTCGCTTTCCAGGATGTAGTCACACAAGGGTTTATCAACAACGCCGAAGCAGATCTGAACCCTGTACGAGCTACGCTGGTTGTTTGGGTGTTAGCATATGTATACTTGTTATTACGCTGCGTGACCATCTTGGGCTTCAGTGTCAATCACGCCAAGAGTGTAGAAGAGTGATGGCCTTAGTAATTTCTGATGTTGCTCCGAACGCAGGATTTCGAGGGCTTCGTGTTCTCTGCTGTTTCATCCATGGCCCAAACGTGCTGCCGTACATTGTTTCATCCGTACCCTAAGCGTCTCGCCGTTTAGGCCTGGCATGTGAGAGGTTAAATTTGAATGTGCAGGCGTTACCTCCGAGGGTGGTTGAGACCGCGAGCTCATTGTATGACGGCAGGCGGTGTGTGTTGGTGAGATTGTGAGAAAGCTAGGAGCCACATTTTCTCTTCAGTGTTCCGGATGCGTTAATGCGCTGTATCCAGTCCGGGCCTTACGCATCTGTTTGGGCAGAAATGAGGGGTTTAGGAGGAGCAACCAGCTGTTTGTATCTCAAGCCCCTTCTCACAGAGGGAAGGCTCCGACTCGCCAGCATCTGTCAGGCCGGGTAGTGGAGGAAATTATTCTGGCATGAGAGTCGTGGACCACAGACCACTCATTTGTCAGAGGACTGGGGTTATCCTAGTATCCACACATTTCTTCATGAAACCTGTTTATTTCATCCACAGTGCCAGTTTGACCAGCCTTAATGGCATAATTGCTGTTTAAATGTATAATTTTCTTATCCAGTGACATGTTTTTCACTTTGATATAGGATATGGACTAAAACAATCGCTCAAGTCCTCAGCAAAAGACTATTCCCGCTCTGTATTGCTGTGGGAGGCATTTCCTGGCACTGAATCAATTCATTTATTTTTAAGAGGGGTAATGAAGCCTGATACTAATATAATGATTCTGAATGGTGACCTAGGTCCCAGCTGGAATTTGTTGTTCCCAGCGGTCAGAATGATTTGCGGCATAATAATCCCACTTTCAACAGAGTAACTGTATCAACAGCATGATAATGTCATTAGCCACATATTGTACCGAGACCTGCTTAATAAGCAGATATGGTTCTGTTTGAGCAGTTATGCAGTACTGAAACAAACAGAAAGTCTGTTCCAAAACTCCCATGTTTTTACAATCTACAATTACTGAAAGAAGTTTCTTGATATCACCATATTCAATATCTCAGTGTGGCTTTTGTGTTGCTGAGTGTGTTTGCGGACTGTGTGTGTGTGTGTGTGTGTGTGTGTGTGTTTTTGCGTGTACACCCAACTCTCAAGCGTTGTCTGAGTAATTTAGTCGAGCTCCATCTCCCACTTTACACTGTCGAAATGCTTCCAGCTCCCCACCCTTTGACCTCAGTAGATTCTCAGCAGTCTCTTGTAGATGCTTCCAGCTGCTAGTTGAACAGATGCGTCCTTTTCATTAAGCACCCTTCAGCTGACAAACCCCGCTTCCGCCCACTTACCTCACCCTCGCGGTGGCCCGAAAACCTCCTCTGTCGGTGTATTTTTCTGACAAAATGTTTTTATGAAGAAGGAAATGCAACATTCAACGTTTTGTTTTGGTGAGAAAAACTGGATGGAAACATCGCTGTAATCATTTAAGAAAAGTAAATCCAAAGGATGACTTAAAGATTACATTTCTCACAATCCATCCAGCGGCTTCAGATATCTGTGGCCTTTGAAATTCTTTGAAATTACTAAGTCTTTGAAATTTGTAAAGACGTGAACCCAGAAACCCTCAGTTCTGCATGTTCTCTGATATTACCAGCAGTTTTTTTCAGGGACATTTTGAAGTATAGATTTGGGTCAGTTGCTCCCAGTCCAAAAATATCAAAATTTCATTTTGGACAAAGAGAAAGCCTGGACCCTGTGGAGGTTGGCAGACGCTGATAGGCTGCGATATGTGTCAATAAAGAAAACACAGTTAAGACATTTGTCTTTAAAGCTGCTATAATCAATGTTTTTCTATTAACAATGGATCACGCCACTATGTGTAATGTGAACAGGGTTGGTCATAGTGACGAAGAGTGGGAAAAAAAAAAATCTTATACAACATTAGCAACTAGCTGATGAACATAAGCTTTATTGGGAATTTAGCAGCGAGTTAGTGGCGACCAAAACAGAGCGATAAGAAGAGTTTACATTGGATTTACATTTAATCAGCTGGCCATAATCACCACTTCATATTGGCTGGTTGCGTAAATAAGAAATTGCTAACATATTCTCAAATAGTAACTTCATAAGTTGCTAACAGTTGTGTTTAAAGCTTGCTGCACTGCCCCCAAGTGGCCAAAGAAATCTATGAATACAAGTTTTTGCATCATTATGGAAAAATGTTTTCAAAATCAGAAGGATAAAAACATTAAAAAATTACATTAAGAAGAAAGAAAAGATAATATTTTATCTTTATGTATAAAGATATGTATATATGTGTACTTTGTATTTGAGAGAATGATAGAAGATTTCTGTAAAGACTTTAATATATGAGCAAGAGTCATTTCTGCATGTGGTTGTTGCTGCTTCATAAAAATGCAGTGCTGAAGCCATCAGTTTTGATGGCATGGCGGTTTATGTTTACATTCATTTTGATAACATCTCATTTTAATGTGGCAAGTGACAGTACGCTGCTACACAGTGCGCCTTTAACAGCCCATTATAAGTTAAGAACAGAAGCTCTGCCATTGAACTCGAGCGGGTTTGAAGTGTTGACAGAAACCCCTCTGGCTGATAACCTGATAGATATTTTAATGAGTTTGTGGAGTGTGAAGCATATGCGATGGGTTTAATGCATATGCAATGCAATATAATGGTGACAAATAAAACTCTTCTCACTTCCATCCCCACCCCCACCCCCTCTCCACTTGCTCTTACTCTGCAGCTTCAGGAAGGCCAGCTTGTGGTGCGTCACTTCCAGTTCCTGCGCTGGTCCCCGTACCGCGATGTGCCCGACTCCAAGAAAGCCTTCCTCAGCCTTTTGGCTCAGGTTCACAACTGGCAGATGGAGTGTGGAGAAGGACGCACCATCGTCCACTGTCTGTGAGTCCACTTCACATACACCTACACAAATGAACCTTTTCAGACATAAACCGCAATCTAAGTTCATGTAATTTCCAACGTTTTTAAAGTGACAATTAAAACTTATTATTCAACAGCTGCTCATGAATTTTATTCGTGTCTGAATGGAAAAGCTTTTCAGACAGCTTTGAAATTTCAGACCTGAAGTAGAATGTGTTTCTAATAAGATGCCAGACTGCATTCATACTCTTCACCTTGGTGCCGTTATTTAAAACTTGCCATGGTCACACTCAAGAAAAAGTTCTTATACTTTTCAGAATCATTAAATCTCATTAACTCTGCATTACAGAAGAAAAATTAAGCATTAAGTGTTTGTGTCATTGCATCACCTAATTGATTTACGGCGCCTGCCTTCCACTAGATTTGTTCCCCATTTCCATGTCAGGGCCCTTTGATCTCTGGAGGTCAGGCTGTGTGTTAGACATCTCATATCTGATTAAGTCGCCCGCTCCTGTATTTTAATGAGAACTTTACTGGGATATTCATCTTGAAAGTCTGCCAGTTGGCCTTTTTCTGACAGCATGCTTGATCTGTGCTCAGTCCAACTGTGACATTTCACTCTGTAGCTCCCCCTCTGAGAGGCTGCCTGAGCTGCTGTGCCACATCTTTATTAGGTCACTCATGTCTTTATGCTTCTATTCTGTGCGTTTGTGTCTGTCTGTGTGTGTCGTGTGTCTTCGTGTTTCTTTTCTTCTGGAGCAGGAACGGCGGTGGTCGAAGCGGTACTTTCTGTGCCTGCACCATGATCCTGGAAATGATTCGTCACCACAGCATGGTGGACGTGTTCTTTGCTGCCAAAACACTGCGCAACTCTAAGCCAAACATGGTGGAGACAATGGTGAGCAAGTGGGGAGTCTAAGTCTCTTTACTGAATCATATTATATACCATGCTGCTGCTTCAGACGGGGAATGCCAGGGAAGTGGAAAGCCTCTCTGCAGGAACTCAGGAGAATTTACATCAGCCACTCTCATTAAATACATCAAATGTGTTTTACTTACTTATTCTACATTCGTTTAGAAAAAGAGCATAAAGGGGAAATTACATGGTAAAACTGAATGGGAATTACATTTTAGACAAAGTGTAGTGCATACAAAAACAGAAATCAATACAAATTTGCACGAACTGAGACAAAGTCGTGTCCGCATGAGCTGAAAATGTTGCAAGAAAAATTTGCACTTATCCCATCGTTGTATCCCTGTAATTTATGAACATACAGAGACAAGAAAAAAGAGAAAGACCGAAGTTAAATAACAGACAGAGCTTTTAAGAAGTTCTGAAATCAGTCAGAGTTAGCCTGGTGCTCATTAATTGTTGTGTTTGCTGGATAAAGAAACAAAACTTTGTAGTTAAGGATTAAGAATGAGCATCATCTTCTTACATAGCTACATGGCTAGCTACCTATTTACATGCATGAAAAAAAAAAGCAACACAAGAAGAATACTGCAGCTAACAGGCTACGTTGTGTTTATGGCCAAAATAACCTATCCCAAAAAGAAAATGGCCAACATTAACACGATGTCAGGCAGAATAACAAAGTTAAACTAAATGGCATTTTGGATGGCGTTCAGAGTCTGAGCTAACACACATACAGTACATTGCTAGCTAGCTAGCTGCAGCTAACGGTGTAAATTAGCTTCACATTCAGACCATTTAAAGTCAGCGGTGGTGTAATTTAAGCCCCTGGCTTTGTTTAGTTGTTGTTTGTGTGCTCTAATTATCTCCATAATATCTGGTCAAACATAGAAAACCTTTTATTTGAAGCAAAGTTCAATAGGAAACCTCAGGATTTCGTGTCATTTCCTATAGATTCAAAAAGGCCTTCTTCCTACATCCATTATTTAGCAGTGACATTCAGCAGTCAAACGGGGAGAGATCCATTGTAGAGCAGACAGCGTTACCAATCCCTCCACCCACAGTAACCTTAAGAGACCAGGATGCAATGCAGCTGTGTAAGAGACGTGGTGGCTTTTGAATGAGGAGATCAGACAGCAGATGAATCATTGCAGCCATGTGTCCCCACCGTTCATGGGCTTAATTGCGTCTTGCAGACATGTAGTGTTACTTTTTGAGGATGCATATGACCAACACATCAAAGTACCATTGGATTGGTATTCATCATGAGAATTTGGATGCATAGTTAAAAGCATTCACATCAGAGGCATGGGTTTAAAGGATAAGGCTGGCAATACCCTCTGTTTTCGTTAAACTAAAAAAAATCCAATGAAAAGACCAAAACCAACACCGTGTTCTCTCTCAATATTTTGCCTTCCCTACCCTGCCTGTGGCACTCAGCCCCGAGCTGCTTGGATCCTATTGGAGATGTAAATCTTTAAAGGAACAGTCAGACATTTTGGGAAATGCACCTATTGGCTTTATTGGCTAAAAGATTGATGCTTCTTTCATATCTGTCTGTTTTAATATGAAATCACAACCAGGAGACCGGGTTAGCTTAGTTTAGCATAAAGACTGGAAGCAGGGGAAAACAGCGAGGGGCTGGCTCTTTTCAAAGGAAACAAAATCCACCAGCAGCACCTCTGAAGTTCACTAATAAACACATTTTTACGCCATGTGTAAAAATGGCACATTTTGGTTTCATGACTCCATGTGGTGGAGTATTTCCTGGCCAGGTGCAACAGCATCCTGGAGTCTTGTCATCACTATGAGGTTGCTGGGCAACCAGCAGAGACTTAGGAACCTCACTGCTCCCAGCCAGGAAATACTCAGCAACATAAAACTGCCATAAAACTACAACATGATATTTTTACACTTTGGTTTTTGTAATTATTAAACAAGAAGATATAACCTTTTAATTAGTTATCCCGTTCCCTTTGGACAGAACTAAGCTAACTGTTTTCCTAAGCTAAGCTAACCAGCCGCTGGCTCCAGCTTCATATTTAGTGTGCAGACATGAGAGTAATATTAATGTTCTCAGGAAGGACGCGAATAAATATTTTTCTCAAAATGTCCAACTACTATTTTAAAATCAAGATCAGAGGCTTAATGCAGGTAGACATAGATTATTGTCTATTACAGTATTGACTAAATAACTTCTGGAATTCATTAAAGGTCCCATATTCTACAAAGTGATATTTTATTTCCATGTGTAGTGTGATTATAGATCAGGTCTAGGTTCTATATTAACACTGAAAGTATCAAAGCCTCAGTCCACAGAGAAATCACACTTCTGGAACTTTGTGATGTCACAACTAAGCAGTCAGTGGTCTTAGCCACGCCCCAAGCCCGCCCACCTGAACCCACCATCCAACCTTGCAGAATTTGTTTTCCCTGAGTGTTTCCCTGAAATCCACAATATTTTAATTGGATCACTCAGAAAACAGTCAGCCAATCAGAAGAGAGGCCCAGAGCCTCCTCTCTTGTGATTGGCTCGCGGACCTGTTGTTACTAGAGCTGCAGAGAGAAGCCTGAGAGAGGAGATGTAAAGCTAGACTGAGATGGTTTTGGGTTCTTAAAATCACACATATATCTTCTTATGGATCAACACTTCAAATAAAACACAGGACAGGAGAAGAGGAAAATGGAGTTTTAATGTAAATTTATGAAAAAACCATTGTGTTACTTTTTGAAAACTAAACCTCTGTTCTGTTCCTAGGAGCAGTATCGGTTCTGCTATGACCTGGCCCAGGAGTACCTGGACTGCTTGGAAGTCAGATAGCACCTATCCCTCTCTTCTTGTTCCTCCTCAAGGAGAAGGTCTGGAACCCGGATCGCGCATCCTGGATTTCTGCTCCCGGCTCCTTAGACCATGTATACAGCTCTGGTTGTCTTCTTCGCCATGCCTGGATGAAACATTGTTTGCCATAAAAAGACTGATTGAGAACACTCACTGGACAACTTGTAACATACTACTGACACCCTTTTTGCTTTTCCTCGGCGCTCTGATCCAACGTGTACTCTCTAGTGCCACTTTACATCTGCCAAAACCAGAGGACACTAACCGGAGTGGAGTTCATTTTATATATGACCACTGTCAAAGGCAGCCGGACTACCTGTTGTACACCCCGATGACGGGATTCAAAGATCTCCGCTGTATCCTGCCTTACTGTGAACAAACACTGAAAGGGAACTACAGTCGATGCCAACCACTGGGTGATATTTTGTGTTTGTTTGTAACACTGTAAAATGGTGCAATCTGCTGTTGGTGAACATCCCATGTCGTACTGTACTATATCTGAACTTAATCGTGGGTGAGGCTGACGATCGAAGGTTAATTGAGGGAGGAAAGGAAATAAGTCGTCACAAACGATGGACATATCTGTACAGTAGAGTTGTCTTGGACCTATTTTCTCTTTATTTATTCTTCGTGTATATAGATGTTTTTTTCCTTCCCCCCCACCCCCCACCCCCAGATGTTTCTAGATGTTCTCAACGTCTTATCAATGTGCCAATCCATTCTCTCTGTGTCTGTAAATGGGGACCACTTCAAGCATCTGCATGCCCAGTCTTAAGTGTTTCATTGCAGTGTGTGGCCCAAGTCTGCTTTAGGGTGGATTCCTGCGACGTGAATCCTTCCGCTAGTCCCGAGAGAGCTCTGTAAGAATAACCACGTGTTGCTGTGAGAATACAGAGAAAATCTGTCGCTTTCTAAATTTGTATTTATTCAATGTGTTTTATTTTCTAAATAGTGTATAAAAAAGGAAAAGAAATAAAATATGATGTTGTTGCTTAACAACCATGCTTTCTGGTGAGTTTTTTTTTTTACACCTCACAGACGGGGATGAGGGATATGGTTTCATTTTAGAATATTTAACGTTGTTTATGCGGCATTTAATTATTACATCAACTAATGACAATGCACTTAACACATATTTTACTCATTTTACAAATGTGCCCCTTCATTAAAACTGCGCCCCAGTCTGAGGTTTCATAACCCGCCCCTGTTCGCTGAGCTCCAGCTGGATACGTGGCCCACGCCGCACTCTGCACAGCTATTTTTAAGCGTTTATGAGTTTGTGATGGAGGAGTTGTTGATGACTCCTTAACACCTCCACCATCGGTCGCCACTACCCCCCCTGCCCCCGCCTCGTGCAGCCAGCAGATATCGCCGCTTAAAAAGCCCACAGTTCATTCTCTTGACCTGTGTTTTAATTTATGCTTATCATTTAATTAGCAACTTTAATGGACTTTTTTTATCATTAGCACCAAACAGAGCCTCTGGTATTAAGCCACCTCTTTAATTGGAGAGTCTTGATGATCCATTGATCGAGGGCTTGATGCAGTTAATCTGCATGTGGCGCTTTACAAGTGATGTCACATCTAGTTACTGTGTTTTATGAGTGGCTGATAAGCTCAAGTGATTCACTGTTTGACCCTCTTCTGCCCTACACTCTTCTTCTCCTTATCAATATACTGTACTCCCTCTGCTGCCTGTGCACTTTTTAAATGAGAGACGGTACACTGACAGATGATTTTCTAACGTATGCAGAGGAGGGAGCACGGACAGCAGGACGAATGAACCTCTAGAAATAGTCAAATATTGTGAAAGGTCAAAGGGCACGCCTGGCTGTATTGTTTGGCTGTCACTGTTTTCTCCCAGGTTCAATTACACTCTCTCTTTGTATTTCCAAGGCAATAGATCTCCCTTTACTGCATTTAAAAGATGATGAAAAGCTGCATAATGCGTGTTAGATAAAAAACACAATTGCCATTGTGTGCGGCGCACAAAAGGACAGGGACGGCACTCTCCTCAAAGCAGATTACACAAACACAAACCTGGAAATGTGTCTTTTTTTTTTTGGTGTGTTGCTGGAAAGAAAGCAGGTCTTCAGATATGCCTCTGCCTCTGCCGCTACTGCCTCTTTTCTTTTTGAGGTTGATCTGAAAGCTTTAGAAAACAGTGTGAGTCTCATTGTCGCAGCGGCGGTGTCTGTAATTACTGTAGGAGCCATTGTTTCAGTCTGAAAGGCTGCATTCAAGCGCTGGAACTGAGACTTTTCTAGATGACTGAATGCAGTGAAAAACAAAAACAGGGCTCATGTGTTTGTGTGTGTGTGTGTGTGTGTGTGTATATCTGGGGATGCTTATCTTGATGATTTCATTAATCACAGGACGTTTTATTCACACACACACACACACACACACACACACACACTTGCAGGGAAATTATACTCATTCCAGGCAATCGACAGAAACATACAGATTATCTAATTACTGCATAAAGGTGGTAACAACGCTCGGTAATCTTAAAAGTGGTGGCATTGTTTCAGTCCCAGACTACCTGCAGTCATCGCTCTCACTACAGCTCCACACATGAATAGTTTATTATTTGCTCTTTTGTTTCATTTTTCATTGTCACACCCTCCTACTAAGAGAGCAATCACAACAGACTTATGCATGCCTTTTGATTGTTCAAATTCTCACTCATAAGTTATTAATACCCACACAAAAGAACAGACATGCTGCGCTGTTTGAACAGACCATTGATAAACAGCGCCGGGCAGGTTTCCACCACAGATCTGCCGGCGGTGGGTTACAGTTTGTGTTAAGATGGTGTCCAGCAGGCTCTGCAGGACGAGCCTGTTCCTCATCCCTGTCGTGTAAAGTCCGCAGCTTTTTAACTTCTGTAATCAATCAGTAGCGAGCGTTCAGAGGAGCCAAAGGGGCTCATGGGAATATGTAGGAGCATGGGGGCCCTGCCACCCTGGCTGCACAATTCTGCAGAAGAGAAGCTGTCCAAACACAAACACAAAGACGTGTCGCGTCCCGCTGCTGGTTTTGTGTTAAGGCTCCAGCCATGCAGTGAGTAGCCACATGAATCAATTAATATCTCCTTCATTTTGACACAAATTCACGGTGGGAGGTGGACCACAGCCCGGCTGCTGAATATAGATATATCTGCGCTTCTCCTCGACTGATGGCAGATTCAATTTGAGCTCACTTTATCTCCATGCGGATTCATCTTATCTCTGACACGACTTTACATTGCATTAAATTAGATTGCTCTTAGCAGGAATGTGGACTGGAAGCCTCTCTCGTCTCTTTACACGGTCAAATCAAATAATGTCCCACAAGGTCTTGCAAAACCTATTTCAAGACGGTAGGGCAGTTGACGATAAAAGCTGGTGTTTTTTTAAGAAAACGTCTCATTCAGTAAGGCAATCATCATTGATTATGTCAGGCCTGGATGATAGAACGTCTATGGAGGCAGCAGTTAATGGCAAATACGGCGTTCAGTACGGAGGCAGCACATCAGTCGGGGTAGCCTGTGGCAGCGAGTGAAAACGTGGGGCAGGAAAAAACTGATGAGACTGTTCTCCCACCCACAGCATAATCTATTGAGGTGGGAGGGAAGATGTGAGGCGATGGCCGAGGGCAAATCAATAATGACCCTCCTTCATCCCAGTGGCTTGCAGTTCACAGGGCCTGCATCTCCATCTTCCGCCTCTCCGGTGACAATAGGCTCAGAGGGAGAGTGAGGGGGTCTGAGGTGCTGCGACCTGTACTGACCTGAGTCATATGAGTAATGCTGTGCATCCTGACTGACATACAATCCTCATTTCTGATAAACCCTATAATTTCCCCATAATTTCCATCACACTACATTCTTTTATTTTGTTGCTATAAATGTTTTACAACTTAAATATAGTGAGTGTAAAATAACAGCAACTGGCCATAAAGACACCAAGAATTTGTAATTTTTTAAACTGTAGTGTGTAAACTCCCCCCAAGGATAAGTAAACCCCCTGAAATCCCAGAAGTAATAATAAGGACATGACCTCAGTGTCCCTGGTGGAAGCTGTGTAGGTGTCAAGTCATAATGTTGCTCCAGTACATCAGGGGCAGAACTCTCATGCAGGCAAGTATCAGTACAGTATTACAGCAAAAGAGCTGATGTTATAATGATAAAATGTCATTAATGGGTTTTATATGGTGAGTACATTCTACCTTTGGAGAGTGAAATATAATTTAAGTGCTTGATAAAGCTGATGAAGCTATATTTATTCTGAATAAACACAGTATTTATTTGCTACAATGCTTTATATGTTTTGCCAAACACAGACGGAATGTTACTCTTTTAAAAAGCCATTGTATAATTATGAAAATTCATAAGGAATAAAAAGTTCATAGTAGAATAAGGCATAAAAAGTAATAGTATATTAAGGAATAAAAATGTCATAGTATAGTAAGGCATAAAACTTTCATATTAGAGTAAAGTATAAAAAACGGACTACGGTAAGACATAAAAATTTCATATGACAGTGAGGCATAAAAAATTATAGTATAATAAGGCATAAAAGAAGTCATAATATAGTATAGTATAAGAAGTCATTAAAACTTCATAGTATAGTGAGGCATAAAAAATGATGAAAATGTCACAATATAGTAAGGCATAAGACGTCATAAAAACATCAATATAGTAAGGCATAAAAAGTGATAAAAAGGACATAGTATAGTAAGGTATCAAAAACGCCATAGTATAGTAAGTAATAAAAAGTCATAAAAAGTGAAATTATAATTAGGCATAAAATGTCATAAAAACGTCATAGTATAGTAAGGTATCAAAAACGCCATAGTATAGTAAGTAATAAAAAGTCATAAAAAGTGAAATTATAATTAGGCATAAAATGTCATAAAAACGTCATAGTATAGTAAGGTATCAAAAACGCCATAGTATAGTAAGTAATAAAAAGTCATAAAAAGTGAAATTATAATTAGGCATAAAA